AATTTTGTGCCATTGCAGAGGGCTGCTGTGAAAGCGGCTGTATATATTATAGTATGTATGGAGTTAAAGCTTATATTATTTATTAAATGCTTCGGAAGTATTTCATTATTCAAATGCTGGACTATCTGTGAAAATTTACGAGACGATTTCTGTTTGGGAATATATGGCCTAGCTTCTGGGTTTGTGTTAATAAATCGGGTTAGTGCATTATTAAATTCTGTTTCAATATACTTCAATAATTCACTTGGGTGCCTTTCTGTCAAATTATCTTTAGTGCTTTGTGTCAGTGGATGTGTTAATTGTAGTGAGTCTAATTGTTTTAAATCAGCTGAGTTGTCTAATTGGATATGATAACTAGCATCTCCTGTTGCAGTATTCTGATTTAAAATGGATTGAGTGTTAGTGACTAGTTTTTGTTCTATTTCTCTTCTTATTTCATTAATTCTATCAGTGTTTATACTCTTGTTATTAAATATTAATCTTCTTTGGTCTGCAATTCTTTGTTCTGTGAGGTGTGATAAGTGTGGGTGTCTGGCTATAAATAACTCGAACAAATTTTTTCGATAACCGGTCTTATTGGTCTCTAGTTTGGTTACCTCAAAGTAGCACCTAACAATTTCTTCATTGAGTTTATTTGACTATCGCATTCTAGTGTTTGTCGGTGGAAGTTTATCGGTTGATTGGTTAGAACTCTGTGTTTGAAAACGATTTTCGGTTTTTAACAGGTTCATTACTTCATCTCTCATTTCGTCTAATGTACTTTGTGGTAATAGCTTCCTTCTTAATATCGCTCTTCGCTGATCTCCTATACGCTGTCGTGTTACTTGCATTTCGGGGAATTTAGTGTTGAATTCTTGGTGTAGTGGTTCCAAATAATTATTCATTAGTATAGTTTCACATTTTGTTATGTTAAGATATGTGCGCCATATGAAGCGGTTCATACTTTCTGTCCATTTTTTTCGCGCACGTGAAGGGCCAGCAGTGGGTACAGAGTTAGTGGCAGCTGCCTCCTGCACAACAGCTGTTGGCCTTGTTTGTGATGAATATAAAGATGATGGTGATGAATTGGATGAGTGAAATAGAGTATGAGTGGAAGAAGGTGACGGTATATTTGTGAAGAGAGAATGATTTGATGAGGAAGGAGATAATGAAGGTGATTGGTCGGCTGTAGCATTTTGTTCGAGGGGAACCCGCCTGCTCAGTCCCCCGTCGCCAACGGTTCGCATGCTGTAGCATCCAGCGTCGGCTCCAGATGCGCCCCGGCGACCCCCGGGTAGCGGCCGTAAACTATATCTCTTATTTTCCATGTTCTCCATTAAAGGGTTACCATAGCCATGTTAGCCGTGCCAGTAATATATTGTCACGTGTCCGCCCCCTACGTGAATCAGATGGTCGATTCGGACGTATGGTTGGATTTTAGGGGGCTTATTATTATTGTTATTAAAAATTCTAGATGCCAGGGTTGCAGGTGACTGATTCGAATTTCCGAAATTAGGATTATGACAGGTGAGTCTGATCGGGACTTTGCTAGGACTAGGTAACTCCCGTTTAAGCCTTCTCGTTAGGTTTTTTCTCTTTCAACCCGGATACACTTACTATCCACAATGCTGTACAATTTAAGTTCGGTAAGAAAGTATTGTCCACCAAGCCACACTTGGCCAGCGTGGTGGACTTTAAGCCTGATCCCCCTCCACCTTCGTAATTGAAGGAAGGCCCGTGCTCAGCACTGGGACGTTAAAAAGGGCTTAATACAAGAAAGTATTGTTTTTAATAATTATATGGCCAACGGTGAAAAAAGTCTTTCGAAGTCTGAAGCGTCGGACTTAGTAGAGCACATTAAACAATCGGTGGGTTTTACTATTTCATAATAGAAAATATCAGTAATTGTTTTGGCCTGAAACTTAAGCTCAGGACTACAATCTGAATTCTAGCGACTAGATCGGAGGGACGGTACTAATAATAAGGTATAATAATTTATACGCAACTTAGGTTGCACGCACCTTGTCGCACGTACAATGACTTATAATGTGTAAATACATAAAACAGACTTGAAGGTTATTCTCAATTTAATACCTCACCCTATTGAGGTCGAGGAAGAACTAATCGGACAGAAACACAATCACATAAGAACAATCTACTATTTTAAATTTTTAAATAGTTCTAATTGAACTTACCACTAGCGGGTCAAATTTATGCATAACAAACATACATAATGCGCTCAGAACGCTAATATTAGGTAAATTTTGTTATTTGCTAAGTCATTCTATGTGTTAAAAAGATATCTAATTATATAAGGTCAGTAAAATGTTGTTATTTATTTAATTAGGTAACAAAATTTTTCGATAGATCATAATATATGCTTCCATAAATGTAGGTACTGAATAAATTAACCGACTTGGTTTTACATTAGATCTCAAAACTTTTTGCTGTAGAAGAACTGCGTTGCGAGACTTGCGTTTTTTTACATGTTATGTATACCTATGTACCAATAATTAAATGAACTCTTCGGGAGGATCTGCCGAAAAACACTTGCCCTTTATATGAGAACGCAGACTAATGATCTACATGAAACTTAGGTTATAATTAATTATAAAATTGAAAAATTACTAAATTCATATTATAATTTATTATTACTCGTAGTCATAACTCTATATTTTAATTACTAACTGACATTATAATTAATTATTAAACATGACTTAAAATTATACTTAAGGGCCTTTACAGGTTAAGGATTATTATATTTTTTAGTTTTTATTTAATTACATATAATACGTTATTATTATTACCCTTTCCAATCAGTCCAAATCTTGTTCTCTCTTTAGCTTTAAGGTTTCGTGTCATAAATACAGAAGTTGAATGATGGTCTCTTTATTTGACGGATTTAATATATGAAAATTATTCAAGGTAAAATAAACAAATCCAAACCGAACACAAATGGGTTTTATTATTTCGTTCGATGTGGAGTTCAAGTGATTGCACTTTTCTTATTTATCAGATGCAAGTGGTGTCGTAAGTCGTAACTATAGCCTTTTATGCGCCCGGTGCGAGTTTCTATAACAGCGCCCTTCAAAAATAGTCTAATCTTAAAATAAATACAATGGACAATCTCAAAAAAATCTATCATTCGAAAACTAAAGTTTTGTTTAAGTATAGGTATAGGTAGAATTTTGAGTAAGTAGTTTAATCCATACTAATAATATAAATGTCAAATGTGTTTGTTTGTTTGTCCTTCTTTCACCTCGAAACAGAGTGACGGATTGGGGTGATTTTTTGTGTGCAGATAGTCAGAGGGCTGGAGAGTGACATAGACTACTTTTTACCGCGGGAGATTATCTCTTTCCCATGGAAAAACACGTTATACTACAACCCAAAAAATATTTATGATCAGAATAACTTGAAACTTGGTATTAATGCTCTTAAATATAATTTAATAAATCTGTGTTTTAGCATTTTACGAAATTCATACCATAAGGCGGTAAAATAGGGGATGGAAGTTTGTATGAAACCTTCCTTTTTAGGGCTTTTGTAGTTTTAGCGCGAGCGAAGCCGCGGGTTCTGCTAGTTATATATAAACGAGGTAAAAAAAGCCCATTTAAAAATATTTGGCAAAATACAGAATTATTTATACAATTTATACAATCGCTTATACAGTATTGTGACTCGGCCCTGTTTGAAATAATTACCTACAGCCGCGCGGTATGTAAACACGCGATAGATAGAGCTGCCCGCCTACAGTTTTTTAATTTTATTTACGTACTTGAGTTTCTTTCTAGTTTTGTGTGCGAATATTAAAAAAAAATAAAATTCGTTGTGAATGAAGTAGGTTGTGTTCAATAAAAATACATGTGTATTTCGATTAGTACATTTAATAAAAAAATCTCAAATTTATAAGGGTAAGCACTGGCTACCCTTATAAATTTGAGAACTAACCACCCTTGATTTTTACCTTTTATTAATTGAAAAATATTTGCGCCTCGACTGAGAAGTACGAAAAACTTTATTGGTTAAATTTCATAGTATAAAAAATCTGCATTCGGATAAAAAGTTTAATAAAAAATACTTTAATTTCTATTTTTAATTTAATACATATTTCAATCAAATATTAACAAATTGCATGCATACTGCTTATAAAACCATCACACCGTTCGTTTGTCACTGACATATTATACAATTTTCGTATCCAATTAGGTATACGATTTGGCAGCCCTGGACTATTGTGTACCGAGTGTATACCGAACTCGAGACGCGTAGGTATGAATCGCGTTCCGACCGTTTGTATGAAGATAGAATACTGTATACAACATTACCGTGGTAAGGCATTACACCCGTAATAGGTATTCATGTGTGTATGTTACTAACTACCATGCATGACTCAAAACATGGTTCTGGTCTGGTCGTTTCTGCGCACTTCCAGGGTTTGCAGTCTATGCGTGGGCATCGCTGGCACCGCCTCAGTCACGGTACTGGATGCGGGTGGTGTTTCTCTGAACATTTCTGGCTATATTACTAGATTGGCGTGCTAAATATCATGTTGTTAAAGTATCAAAAATGGCTTAAATAACACAAATTAACAAATCGATTTGACAAGAACGTATTAAAATTTTTGTTAAAATCTAGATTGATTGACAAATTTTTCAATGATGTATATTTTTACAATATCAATTTGAGTAAATGGTTAACAAATTGAGACAAATAGATAAAATGAAATTGAGGTGCCTTTTTATAGGTGTAATTTTATCTATATAAAATTTTCAAAAACAAGTAGTTTTAAAAATTTACTATTATTACAACGTTTACTATAGTTTAACCCCTTTCTCTTATCTGCCCTTGTTTTGGAAATAAATAATGATATATAACAATCATGAGTAAGTAGTTATACTATAAGTATAAAGTAGAATACTTTGAATAAAACATTCTTCAATAACTCAATATTGCAATATAGTATATTTTGTTTTTATTTAATTAATATTATACGAATTTAATGGATAAATAATATTTTATTGCTTCTTAAATGGGTTTTCAGGATGCTTTTCTATGCCAACGAAAAACGTGAAATCACAGATTCTTCCATTCTCCCCGCGGTCTAATGCAGTTAGCACTTGCATTTCTTTGTCGCTCAGCTCAAAGTCCCATAATGAGATATTCTGAAAAAATAATAATTTAAAAACACATTTTTATTGCACCGTACCTGTTTGACGTTGTTTCACCTTCTTAAAAAGTTCTGTTAAGTTTGTAGTAACTTTATATTACTTCTGTAATATATTTACTAGAGTTTCCCCGTGGCTTCGAACCATTAATTAATTGGTGTACATTTGCTCCATTCTTGGAGGATGTTAGATAAACCATGAACTTTCTCATTAGATAGGCCATATATATTTTTCAAAAAGATTTAAAAAAATCGGACTAGTAAACCCAAAGTTTTGCACTTTCAAATAAACAAAAACACAGATATCTTTAGCTTTAGTAACGCATAACAGTAGTTTCAGAGCTTATTTCGTGCATTCAAATTCACGAATTTGACTTCATTATAATATAAATAGACGTTTACTCCTCTAATAAAAATAATTCGCATGTTAGCATTTGATTTGAAATGTGAAATATTTCCTAAGACAAAATGCGGCGTTGGGAACTGCCTCACAGAATGTATTGTTTCGAGGCGGCCGACCGCGAATAAAGTAGTTTCTTACCGACATCAAAATATCTAAGAATGAAAAACGTTACACATTATGTATAGATTTAGAATTTGTGGAGCATTATAATTTACATATTAGAAAAAGATATTTACAAATTTCTAGAAATATAAATTAGTAACAGTGCCACTGTGTGCCACACACATAATTTTCAAATGCGTTTATCAAATGTGAAAAATTGTTACAATTTAATATTTTTTTAATTCTAAATACATATAAATCATATTAAGAAACTCATGTAAATGCCCCTAAGAAAATACTGCAGTTTATTACAGCGGCAGGGCTTTATAGTGGGTTACTGTAGTCTAATGTGCGGCGATCACAATAGACGAGAAATGGCCGAAGTATTACATATAATAAAAAAATAATGTCATTAAAAATATAACTTTAAACGTTATGAAAGAGCAGCTAGCGTTTGGGTTCTATGTACCTGTTTGATTCTCGTTGGATTAGTGCTTTTAGGAATCACAGCTACTCCATGTTGAAGTAAGAAGCGAAGTAAAATTTGTGCTGGCGTACGTGAATGTGTCTTTGCGATTTGTTGAACTTCTGATAGTTCTAGAAGGTTTGGATATATGCGCCTGTAAATAATATTAATTGATAATTCTACAAAAAAATACAAAACTAAAATAGATTCTGACGTCAAAAGTACAACTCAAAGGTAAAACTAAAGTAGGTACCAATAAAGTCAAAAAGTTTATGACAATGATATGTCTGAATTAGTTTTTGGTACTGATTGAGATGCTTTTATTAAAATAGATATATCTATTATAAAAAATCACGAAATTTGAAATTACCCATTCTTGGCGCTAAGAGCGTCAGCTAGTGCTTTAGAACCCAAAGGCGAGTACGCGACGACTGGAATGCCCAGTTTGTTAGCGACGGCTATCAGAGATTTCTGTTGGCAGAGAACATGCACTTCAATCTGCAAGCACGCTGGCTTGCGAATAGTGCATAATCGGTTGAGTTGCTCTTCATTCATGTTAGACACTCCTACGTGACGTACACGGCCGGAATCCTTTAACTTAAGGATAGCCTGAAAACGTTCAATCTATTTTTAATATACCTTGGAAGTTAATATGTAAATATTATATTAGGTATATTTAAAGTAAGTTAATCTAATTGATTCATCTAAACTCCGACTAAACTGTTGGCTCTGACTTCTGATGAAATTATTGCAGCCTGTCCCCACAATGGCACACCACTAAAAAAAGAGTTATTTAAATTGAAAAGAAGAAGCGAAACAGAACGAATGGGAACAATATTTTCCATATACGAAATTTAAAAAGACAGCTGAAGAAGCCAGGACAATAAGCTCTTGACTTTTCCACATATTTTTATAAACAATAAAAATATAATAATGGGAAAAAATAAAAATCGACAATAAAAAACTTAAGTATGTAATAATAGTGTTTATTAAAAATTATTTTTGACAAAAATCTCCCCTGGCCCACATAATTTACCCGAGGATTTTCGAAATGAATTCAGATTTAAAGCGGGTTGTTTTAAGGATTGATCATATATTATTAAAGGATTTTCATTTGTTGTCCTTGTTAATGAAACCTTAATGTCAAATAGTTTAAGTATTTTGAGTATTACAACATTATTTCGTTTAAATTTTATACGGTTATGTTTTTTATTATTTTTTATATTACCAAGTATTAAATATATGAATATGTCCATTTATTCGATGTAGATGTTGTTTTAAACTCTGTTCACTTGTACTAAATAATTTTGATGACGATCTGGTTAGAGCATAAGATTGTAATTCCAGACTATGATTAGATTTAACATTATACTGACAATGGAAATCTTTACGTCCATCTGATTTTATATTCGTTTGATCATTATTTTTATCGATTCTAGATTTTGCTTTATATTTCTTGGTCTTATGCATAGTTTTTCCTAAGCAACAAAAAATATTTTTTGTGGGGAATGTATTTTAAATTTCATTTTTTGTTGTTTAAACTTTGCTTTGCAAAAACCTTGTTCTTGATTTATGTTGTGACTATTATGCATCACTATGTCACATATTTCTTTTGACTACTGTACCTGATAGAGTTCCTTTTGTATATCATTTTGATCTTGGTTATTATCTTTTTTGTAATTAGTTTGCTGTGCATAGCTTTTTTCAATTTTTCTATGTGGTCTAGATAATGAGCTATTTAAATTTAGGTTTTTTGGTTGCTTCTTACAATAATATGCCATAATATTAAATTATGCCTATCTGTGAGGCGGCCATCTTGTTCGTTTATTCTTTAACTCCTGATTTCTTATTTCATAGACTGTGTCTTTGATCCTTTAAACTTGGTCTTTTACAGAATGTACACCAAAAAAAGCGTTTACGTAATGAAATGGTTCTTGAAACTGTTACCATGATAATATAAGTCTTCTTTAAAATGGTCACATGGAAATATGCATTCTCTAATTGTTGGCTGTTGCACGTTATCGAGACCATTAATTAAATGATGGACGTGTGTATGGCAAAATATATTAAAAGTATTAATTTCATTTTACGTTATTGTTATTTTATTTTTAAGATTTTAGTTATTTACTCTTAGTATGACACGTGAAAATGTTGACTTACATCTGTCATAAAATGAACTAAAAATATTTTTTAAATATGTATTATCTTAAAAAATATAAAAATACAAATCTGTATATAATCAAAAATATTACTCATAAAACAGTAGCTTTTGTAAATTCTGGACAATTTTTATCAGAAGCATCAGTTTTTGTAGCAAATATGTATAAAAAATTTCTATACGCATTGTGGACTATTGATTTTAATATTTTTGTGTAAATTTCAACAAATCTTTGCTCTGGATTCCTCTGCAAGTAAATCATACTCATAAGGGAGGCGTCTATATTGATTGGAAAACTAGTCATAGAATTTCTGTTAAGATCAACACTTTCATAGGAATCCGTGGTACTTTGATTATTATATGGTATTTCAAACGCTTGTAAACGATCTTCACCTCCGCAGCAACAAGGGCAGAAGCATTTAGGTAATATCTTAGAACATTTTATTTTTTTTGATTTTGGTTTTATGAATGATGTCATAGAAGTTTCTGCAGTAACTTTTAACACATTGGCATAATGTTCTCCTTTGTTTCTTTCTGTATCTGATATTTTTATGGATGAGTTTGCTTGATTCATTATTTTATCATTAATAGAGTATCGCCTCGGTAATGGAGATCTGTATATCTTTGTCCAAGAAAATTTGTCGTAACGTTCACTTTTTACTTGCCCGTTCTCAGGATATTTTGTGATTTTAGAATCTTTAACAATAGGTTTATTTTTTACACATTTAATATAACTACATTCTTTGTATATAGCATCATTCCGATACTTATTATATACATTTTTTGTTATTATTTCACTTTTAATATCCTTATTTTCCGAAAATTCACTGCTCTTAAGAAATGATACAACCATTATAATTTTAACAGATATGTAGATATAATTTATAAATTCTGGCGTTAAAGAACACTATAATTTGTGATGTTACTTCACATTTTACCGTTTATCAATGACGTTGATCATTCTTGTAAATAAAAAAAGTTAATATATCGACAAATAGTTTACAAGTCTGCTGTGTAGGTGTAGTTGTTTTTTTTTATAAAAGTAAAAGGGGTTTTTGTAGTTTTTAATTCGTTCAATTTTTGAGGTACTTTTCTTTCTTATCCCGTTCGTTTGTTCCACTATGTACCTATATTGGTTTAAGCCTTAAAATTTGTTTATCACTAAGTAGTCTGTCGCTAAACAACAAAATAGGTATACCTACATATAAAAATATTGTATTTTATGATTTTAGGTTTACCAGAACGTGGGTAGTACAAAAGCAACAAAATAGTTTATATTCGGTTATCACATGTATTTTGATTATTATAAACTATAATTGAATATTTGTTTCTTTATTTTCATTTTTTATTTTTTATTTTGGTGACAATTTAAGCTCATCTACAAAACATAGGCTCATTTTTTTTTTGTAGAAATAACTAATAAGAGAAGTCCTATTTTTTTAATTAGTGCAAATACCAAAGTATATTTTATAATACTATAAACTTGAAGAATTAATTTTAATGAATAATTTTTAGTTTATATGTAGTTAGGTATACCTACTTTTATATTCTATTCTCATAGTAGATATTCAATAATTTAATCAGAAAGCAATAAAATAATTTAATTGCCTCGGTGGTGTAGTGGTTCGCATATAATATGATGACTGCACATCCGGATAGTCCAGTTTCGAGTCCCGGATCGGGTCAAGTTTAGTTGTTGAGTCGTTCTGTTTAGTAAGCCTCAGTAACAAAATAGAAAAGAAACCCCGGCAACTTCTTTACTCCTGGCGGTGTTTCATCCCCGTGCCTCAGATAGCACATAAAGTTATCGGTTCTGCGCATTAACTCAGGGGCATTTATTTATTACGTGAGACAATTTTAGCGATTTTTCGACCCCCTCCCTCCCCTTGGTAAAATTTCGTGAGATTTTGCTGGACCCCCTCCCGCCTCCCCTAATCTCAGGTGATTTTTTTAAATGTGGAGAAAATAAAATTAATAACAAAACAATGGTCTTAATAAGTTATACATATACAGATTTTTTTTCACTGAAAATTGTTAGTGCATCGTATATTTATTACAAAAGGTTGTGGCATTATTTTTTTATGAATGATCTTCTCATCGCACCGTATATGAAAAAGAAATATTCACTCCAAAGTAATTGATTTACAATTAATAAATATTTATTTATGGTTAACGAATATTTATTGAATGCTAAGAAACATTTGTTCATAATTAATTGAATAAATTGTTTCCAAAAAAATGAATTTATTAATAGTTAATAAATTCTTCTGTCAGTGCATAATTAAACCGCATTGAATATTATTATATATGATTTAGCCATATTTTAGTGGAGAAACATCTTTTACTTAAATAAATCCAGTCTTCTCGCAATTTTACACTGTTTCTTGCGGAAAAAAATTACGCGATATTTGCCGAGACCACCCCTTCCCCCACGCGAGATTAAGTGAGGTTTTGCTCGACCCCCTCCCGTCCTAAAAGCCTCACGTAATTAATGGATGCCTCACTGGTCGTTTCGAATAGTCGTCTACCGGAGTATGAGAGTAACAGGAATAGAGAGTGTACGTTATGTCTGCGCGTATGCTTGTGCACTATAATATCTCCTGCGCAGATGGCTAATATCAATGATATTGGCCGCCGTGGCCGAAATCGATTGGGAGGACATTATTATTATAAATAAAATCTAAATATATGTATTTCATCTGAATAAGGTTTCAGAATTTAACACGCAAATTTAATTTTTTGCTCATAGATTTGTTGTTTATATTTTGATTGTCATTAAGTTCCGGTTAACCTTTAAAAAATTTATTTTCTTTAGGTACTGCAACTTACCTTCCATACGCCAAGAAGGTCAGTTTTATAATCAAACTTCATGCTTCCATCTGGATTCTTTGGATGCAGATCTCCTGGAATATGCTCGAAACCGAATGGCACATGTAAGAGGTAAAGATCTATGTAATCTAATCCCAAGTCACGAAGCGATGAATTAAAATATTGTTCAACTAGTTCTGGGTTGTTACCTTAAAAGTTATAATAAACGTGGAATATATTTCTAGAAGTAGTACCTAAGTATAATTTGTTTTAAATATACCTAAAATGCAGGCAACAATTTTTTTTGTTTTATTTAGGCGGCAAACTTGAAAACAAAAAGTTAAGAAAAAATACAACTATCTTTATAAGTTCTTTTCAAAATAAAATATCTTTGAAATTACTTAGCGTTACAAAATGTGATTATATATTTACAATTTTTAGTTTAAGTACAGTAAAAGTAATGTTTAATTCATACATCTTTTTTGATTCTCGTTCACGTCATGAGCCATTGAAATATAATCAATATTCAGCAAGACATACCTCCAGGTGGTAGTTTAGTGACTACAAACAGTTCTTTTCTCTTTTCCGGATCCCCGCCAATCCAGCGGTTGAGAGCACTCCCCAAGGCACTTTCATTTTCATATGCACGAGCCGAGTCAAAATGTCTGTATCCTGCCGCCAAAGCTTCATCCACGGATTTCTCCAAAACATCTGGTGGAGCCTAATAAATATTAAACGTATAATGAATTAATAATAACTAACAATTAGGTACTTATTATACTTTAACGTAAAAGACAGTAATATTAGAAAAAAGTTTCTGGTTGTGTTTTATCATATATATTTTATAATCTTTACATCCGAGTGCCGATCACCGATGACAATGATAAATACTTCATACAAAAACTAGAAATTGAAATATCAACATCTAATCGGAATACATACAAAAATATTCTAAAATGGGGCGTATAGGCATCGACTAATCATAATTAGTTCTCAAAATTAATTAAATTTCAATATATCATGTCATTTAAAAATGTGTGTTCTGAAATAGCTGAAAATGTGAAAGAGAAATGGTCATATGATAACACATCTCCAGCAACTACTTCTCGCGGGTTGTCTCCTTCCAGCGGGGATCATGACGACAGTGAAACATATTCGTTTTGCAGTGGGAAGTGTTCGTGTTGTTCCGACTATCGTGACATCTCAGAATGTTGTGAAAAACCGTTTGCTATATTCGACTCTACTACAAATGTACATAAATCAAAATGGAACGCTTTCAAAAATTATTTAAAGCGTCATATAAGATTAAAACGAAATAATGCAAAAAGAAAAACTATAGCGAACCGGCTCGATCATGTTCATGAATAACAGCAAGCCACTTTGTAGTACTAAGCCATGAGAAAATCCATGTATTTGTAATACCAATCTGTATACAAAATATATCTTTTAGTTGTGGTGTTTATTAACTACTTCCTCATTTATTTACATTCTCTTTTTTGTGGACTACTACAATGTATGGTGTATGCCGTTATTAAGTGTTGTATTTTTTCCATCTCCATCAGACTGAGTGAAACGTCTATATAGGCTATCGCACCCAACATTAAATTAAACCTGCGATTTCAAGCTTACCCTATGACAATATGAAATGCAACTGTTTCTAACAATTGTTTCCCACGAGAATATTTGTATTGTAATTCAAGTACTATTTGGGTAATTAGCTATTGTACTTCTATTTTTAGGATAATTTAATAACTTTTTAAAATATATTTTATAATAAGTTACCAAACCTGACTCAGCTTACGTTTTCGTGTCTATTATAATAACTTTATAAGGACATGAAAACCTGAAAGCACTAGAATGGAAAGCAGTAGATGTGCTATCATAAGAAGAGCCTAATCATTCTTCCATAAACCTTGTCAACATAAAAAACGGACAGACCAACAAACATCCTTTCGCATTTATAACATTATAGTAAAGATACAAAATAAATGAGTCATACACTTATACCTGTTCTGCTTGTGCGATAACTGTATTTAATTTAAAGAGTAACATGCACCGGTATCAACCGATAACCGGTACTGGCAATATTAGTGTTGTTTATTTTCAATTCATTATTTCTATTCAATCTAGTTTAGTAATTATTAATATAATAAAGTCATCAACAAAGCAATTGAAATTAATAATTATATTACCTGCCATGTTCCAAATCCAATTCGCGGCATGCGGTCTCCACCTTCTAAATCAAAATATTCCGGAAAAGACATTTTGTTTTGTTGTCCTTTATACGCACTTAAAGTAATTGCAGTTATGAATTTGCGTGATATCAGGGTATAAAAATAGAAAGAAATCGTGTTTTAAAACCCAGTCGACTGTTCTGCTTGCAGCAGCCTTGGTCGCTAACTGAGCTCACAATTCGTTGTGCACTCGTATTTGTGTATCTACTTGACACACGTCGAGGCTTATAACGTTATTATATTCCCATTTTAGTTTATCTTACTGAAACTCTGATACTCGTTTATTCTATAACATAACCTTAGCCTTTTTTATAAAAGCTACCCCACGTATAATAGGATCTAAATTTTATGTAGTTATCAAGAATCACTTACATTTTTAGGTTTTGTAGCTAAATAGTAAAAACGAAACCTTTATAATATCGTTATGTCCGTCTATCTTATTAATTATATCTTAGTTGTTTTACTCAGAGACTAATTAATAGAAATTTAAGTATCGAATGTTATAAAATAATAGTATTGTCGAATACCAAAAAAAACCGCGTGTGTTTTTAGGTACCTGCTTATGTACGCACATAAGAAGTAATACTTCTTTGGCGTAACAGAACAAAAATATGTATGTAATTTGTTTTTGAAAAATACTGTGTAATACAATTTATGCCAATAAAATGAATATTATATTGATTATTTTATATACAAGGTAAATATCTCACACTTGTCCAATTTCATTCATAGGTTCAAACAATGGGCGTTGAATAGGATGAAAAATATTTTTATAGGATAATAATATGAAAATACCACGATTTTTTAACTCTCCGACTTCCGAGTTACTGCGTCAATCATAGGCGATTTATGTATTCATTGATAAGTTTCCTTTAAAAATAATAAAACAAAATAACACTGCACTTTTAAGAATAACAATATGTTGTAGCAAAGTTGCTTTTCAATTGTTAGTAAAATTGTAAAAACCTAAAATTTTTATGTACATCTCTTTTTGTTTAATTTTTTGCTCATGGGATTTATTTAAAGTTAAAATAATCTATATATTTGTTACTAGGTAGGTACTAGGTTTATAGGTACGTATCACGGTTTTTTTCCTGCCATGGAAGTCTACTTTTTGTTTATTTGTTTTATTTGTTTATTATTTAGACACATTTTCGTTTATTTTACAGCTCTACATTTTATTAATATCACCTGTTCGCTGACCAATATCGCTATTTGTGCAACCTTGCCAAATTATTTGATTGTTATATTTTTGGTCGCTAAACTTGTTTTAAAGATCCCTGTAGAGATTATTAAACTTGTACTTGCAAGAAAGATGCAGATTTAAATTTTAAAATGCTTCAAATTCTCACGGGTTACCTGTTAAATAATTTGAGCTATTTTTGTTAATAATTGGCATAGATTACAAAATTCTTTTTCTAGACTGTTTAATGACCTATATTTATTCATTTGACCTGTATGTAGGTATAATGTATATCTAACCCTATATTCCTTCATAACTTTTAAGCGGCTGAACCGCTTTTAATGTATAATACGACGTTAGAATTATATTGATAACGTATATTCAAATTATTAAAAATAAAAATGGGAATATTGCATGGACTTTTTATCTTCTAATCTGTAAATAAATAATTAAATGAAAAAACAAAAAACAGGACTACGTAAAAAGCGAATTATAGAGAAACAAGTTGACAAACCAACATAATGGAAAAACAGATATTATGCAGTCTGAGACATACATACATACTTTATATTTACTGCGCGTTTTACTATCTCTATTACCTGAAGGTCTTTCTGCCTTATAATTGTATTATACGTATAACATGTTATTAATCACAATATTTACAATAAGGTATACAATAAAATATCTATTAGTAAGTTCTTTAATAATTATATATGTAGTTAATATTTACATACATACGTAAATAAAATCAATCTTATATTAGCCAATTATTTTTTTCCATTAAATGACTTACGTAATACATTAACACCTGACCTTCATTTGTTTGTTTGCATTTGGGAATAGGTGATTAAAACTCTTAAGTTCGGCTTGAATGCACACAAAAAAGAGGCATACAAAAAATTTCAATGTCGCTTTCAAAATTGTGGATCTAATAACTTGGACGCAGCGTGACTCGCGTTGATACTGCGCTGTGCGCTGTATAATAACTAGACTCTAGGTATGATTGATATTAATTGACCTTTATAGGTTTAAATATCTTTGCAAAGCTCTTATTTAAGTTGTATTCGTAAGAAAAAATTTTTTAAACATAAAGTTTTTAAAGTTTTATTTGTACAAAATTTATTAGACATTACTATGTATGAATTTTGAATTATTAATCAGAATAAAATGTAAAAGCTTGGGGCAGTCACAGTTTAATCATACCTTGAAAAAAATGATCAGGCCAGGAAATATACTACGTAAAGCAGCAAGGACCTATCACTTATCTGCGTTTATTGTAATGCGTTTATTGTGAGCATCTGCAATATTTAAATAGTCGTGAATTGTCCATTGTGGTCCAGAATGTGACATTTTACGAGTACATTTGTAACAATTATATGGATTAACATCTACTACTATTGTTGATATCTTATTGTATGGCGGTGCGGTTTGGAAATTAAATAATGTGCCACTTGAGCAACGTTATTCAACTAGAACGCTGATTTTATCTTTCAGGATATTTTGCCAACTCCTATCAATATTAACATATTAAACTCATTTTAAAAGTCTAATGTGTATAGATAGAAAGTCTCAGAAGACTCTTAAATAGTATCGTGTTGTTATATTATATACATATCTACCTATATATGTAGATGTTATATAGAGAAGTAACTAGAGTATTAGCACAGATCATATAATACTATACTAGTAGTATTAGTTAAGTTGTATTTTTAATTATAGAGTTTTGATATATTTTTTTAAGAAATAGGTACGTTTAAAATAGATATAGTTATTAGCCAGCGTTAGCCATATAAGTTTTAATTTTTAATTCGTGAATTTTTCATTTTTTTCTCTTTATTAAAACTTTCCGTGTGCCTCAAGGAACATACGAAAAAAAAATTTGGCCGAGTAGCTCTCGAGTTTTGCGCTTAGCAACATTCATTTTTATTAAGCCCCGACGCAAAAAGAGGGGTGTTATAAGTTTGATGTCGATGTCTGTGTGTGTGTGTGTGTGTGTGTGTGTGTGTGTGTGTGTGTGTGTGTGTGTGTGTGTGTGTCTGTGGCATCGTAGCTCTCAAACGGATGAACCGGTTTCGATGCTGTTTTTTTTTTCATTTGAAAGCCAGTTTCCTTGCAGTGGTTCTTACTTCTTAGCTCTGTTTGGTTAATATCGGTTCAGCAGTGTAAGAGTATCAGCTCTTTTCCAAAATGTTGTAAGGCATTTTGGCGCATGATTACTTGATTAAGTGCTTCACGCGTGCCAGTGTATTCGTAAATGACAATTTGCGCAGGGCGTTTTATAAATTTTTAATTTATTTTATATAGATTTAGATAAATGTACATAGATCAATATACCTAGTTAAGAACCTAAATAGTTATTAAGAAACGAGTCTCAGCGATTGTATTTAACAGGTAAACCCAAGACAAGAAAAGAGAAGCTTGTCTAGTAAAAGACAGGTAATGCGTGAAATAGTCGTTTTATTTTGTTTTAACATAATAATTTGTAAAGTAAAATAAAATATTTACCCATTTACGATATTTATTTTAATGACGACATAAGTTTGTATTTTATTGTGTTACTATGACATACGAGTACAAAGTTTATTGTGCGGACGATTGCGTGAAACGGAAAATCTCACATCTTAAAACTGCTTAACATATTTAGAACATTTTTTTTCCTTGAAAGTAGTTTTGGAAACTCTATTATCACCAATTCTTCAAGCGTTTTCCGACCTACATATACTTCAAAAGTTAGAGGTGGATACAATGTTTACTATTTTGGAGGCACCTCTAAGGCAATTTTGTTCGCTTAATGTAAAGTGTTCGCGCTTCGTCATGTAGTTTATCCTTAAAACTGCCATGCTAATACTAGCACACACATTTGAAAATGTAATTTAAGGACTCAAATTAGCTAAATCCTGTGCTATTAGCATAACTATTAAATTCATACTGCATACAGTAAAGTATATCTAAATTACCTTCTAGATTCTGGATAAACCGTTCACAATTATGACTTTCATACAAGTTGCTATTCACTATTTTGCAGGAACCTTTCGTTATCACGAGATATATGTATTTTTTTTAAAAGTCTTTCATATTTAATAGGTATTTTAATTTCAAAGCCATAACTGAACGCGTGCCGAAGAAACAACCAAGCCTATATACTATATCTTCGAAAATAATGAAGCTTTGTATTGTATGAGTGATTTTTTTACAGAATCGAATTAAATATTTCCAGAGATTTAAAACCTTTTACAAACAATCTATAAATATTAGTAATTTTGATACAGGTTTTATTGTTACAAAATTTATGTATATACTCATATTAAACAGGTCCAAATGTACATACATATAGTATGTACAACGTATGTACGTACGCCTTGGAAAATCAAGCCTTAAGCCTTTGTATAGATTAAATAATAATATTATAAAATATTAGATATAGTACCTATCTACAAAAACGATTCTTAATATTCGAATTCGAATCAGACTCTTATTATAAAATCGAAAGTTTGTATACAAAAGGTGTCTTGTTGTTTGTTACACCTTCAGATTTCGACGTATAATGTACATTGTACAAGAGAATTATTAATAAACTATCTAATTGTAAGTAGATTTTGCAGTCACATTGAAATAATATTACTAAGTTAGTTTAAATTTAATTCTATTGTAAAAATAAAATTAATATATAATTATATTTAGGTAGGTACTTATTATTAGGTTATTTTTATTAGTAGGTTATTAGGTACATCTGTACTGTTGTTATTTTGCCAAAAATTTATAAAATTTTAATTAGCCATCACAATACTGTCTCATATTACATATCTTATAATTCACAAACAAAGGTAACATAATACAAGTTACAAATTAATTTTCCCACATACCCTTAAAGTAATAACATCCTTTTGTTGTGTACTGTATCCATTTCTCATTCAATTTAGTTTTGTATGAATGAGCTAACGTCACAACACTCGCGTGACCATTGGTGCGTGCGGACCATTGATAGCGGTCCTGATAAGCATCTTAATATGAAACAGGGACTCCAGCAACCCCAACCCTAGTAGGCGTGGCTTATTAGGCCCATCCCTTACTGTATACCTATAAAAGTAACAAATAGGATAAAGTGACCCATTTTTGTTAAGCATTATGATGATGTTAGCTCATCACTAATTGTTAACCTAGATAATTTATAATAGAAAAATGAACATTTCGCAAGTGCCGTCTAGTGCTAAGTGCAGTAGTTCTGATTTTAGTATCGAAAGAATTTTAAGTAGTAACGATTCCAGAAGTCCCGAAGAAAATAGTCAGATTCCAAGCTGGCTATGTTGCACGCGATATCAGCCTCCACGTCTTCCACGTTAGTAGATATTATTTTTATCTTTGTTTTATTTCAAAATTAATTCAATAATACAATTGTTTAGAAATGAAAAGTTGGTATAAAATAAAGAGGAAAATTAAATTTTGGCGCTCTCACTTTACTTACCGTAATAAAATCCAATAGATCTACAGTGCTATGAATACGGAATAACTATGACTTATAACAATAAAATTTGATATTATTTATTTTAAAATGAATAGAATAATATATAAAAACATAAATTAAACAATAAATATGTGGATAGGCGGACCTAACGCCTGCCGGGCGCGACGTTCCGGTCGGCATGCGCGGGTGCCTTTCACGAGCGCGCAGGCGTCGGCGCTAGAAGCAGCTTATGCGCGTGCGCCTTATCTAGCCCCACCTGCGTTACGAGCTTTAGCAGCAGCTCTACAGTTACGAGATGATCGGGTGAGTGTCTTGGATTTGGGCAATAGATAATAGGCAACTGTTTTATCTCATTATATATTTTATAACATTAAGGTTTATTATTATTTATTATATTTTCATGTGCGAATCATTTCTAACATGATTACCGCTTGCCTTACGGTGAAGGAAAACATCGTGAGGAAACCTGCATGTATGAGAGAACCTAGCAAGTTTTCGAAAGACATGTGAAGTCCGCCAACCCGCACTTGGCCAGCGTGGTGGACTATGGCCTGATCCCCCCACGTATTGAAGGGAGGCCCGTGCCCAGCAGTGGGACATTAAAAAAAGGGCTGAATACAAGGTTACCTACTTAGCATAAAAATGACTGTTGCTAGTCGTCCGATAATCGGCACTCGGAAGAATAATATTTTATAATTAATTATTCAGCCGATAATATTTGTCGGTTTTTCATTTGCTTCTTGTTAAATTTTAAAATTCTAGGTCAACGGGAACTACCTACGTTTTGTAAGTAAGAAGTAGGTTTTGATTCCCGTCCGAGTTCTCTAGCGAGCGTCAAAATATGCGACATAATCGGCCATATTTGGAATTGCAAGCCTGAGTATGTGATATTAATTTCAACTATCTTTACGAGTTTCTGAGAAAAAGTGTCTTGACAGATAGACAGACGGACGGACAACGAAGTGATCCTATAAGGGTTTCTTTTTTCCTCTTGAGGTACGAAACCCTAAAAAGAAGAGTTCTTTATGAGTTGTATGCTTGTGCAAGAATTTGTAGCATTTAAAAAATACAATAAATCATCACATTTCAGAATGATCGAAACCATAGGAATATATAATATGTATAATAGTAGGGAGTAGTAAATATAATAAGGCGGCATTTTCTTAATTCATCAAGTGTGAACTATGTGATATGTACCTAAGTATAACATACGAAGATATTAGATAATATTTAAAAATTAACTATGAATTAATATTATTTAGATACTCTTTTGTTTTAGATCAAAATATGGTTTCAAAACAGAAGAGCTCGAGAGCGAAGAGAAAGGTCTGGGACCATAACTCCGCCACATGCAGTAGTGTTGCCTTCAACTGCTTCCCCACAAAGAAATATTTTAAACGAAGTTTGGTGCTCGTCTCCAAGTGAAATCTATTCATGTGACGTAGGACATGCACAATCTGTAAGGGAAGGAAATCAATTGAATGCTACTTTAAGCAATTCGTTTTCAAGCGAAGAATCTAATGAAAGTAGATGTGATACGCCATTAGATGTAGAAACTATAGTTGATTGATAGCTCTATGTAAAGAATAGAAACACATAATAACAGATAAAAACTTAAAAATCTACTTAATGAAAGTGAGCTAGTTCAGAACATCTCAACAGCGGCAAAACTTCTTACGACGCTACGATTTGAAGTAGCGCTACGGATTTTATAGATCTCAACGAAATAAGACGAAAAGTAAGAATAATTTTTTTTCGATATCTTGCTTAGTTTTCGAGATATCGATACTCAAAAATTGAACAATGATTTTTTTTTATATTTTTTTGACGGAATTCGATATATTTTTGAAAAATAAAACGATAAAATAAGAATAAAACTTTTTGATATCTCGATTAGTTTTCTAGATGGTAATAGACAGTCGAAGATCTAAAGGTATCTGTTATATCTCATAAATTGATGGCTTTTCTATACGGTTTAGTGGTGTGAGGTTCACGTCCATACTAACGATACCATTTATAATATTGGCGGTCCTGGATTCGAAATAAAAAAAAAGACCGAAAGAACCGTACCCCTCAACAGCCGCTCATTTTGATATGAAATTATTGTACATATTATACATAAATATAAAAATAAAGTTTTCGGATATAATGAGAGCAATTTATATTAGGTACCTACTACTTATTATGAGTAACAAACTTTCTTACTTATTTTTTTATAGGCATAATGTACATAAATGTATAGTTTTAGGTACATTACCTATGCATATAAAAAATTAATTACTTTGGTTAGTTATAATCTGCAAGGAATTTGCTCAAAATACCTGTAGGTACTCGTATTTTGTATTGGCTATATTTTATTCTTCTAAATCTTGTTCTGATGGATAACTGAATAATTGATATTTTCTTGTAAATAAACGTAGGAAATTTACTAAATGTAAGAGTATTTATTATATTTTACTGCCGACTTACCCCGCTTCGTTCGGGTGCGTATCTGTCTTTTCATCATATTTAATCGCTTTATTTAAAACCGTTTACGCAGCACGTACGGCGTACCTACTAAGCAGTACATGTAAATAATTATAAAGTATTTTTTTCGATTGCTACTTTTCTTCCGATTTCAATTAAAGTTATTTAATTAATCATTTTTATCGGAATAAAAAATAGCATATAGCACTCGGCGATAATATAACTTCTATGAGTGAAGGAATTTTCAGAATCGGATCAGTAGTTTAAGAGATTACCCCTACATACAAACTCACAAACTTTCAAACTTAACCTCTTAATAATATTAGTATAGATTCAATCAATTACACATTAAAGGCTTGGCCGTTTTATGCAGCTTAAATAATTTCTTTCAAATAAAATATCATTTAATTTATTAAAGTACTAGCGACCCTCGCTTCGCTCGGGTTCGTCCCTCGCTGGCTTCCCTATACAAACTTTCATCTCCAATCTCACCCCCTTAAGGTATGATTTCCGGGATGAAAACTATTTCACTCACTCACTTTTCATATCATGAAATTAAAAAAAACTTATTTTAGTAAAAAAAAATCTTTTTATTTTCTTCTATACAAAACTTGTCCTGACAACAACAAAAAAAAATTATCCAATTTGGTGAAGTCGATCGGAAGTTATGCGTGTACATATATTTTGGTGATTCATTTTTATTTATAAAGATAGATTCCTTTGTGTTTTAATTACAACTAAGTACCTAGTGACCGTTGAGATATTATGATGTCTTTTGTTCAAACAGATGTGAGATGAATTAGATATTACAATCGTAAATAATACCTAATCTATGAATTGACCTTAAAACCTATGTACGATATTACGAATATATTATGTACCTAATTAATAAGTATATTACAATTTAACTGATTATTCTAAACTTTCTCATGTTTGTGACCTTTTAACAAAGTCTAATCGATTAATTGTAATCCAGCATTGGAAGATTTTACTATCTTTACGTTAAAATCATAATTCATTATTATTAATATAAAATTATATATGATTATAAATAAATAAATTATCTACATATAGGTATATAAATATGTTTGTCTGTTTGAATATATTAATTGTATACATCTAATTATGATGCAAGTCTACTGCAAATCTCTTGTAAACGTTTTTAACATAGTATCATCATGATTGTACCATCGATGTGTGCGTTGTACATATATCGAACACATACACCTTGCCATGACAACTAGGTACTACCTATATAGGCACTAAAAATTCGCAGTAGGCATTTAAACTTACATCAAGTATTAAAACTAACAATACTTATAGAACATGTATGGAATTTTGAGTAGGTAACCTCTAAATGTAGTAGTGTCTTTATTATTATTAAGTTTAATATTAAATTTCATGTAAGCTACCTATAGCTTAGTAACATGTACATACATACATACATATTATGAACTAGCATTGACCGCGGCTCCGCCCGCGTTCAGGTGACCAAAAACCAAATTCTTAGGTTTTACGTTTTACTAATATAGTATACTCTTACATTGCAGTTTTTGTATTTTTCTCAGAAATGAGACATTTTCCCCTAGTAAAAAGTATCCTATATGTTGACCCGGATAACCAACTATCCCCCCAACGTGCGTTCACCTTGTCGTGGTGGGGGGGCTCAGTAGTGCCCGGCAACCCAACCGGGCGCGAAGCCAAGAAACGCACAGGGAGGTGGCCCACTTCGGTGTGCGGTGGGAGGTGGCCTTCTTCGGAGGGCAGTGTACCATGCGGGTTGCTCCTGGTACTTCTCTGATAGCAGAGTGGACTGTGGAGCAACCCCGTGGTTGTTGTGGTCTGCTTCGGCAGACCTGCCGTCGGGGCGTCGTAGTTGAATGCGTAAGCGATCCTGCGACGCCCCATTAAGACGGGGGAAGGTTTTGTTGGGTTTTAGTGGGTAGTACTGGCTTTGCCGGTGAGTCCCACACCTCGTGCGTAAATGCATTTCCCAACGTTAAAAAAAAAAAGGATAACCAACTATCACTATACAAAATTTCATCAAAATCCCTCCAGTGGTTTTTGTGTGATGCGGTAACAGACAGACAGACAGACAAAAATTCTAAAAAGTATAGATTCGGCCTCTGTATCAATAATAATGTTTATTTCAATAAGATTTTCCAAAAAATATTTAATGTACAGATTCGGCTTAGTTACAATTTTATTATATGTATAGATTATCCTTTATCTTTGACGATTTTTATACTACACGTAACGTAAATAGACAAAAAAAACAGAAATTGCAATTGTACATAATAACAGAAAAAGAATACGTGCAAGACTAAAAAGATGTTATAATACTTAATAATTTGTGCTTAGATTATCTATAATGGTTCAAACAAACAATGCGCTAATTGTCTATATTATTTTATTCATATTAAAAGTAGATTTTCCTAAAGGGCATTCTTACATTTAACGAGAAAATAATAATTATTGTATACTTATTAAAATACTAGCAATTTCCGGGGTTTCGCCCGCGTTCAAGGTACAAAAAACAACAAACCTTTGCTTTATAACTTTGGCTTTATGTTATAAGATGTTAAGGGCTGAATTTCGAAGTTCTAAAAACGTGTAATTATATACTAGCGCACACACACACTCGCTTCGCTCGTGTTCATCCCTAGGTTGATTCATCATACAAACTTTCATCCCCATTTTCACCCCCTTAAGGAATGATTTCCGGGATAAAACTACCCTATGTCCTTCCCAGAGTCTCAAACTATCATTTTACCGAATTTCATCAAAATCTGTCCAGTGGTTTTCTCTTGATGTGTTTCCAAACAGACAGACAGACAAAAATTCTAAAAAATATTTAATGTACAGTTTCGACTCAGAATTTTAGTATACATATGTACATATATATCGATAACAATGCATTAAATTAAGATCTAAATATATTTCACAAATCGGAATTAGGATTATTCCAGAAGAATAGAGCAGACGACCGGTCGCGTCTCTCTGATATTGACTAGCGCTCATTAATCATCGCCTTATCTTTGTATGAGAAACTTATCGTTTGTATTTACTATTTAGTGGAATTGCAATGAAAAACTGTTACTATAAACATTGGTTTATTTCATATTTAATTTATGAATTTAATTTTATTATGAATTTAATTTTATAAAATTTTATACATATGTGGCACGAGTATGACTAATGTAGTGTACATTACTCTTATTCGTGATTTTGATCCTGTTCATCATCATACCCTTCCATAGGTTCCGTGGTCTTACTTAATATTTCATAGTGTGTAGTTTCTTCTCTAGACGGACTAGTTTCATCTAGGGTGTACCTGAAAAGTATTTATTATATTTAATATAAAGCCAAACAAAATTATCAATTTGAATGTAAATTAGTTTAACGTTTAAAAAAGATGGTTTTGTTTATATACAAGGTCTACTGTGTTTCGATGAAATTAATTAATTCAGAGAGATTCATATTGTTATTTTAACAATTTCCTTTGTAATAGGGAAATAGGTACTATAATATATAATAACTTATGCAATACAGATTATAAAATAAAATTAAAACGACTAACACAAACAAGGGAAGAAGGAAACGCAACAAAGAAGTAGGTATGTATGCAGTCGGGAGACATAATATGTAATGTACATATTTTACCCTTGCTGCGATTCTAGTTACGTAGTACCTACTAGTAGGTATCTAAGAGAGATGATACGCAAACTGATGAACTATTACATATTACAAAATGACATATGTGAGTATAGGAAAAATCTAATTCCTATATAAAGTATATATAGGAAAAATCATTATGTATTTAATAAAACGAATTTCAGTTTACTGTTTTTACATGACTAATTCATCGACAATAATAAATCAGTACATATACACCATCATTTATAGACATTTCGATGTACGAATTAGTTTAATTGGTTCCTGATGAAACCATGGAATCTTTATTGAATTTGAGAATCTGTCGTCTCAGGATCTAAATCTCTTTAAGAAAAACATCGTGGAGATGTATCGATAGAGATGATCTTAGAGAGCTAATCCAGTAATTAAAAAACGTGTGAAATCCGTCAGGCTGCATTTGGCCATTTTGTCGTGTGGGATTATAGTCCACACTTCACCGCATTGAATGAAGGCCCTTGGCCAGTAATGGGACGTTAAATAATTATTCAAATCAAGTTTAAGCATTTTGTTCTTCGCCAGTTCTTCTCAGGTCTTCTTCTTTCCGAACTGGTAGTAGACTCATGACGTTCAGTAAAAAATTGAAATAATTTAATGCTGAATAAAATATTTTGATTTGACATTTGATTTTCAAACTCGAGTGTAGGTATATCGAGTGAGCTTTGATTGTAGTTCGCTCTTTCTCAATAGCGGACGAATACTGAGTACTGACCACACACGACGTATAGTACGTAATCTGCAGTGTGCAGTCTACCCGTTACACGCGAGCGTCTCGTGCTCACATATTATAAATAATATAATATTAAATAAACAATTGGGTCCGGTTTCTATTAATTTAAAAGATTTCTCAGGGATTCGATATTTTCCCGCAATAAAAAGTATCCTATATGTTGATCCGGATAACCAGCTATCATCATACCAAATTTCATCAAAATCTGTCCAGTGCTTTTCTCGTGACGCGGTCAAAGACAGACAGACAGACAAAAATTCTAAAAACTATAGATTTGGCCTCTGTATCGATAATAAAAACTTTCAATAAGATTTTCCACAAATTATTTAATGTACAGATTCGACTCAGAATGTTATTATAAATTAAACATAGTACGGCATGAATAAGCGTTAAATGAAAAGGTAAATAGAGACAACTCTGTTTGGTATTGATTATATTATTGAAACTAATTTAATTAAAACATATTATCTGGTTTATTTGAATATAAGAACCAGTCTAATATTACTCATTAATGGCGCATTTGTCAATACCTAGAGGTTTACAACGCGCGATTAACTTATTATCATGTCTAATTAGCTACAATAGAATTGCAGTAGGTTTTATTTTACTGTAAGGTTCAAATTTTGATTTATTTATAACTTCTTCGCCCCAAGAAATTTTTATTTTTAAGTAGGTATTTTCATTTAGAAGCAAATAATACGAGAATTTTTATACAAACCATTTTTACTCCAATTTATCCGCTTAAAGATTGATTTCACTTAAATAAATAATTTAAATCCAATTTATGGCCTGTATTAAGATACTATCTCTTTGTATTAGTTATGTAATGATTTAGCTGTGGATTTTGTATAATAAACAAATAAACGAATAAATAAATAAATAGTAATAGAAACAAGAATGTTAAAAAAGACATACAAGTTTATCAGAGAACGCAGCTCGTACGTCACAGGTTGACGACCACTCTAGTTACTATCGCTACGTTCTACAAAATATCTCTTATACCTAATTGAACTAGTCTGAACTTTGCCGAAATAACCTTCTGAAATGTGAGGTTATTTAGGAAAATTAGATTTAAAAACATAAATAAGCATATGAAATACTTTTTTACAAAAATACATAACATAAGGAATTCCATTTTTTTTTTGATATTACATAGGTATTTTCACTTATTGCACAATATTTTGACTTTTAATGGCTCGCGTGTGGTTTGAAACAGATTATATGCACATATTAAAAATAACGAATTCATTAGGCAGTTGCAGGTTAATAACTGTGACCTTGATTGCTTGTTGTGTAATATTTATTGGAGTAGATAACACCAACGAAATGATCAGACTAAGCTATTATTTTTTCTTACTTACGTATGTTTTACTCACAGTATAATTAAAATAAAGTTATATATAATTGCACGCGTAGGTAGTATGATACTCATATTATTTTTACTATATTAAGGTGTTATTATAACAGCGAGAAGCGAGACGACATGGGTCGGGTGCGACCCATTGTATGTAAAAAATAAATTCAGACAGCGTCACCTTTTGGCAAAATTTATTACTAATAGTACCTAAGCCATGTGGTACTCCAGCTCATAATCTGTGTATTAAAGTCTTCGCATTTATACAGGGTCCAGTACAGTCCCAGAAAGTAGTGTCAAGCGGAAGTCCAGAGATAGAGCACCTCTTGGGGTACCCGAATCCCCCATGTATGTTATGCGATTGTCCAAAGTTTTTGAGTTATAATTTTTTCAAAATTTTTGAGAATTTTCAAACTGAACAACTTAAAAAAGTTCTAAAATAAGTAGAATAGATTTTCGAGTTTTTTTTGCAACTGAATCTTCATAAGTCGTACTTTTATGCTTAAAATAATCAGCTTCGTAACTTTGATGGAAATTATGAAAATGTTAAGTGAAAAATTTACGTTCGGTGAATTATGACTTAAATTTACAACTTTAAATTAAAAATTTAAACAGGTGACTTCATGGTTCCTAAGTAGGTCTCAAAAGTTTTCCAGGCTCTCAACTTTCATAATCATTAAAAAAGTAATGCTTAATAGGCTACTTTGGCTAAAATCGGCCTTCAAAGATAGCGAGGTGATATTTTTTAAATTAGCCATCTGGTTACAAAAAATTTTTTGGCCATTTTATCATTCTTAAGGTTAATTAGTTTGTTAACTAACCAAAAATGACTGCAGGAAAGCTAAGATTCGGAGAACATTTGGAGGTTTTTTAATGTTTAATTTAAGATTCATTGAATTTAAGTTATATTTTATTTCTTTTATAGACAAGGGCTGAAAGCCTTTGAAAATGGTAAAAAGTGAAAAAAAAATATAGTACGATGAAACCCACTGGAAAAGGGAAAGAATATAACAAAAATGAAAGGAAGAATAATTTACGGGCGATTGAGGTAAGTAGAAGGGGGTGAGTTTTTAAGGGTAAAAAACGGTTTATCTCGATTTTCGGCAAAACTACTAGCCCTATGGAAAAAAGTTAAATGGCAAAGTTATAGGCAATAAAAAGATCTATAACTGTTGTATTTACACTTTTTCACATAACCTCAAAATTTATGTGAAAAATTCAAATAACCAAGTTTTTGGGTATTAATTTGTATCTTTTACAAAAAAAAAGTTTTTTTTTTACGAAATTTAGTGAAAACTTACCTTTTTATGTCCCAAACACACTGTAATAATAATGATAATAAAAACTCTTTATTGCACACACAACATAGGAAGAAATATAAAAAAAAGAAGAATACAGTAGTAGCAAAATGCACAAGAGGCGGCCTTATCGCTAAAACAGCGATAAGGCAGTGTATTGTTTTTATTTAAAATATTTATTTTTTCACCTTATTTTGACTTAATATCGAAAAGGCACCTTAATTTTCAATCGAAAATTCTCACGTCAAAATATCTGCTCTTTTAAAAAAGTCGGTGGGCTTTTTGTTTGTTAAAATCTCAACTTTCTGATAGTGTAAAAAATACATTACTATAGGAAATTTTCTCAGAAAATGCAATTAAAAAATTTAATATTTAATAAGACATCTACAATATTTTGAGAAAGTTGTAGAATCTCATTAAATTATATGCGTAGATGCATATTTATTGCTATTTTAAGATAACTTATATACCTGAGTGACATACGGAAAATTTTAGCCCAACAAAAGGTATTTCATAGAGAAGTGGGGAAGGGGCTAGGAGGGTCTGGCCTATATTTTTTGCATTTTTATATGCAACATATTTTGTTCAATAAGTAGTATTATATGCCACTATGAAATTGTTATTATTATACAATCACTACATATTATAAATATTTGTTCAGGCTAACTCAGAAACTACTAAATGGATTTTCATACGGTTTTCACTAATAGAATGAGGGATTGTCTAGAAAGGATATGAAAATTTAAGTGAAAATAAGCTAATGCTATGATCATATTTATAAGATAAGTAGAAAAAAAATCGTAGGTGCTCATTGAGAGTTCCTGTTATATTATAAATGCAAATAGACGCCCCGTTGGGTTCTGATTTGTATGCTAATGCAATTAAAACCATTACTCATTTTTTCAATCACTAATCTTAGTCTACTTCAAAGATCGATGAATAAAATTATTGTCAAAGATCTGCCTGTGACGGAGAGTAGTGTCAAGCATTTTGATATGAATTATTATGATACATGCCACCGACCTTTCAAGTGCCTTGAAGGTGCTTATTTTTTTTATTTTTTTTTCCATAATAAGTGTAGAAGTAATAGTAGCGAATATGGAATAAGAAAGCTTTAATAAAAAGTTCACTAAAGCAAATAAAGGTAGTTTATAATCCTATATATTATGACTAAAATCTATACATATAATAAAATTCTAAGTCAAATCTGTACATTAAATATTTTTTGGGAAATCTAATTGAAATAGACATTATTATCGATACAGAGTCCGAATCTATAGTTTTTAGAATTTTTATCTGTCTGTCTGTCTTTCTGTCTGTCTGTCTGTCTGTTACCGCATCACGAGAAAACCACTGGACAGATTTTGATGAAATTTGGTATGATGATAGCTAGTTATCCCGGTCAATCTATATGCTACTTTTTACCGCGGGAAAATATCTCATTTCTGAGAAAAATACAAAAACACAAAAACTGCATTGTAAGAGTATATTAACCCTCAAGAGAAGCACTGGGTATGGGATACCCAGGTGTAAATTAAAAATATTTCTCCTTCAGAAATGGTTACAATGGGAAGGTGACTTTGCCTAGGGGAAAAATCTCTACTATCCCCACTACAGATTCCCCACCATAGTTATCTTGAGATGTGAATACGGACTAAAATATAGGCGGCCGTAGTCAGTCTATGGGTATGCGCTACCCAGTGCTGTTGTAGCGTCAGTATTTTGTTATTTTATCTGACTCAACGTTTTGCATAAAATTGTGTTTTTCAGTTCTTTTTTTGTATTTATATAATTAGAATTCTAAAATATCTATTTTAAAAGAATTCTGATCGATATTTTATATCATCAGTCAGTTTTATTATATATATTGCTTAGTTCAAGTGCATTTTTTGGAGTATTTACATTGAAATTTTACCGATCGTGACAGTTTTTCGTAAGTAAATTATAAATATTACATTTTCTATAGTATTTTTTATTAAAAATTTGATTTTCTATTTTTTTAACATTTATTTATCGGTTTCTTTCATTTTTTCTCTAGCTCAAAATGAATACACGTTCTCGTACTCGCCGTGCGTCTGAAGTAAACGCATTATATGAGGCTGCAGATGTTTTTGACGACGAAGAAAGTGAAAGCGAGACTGAATCAGTTTTTGAAGTGCAGCATAATGAGAGTGATGAAGACGGAAGCGAAGAAGAGCAGGTAGAAGCTGTTGAAAGTAAGTCATCAAGCAATGAGTCTGAATCAATACCTAGTACATCAGGCAAGAGGAAACGTGGTCGACCAAGCTGAAAAATGTAGCTTGAAGTTATATTCTTAATTTTTTGTAGCATTAATCCATTTAAAATATAAGTTTTATAAAGTAATTTAAATGTTTGTATTAATAAAAGAATAATGAATCCATATTTTTTAATTAAGTAATATCATTCTAAAAACACTGAACTTTACCTAACTAAATAAATATCTTTTATCAATTACAGTTAAATGACGAAATAACTATCTAAAAGTACATTTAATTCCCTTTCAAATGCCGTCGGGAAAAATTTTTTATCTATAAATTCTGCCTAGATATGGTAATTTGAATAAAACACCTCATTTTAAGGGTTTATGTTGATTTTTTTCTATATTATTCAAGATAATTTTTTCTTTATGACAATTCTATGGATATATTCTTAATCTACACTGTCTAAGCTTTAAAATGAAAAAAAAAAATTCTATATCGGACAATTTGATCGAAAGATATTATTAATCAAAGACACGCGGGTATGGCATACCCACTGCTTCTGGATCGCGCAGCAGCGATAGTGCTTCTCTTGAGGGTTAATATGTAAAACCTAAGAATTAGGTTTTTGGTCATCTAAACGCGGGCGGAGCCGGGGGCAATGCTAGTAATAAATATAAAATGCCTGAGAACGAATCCCTTTCATTAGTAGCACTAAGAATCAGGCTCTTAAACTCAAGTCTAATGGTTTTTTTTAACGTTGCGAAATGCATTTAGGTATAGCACTTGCATACATACATGTGCCTGAAGGACAATAACAAACACATACAAACGAACAAAGAAACTCCTCCATTTTGAAGTCAGTTAAAAGACGTGGGCGTGATTATAGGTACCATCAAAAACCTTTAAATACTGTGTTAAACTTACCCGCAAGCCCTGAAGAAGGCAGAAGCGGAGGGGTTGTGCGTGAGTGCGGTGAGACGCACGCAGCGCATGCGTGTGGCCCGCGCCAGTTGCTCGAGCACGCGCAGCACGCGCTGGCCTAGCCCACGGCGGCGCCCACTCTCCTCTATCTGCACTTCGTAACTGTTGGCGAAGAAAAGCAAAATTTGCAACTATGTATGTTTAAATAATATTACATATATTATAGTAAATACAATATGACAAAAAATGTTGTTTTATGTGGTTGTAGCATTTTCAAAAAATCTAATATTTATATATGTATTTCTTCACATTTTAAAAAAGCGAAGAAATATTCCTTAAAAGCTGAAATAGTTTATTACTCAGCGGCAATCTGAGTAAAAATTTAGTTTTTATTATCGACTAGCGGCTCACCCTCGCTCCACTCGGGTTCGTCTCTAACAGTGACAAACAAAAACGAATCTATCCCACGAGAACCGTACATTTTTCCGGGATAAAAAGTAGCCTATGTGTTATTCCAGACTATAATCTATCTTTGTGCCAAATTTCATCCAGATTCGTTCAGTCTGTCTGGCGTGAAAAAGTAACAAAATCCATACTCACAAATTTTTACATTTATAATATTAATACGGATATACAAATTTCATACCAGCGCGGCGGTTAGTATAATTACATATAACTACTACTTTTTTCATTTTTTTACGGAAAAATCTTTAGACCATGCATTCATTCGCAGTAGGTTCATGCTTGTTATCAATACTGTATGCATGTAAGTTCATCGATAATTTGGTCAATGTGCTTGGAGGTGAAAATGATAAAAAGTGCACAAGATTGTAGAATCCGCTGAGATAGGAATAAGTTATATAAAATAAATTAATTGACCGCTGTGACTAATATTGAATCCCACTGCCTACTTACCACGGCAGATGTTTTGGGTTCGATGTTTGCATAGATTATACAGATGTTTGTTTTCTATCCAGTTAAGGTAGAGCATGGTCAGAAAGTGGTAGTAAGTACTTCGATACAGACGAAAAATGACATCAAAGAGTTAGTTTTAATAAGTTCTCTTTGTCGTAAGAAAAATATGTACGAAAGTTATTAACTTACATATAAATTAAACCAATAGTAAGTATTAACTCGGATTGAAAAAGTGCAGTAAAGATTTGGTATGCTAAAACTACGAGTATATCAATGATTTTATTAATGGTAATTTATTGGAAACGGTGGATTCATGTAATATTACATAAATAGTAAACGTATGTAAACTATACATATAATAAAATTGTAACTAAGCCGAATCTGTACATTAAATATTTTTTGGAAAATCTTATAGAAATAGACTTTATCATCGACACAGAGGCTGAATCTATAGTTTTTAAAAAATTTGTCTGTCTATCTGTATGTGACCGCATCACGGAAAACCACTAAAGGGATTTTGATACAATTTGGTATGGTGATAGCTGATTATCCAGGTCAACATACAGGATACTTTTTATTGCGGGAAAATATCTCATCTCATAATAACGACGATCATAACATAAGTTGTTTAGATTTAGCAATATAGTGATAAGAATTTTCTAGGAAGGAGGTAAAATATCCGAGACTTGTTATGACTTATTGCGAGCTTCTCAATAGAATGAGTGCGGTAAGCACGCGTATCGTGAGAGGAAAATCAAGCTATCTAGTAGTCGGGTGTAGTGAAAGGTCACGTGTGGGTGGCGGTTTCAGGCTAACGTCAGCGGGGGCAGGCGGGATGGCGGGCTAGCGAGCGCAGCGTGCATCGCAATCTGTGTCGAGCAACAGAAGCATGAGCGCGCGGTTGCTGTGGCTGGTGCTGACTTGCGCGACGGCGGTGCATGCGGCGCGCATACTAGCCGTCCTACCGACCAACACCAAGAGCCACTACGCAATGTACGGCAGAATCTTAGATGCACTTGCCAGGAAGAATCACTATTTGACCGTCATTACTCATTTTCCTATGGTATGTACTGAGTGATTATAAGTTTAAAACTATGTACGCATCTGATGATGATAAGTTAAACATTTTAGATCCTTTGAAACATCGAATCTTACTTAAGAAATCATCTCTCGTTAATAAGTGCCATATTCAGCTAGTGAATATAGACACGGATTAATTATTTTATTGTATATTTATGTTTAAAATGTTAATCCATGTAATGGAATCGTAGTGAGGACCAGAATTGTTTAAAAAAACATCGGATGACTACTGACTAGTCTGTTAATCAGCTCCATAAATATAATGTGTGTTATTCAAATCTAAAAGTAAAAGCTCGGTGCCCTCTTAAGTCAAAAGTTAAGTTTAGACTTGAACTTTACTTGAAAAGTTTTCTTAGGATATATATAAATGAAAATTTTCTGTTTTCATAATTTTCCTTGTTTGTATTTCCATATTGAAAATATTATGAAAAAAATTCAGAATTTTCTTAGAACTTAACATTAAAATAAATTTTAATGATTATCAGGTTAGTCAAATAAAGGATTAATTATTATTATTGATGGAGTACGCAAATACTAATAAAATATTGGAGCATTTGGCATTCCGGCCCTCCAGTCTATCACACCTCGTTAGGAAGTAGCGACATATCGTAATAGAGATAAGTAAGAATAATTAGGAACAAATTCCAATTGCTAATTGCAGTGTTGCCGTCTAACGGATAATACGTAGATTTTCTTATGCATTGACCCATATATAACGTACTTGTTCGCAGCTGTAGTTATGGTATAAAGATTATGTGTGTTTACCTCAATTGGAAGTTTAATGAATTTGTACTGCCACACAATGAACTTAACTTTGAAGTAAAAGAAATTGGAACTTGATAAATGTTAATGTTTAAATAGAATGAATGGTCTTCTTAATTGTTCAGAGTCAAAAGAAATCAGTTTAACATCCATTACCCAGATAACAATCAGCTACGCTTTAAAGAGACAACGTAATATTATTGCACATCCAGTAAAATATTATCAAAATTAACCAGGCTCGTGTGTCAGTGCAACGTAATAATTAAATAACAAATTAAGAGGCCAAGAAACTAGCGTCTGACGAATCTGAGTGCACATTTGGGCATCGCGCGCAGTGATAAAGTTATTTATCATAAAATTACACTCTATTTTATTTCCAACTTCAATTTCTAATAAGGTACATCGTAAAACTATATTATGAAATTATAATGGATACAGGGTACATTTTCCTTTACATATTCATTTGACTGTTTTTTACTTTACAAAAAATTACATATATTACAATTAGTACCTATTGTTCTTTAATAATCATAATAAAACATAAAATATCTCTAACTTTTTACACATTAATAGCAATAAAATCATTTGAACATCATTTAAAATTAAAGCAGATATTTATTATTAGTAACGGCCCTTTTTCCACCTATCCAGACGGGGGGTAATATTTTTTAGCGATAATGTGTCTTTACGTACGTACACATGTCAAATTATTTGATCATCTCTACAGTCTAAACGGTTATCGACAAAATATGAGTTAGAATTTAAAAAAATAAATAATTAAAAACATTTCAATTTCCTCGAAGGAGTGAAATAGTTGTCGGAAACTATTATTTATTACTTAATCTTGTAAATTGCCAATCTAGTTTAAATATTTTTTAGTCCCATCGCAAAATAATTGAACTAATCAAGACTAAAAAATGCCGAGATTTTTGTTTTGGCGAGAGTTAGCTTTTATGATGATAATCTTCTTAATACCTGACCTAAATTCATTGATTAACACATTAATAAATATTGTAGGCATAATTTACAAAAGTGCAAAATGAATTTACCATCTAACGGTCGTAACATAAATTTATTTCATTGCATTTTCTTGTTAGGTATATAATTTCTGATCATGATTATGTTATAGTAGATTTGATAAAAGAGTATTAAATGGTATAATGAATAGTCGGTAGGAATGAAAACTATATTGTAAGCAATTATAAATATGACCTTTGACATAGATGTGCATCTTATCTTACGGCACGCGCTTTGCTCTCAACCATGTGTCTTGCTATTGCAATAAATAATTATATCACTTGCAAGTATTTCATATTATATTACATTATTTTGAAGAAATATTACATTATTTTTGTTACAGAAAACCCCACCGTCCAACGTAGAAGAGATCAGTCTAGCTGGTACTATACCGGAAATAACCAATAATCTCACTAAGCAAAATAATTCCTTAAAGCCAAATGCCATTCAAAATTTAGAACAAATCATGAAAGAATGTGTTCACGCTTGTGAAATTGTGTCACAAAATCCAGAAGTGAAGGCCCTAGTAAATTCCACAAGAACCTTTGATTTAGTTATTGTAGAGGTATTTGGCAGTGAATGCTTCCTTCCATTTGGAAATCGATTTAAAGCTCCTGTAGTTGGACTGTTGTCAAGTGTGCCTTTACCATGGGTCAATGAACAACTTGGAAACCCAGAAGGACCAGCATATATACCGGCCTACATGATGGGTTTTGGACAACGAATGAATTTGTGGGAGCGATTTCTAAACACAATAGCAGTTATTTGGGCAAAAATCTATTATAAGAACAAATCACAGATACCGTCACAGGTATGTTCTATATTATTCATATCAAAAAAGTCAACATAATGATGTAAAGTGACACAAATATATAATATGTATAATGTATATGCAACTAAATTACTTACTAATTATACCTGTTGTTTAAAACTGAGGCCATATGGACACAATGATTTTTCAAAGCAGAGCAGATATTTATGTATCACAACAAAAACAGGCAGTAAACATAATGCTACCGCAACCAATATACCCAAATTTTTAACCCGACTGCGGTGAACGACAAAGGACGGCTGTGTTTACGACCTGTATGTACTATGTATGTCCGACCCTATGTTCCCTTGTAGTAATTACTAAATGGCTTACCAACCTTTTTTTTAATGTTGGGAAATGCATTTACACATACCGCCTGTAGACATACAGATGGTTTATGTGGGCTAGAAAAGTCAGTAATACACACTAAAACCCAACAAAACCTCCCCCGTCTTAATGGGGCGTCCCAGGATTGCATATGCACTCAACTACGACGCCCCGACGGTAGGTATGCCGAAGCAGTCCACAACAACCATGAAGTTGCTCCACAGTCTACTCTCCTATCAGAGAAGTACCAGGAGCAACCCGCACGGCACACCGCCCACCGAAGTGGGCTGAATTGCCGGACGCTAATGAGCCCCCCCACCACGACAAGGTGAACGCATTTTGTGTATGTATAGGCCCTACTCAACATGAAATCTATAAATATTACAAAATAGAATAGTTATATAATATTTTTTTAAACTATGATTGTTATATATTTTATAGGGAATATTGACTTCAAAACATATTAGTCTGATTGTCTGTATATCTGTGTGTTTCACGCAAAAATATACTGATGCGATTTCAATTAAATTTTGTATAGCAATAGCTTATTATTCGGGTCTGTTTAGTATACTTTTTACTGTATGTTAATCTCTCATACCTACAAGAAACACAATAATTACTTCGGAGGATTTGTCCTTCATACAAAAATTTCAATGATTTGTTACACAAAACTATTAGTGGCAGGGTTAAAAGTTAATATAATAAACAATTTTTAGGATTCGCTAATTTTCATAGAAAAATGCAAAATTTAGCGCTCATCTATGTGTATCTATACATACGAGGGCAAGGTGAAAAGTTCTCGGCCTGACAATGAAAAACTGCTTTTCAGTTAATGAATGATTTTATTTTTCCACATACTCTCCCTTGACTTCAACACACTTAGTCCTGAGTTTCTTCAACATCAGTATTCTTTCCCGAAAGTTAGAGTCTGGAAGGCTGTGAAAATATTCTCTCAACTTCTTGATTGGATGCGAAGCGCCTGCCAGAAACACATTTCTTTATGTTTGGGAACAGTTGGAAGTCTGAGAATGCCAAATCAGGAGAATAGTGGGGATGGCTGAGCAAATCGTACTCCAAATCTCGCAGTTTTCCCATCGCCAACGCACCTTTGTGAGCCGGCGCGTTGTCCTGGTGAAAGGTGATTGTTTTCTTCTTCAAGCCAGGCTTCCCCTCACAAATTTTGGCATCCAGCTGGTCAAGAAAGTTGGAGTAATATTCGCCTGTAATTGCTCTGTCCTTTTCAAGAAAATCAACTAACAGGATCACTTTCTCATCCCAAAACACATTGGCCATGACCTTTCCGGCAGATTCGATTGATTTCACTTTCTTTGGCTTCCACCCACTGCTTTGACTGTTGTTTAGTTTCTGGCATATATTGGTGGAACCATGTGTCATCCATAGTGACAAATCGCCGCACAAAATCGATGGATTCCTATTGAATCGGTGCAAACATTGCCACGAATGTCGTTTGCACGTTTGCTTGTGATCGGTGCTTAGCAAATGCGGCGCCCATCTTGCGCAGAGCTTTCGCATCCCCAATTCTTTGTGCAAGATGTTTCACATCCTTTATTCCGATATCCCAACGGCCTTAGCTATCTCGCTCACGTTCACTCGCTTATCGTCGATACGCGATATCGTACACCTTTTCGATGATTTCCAATGTGGTTGCGGTTTTTGGCTGTCCTTGACGGGGGTCATCTTCGGAGGACGTGCGACCACGTTTAAATTCAGCTGCCCATTTTTTAACAATGAAGGAGCAGAGTCCCCGTAAATTTTCATCAACTTTGAATAAATTTCCTTAGGGATTAATCCATCCAAAACAAAGAATTTTATGACCGCAAGATATTTAAATTTATCTATCGTTAAGATAAATGCGGAAGACGTCTACTGCAAAAGTTCATGTAAGCAAACTACTTGAGAGATCAAGTTGAAACGTGTCATATGAACTAATAACACATGAATCTAGGCAGGAAACATAAATTTTTGATGATTAGAATGCCATCTCTGTGTCAGGCCGAGAACTTTTCACCTTGCCCTAGTAGTATAAAAAAATCGCTATCTGCCTGTATCTGTTCCTCCTCTTACTGCTTCTAAAAAATGCAACGGATTTTAATACGGTTTTTACTAATAGAAAGAGCGACAAACGGGGAAGGTTTGTGTGTATTATTTGTAAATATTTTGTACAAAATAGCTATGCTAGACGGTGTTCTTTTTCAAAAAACAGTTTATGCACGATTAAGTGGCTAATGGTAGCTTAATTTTTAGAAATACATCAAAACGATGTCCTAGAAAATTTTAGATCTTTAAAAGGAATACAGAAAACCTTTCAGTGTATTTCCTAAGGTACGCTCACAATGACTATTATTATCTATTTAAAAAGTATTTAGGGACCACCCGAGTGATTCGAGAGTAAGTCATTACTTAGTTATAGGATTTAAAATTGCTGGCCATCAATCGGCCGTTGATGGTAATATATCGAAAACCTTCAGGAACCTGCTTCCAAGAACTCTGAGTAACGTACACAACGTTACAAACATACATATTCATTCATTTGGACTTAACACCAAAAAATAATTTTATTAATTTTAATTTTTAAGGTGATTGCTGATAAACTCTTTGGCCCTGGTCCTAAGTTGGAAACATTAGCGCAAAACTATAGTTTAGTTTTAGCTAACAGTCATTACAGTATTAACGAAGTACGGCCACTAGTTCCTACTTTAGTGGAGGTTGGCGGCTTACATCTAGATAACACACAAACATTGCCAAAGGTATTTATAATATTGCACTATGTATATAATATTAAGTTAAATTAAGCTTCAGTTCCAGAGCAGGAAATATTTATTAATTTGGATGATGGCTTGAGGCTTACAACTTAATCGTTGCTATAGAAACATAATAGTATAATAATATATTCCTTACATATATTTTTTGGGTTTTCTATTCCGCAGTTGTAGAGCGATATCTTGTCTGTCTCTATTTTAAACTAGCTGACCCGCCGCTTTTTCCGCGTTCAAAGTACAAAAAAACAAATTGTTCTTTCCCTTCTCTACAATAATGTATTGAAGTCTGGACGATTTGTTGATATTTATGATTATTTCTCCGATCCCTTGGGTAGTAGTAGCATGATGATGAACTCTGCCTTTTTACAATATTAGTATAGATTAACCGTTTTGCCGAAAAACCCTCATATTATCTACTACTGGCGACTTACCCTCTCTTAGCTCGGGTTCGTCCCTACATTGACTCCCCATACAAACTTTCGTCCCCATTTTTGCCACCTTAAGGGATGATTTTCGGGATGAAAACTAACCTTTGTCCTTCCCGGGATCTCAAACTATCTTCTTACCAAACTTCATTTAAATCGGTTCAGTAGATCCAGAGATTACCAGAAAACCTCAAAAACTCACAAACTTTACCTCTTTATAATATTGGTATAGATAAAAATAACACAAGAAGTTTCACGTATATAATATTTTAAAAGTAAGTATTGCAAATCCGACTGCTAGTGCAATTAGAAGTATATACGTAGGCAGAAGTTAAACTGGTGTAAGGATAAGACACTTCAAATTTTTCGTTGATGTATTGCTGAACGTAAACACTAAATTATGATGTCAATTATAGTGGATGCGTTCATATCTATTAACCCAAATAGAATTCAGGTTTCCGTCTATCGCACATATTGTTCAAGGACCTTAAGACCTTATTGAAATAGATAGTCTATACTTGTAGTGAAATTATAAAGAGGTCATTGCTTTTAGAATTATTTAATTATTCAATAATCGCACTATGCTGTTTTTTAGTTATAACTAGCTACTCACCCTTGCTTCGTACAGGTTCATCCTTAGTAAAAATGAAAAACAAATTTATACCATGCGAACCGTACATTTTTCTGGGATAAAAAGTAACCTACGTGCTATTTCAGACTATAATCTATCTCTGTGCCAAATTTCATCCAGGTCCGATCAGCCATTCTGGCGTGATTGAGTAACAAACATCCATCCAAACTTTCGCATTTATAATATTAAAAAAAATGGAATTTCTAGGTTTATGTACGTATATATGTTATAATGTATATATTGCAGGTTTTAATCTATACTAATATTATAAAGAGGTAAAGTTTGTGATCTTGTGAGTTTGTGAGTTTGTGACGTTGTAGGGGGTAATCTCTGGATCTACTGAACCGATTTTCAAAATTCTTTTACCAATAGAAAGCCACGTTCTTTCTGAGTGTCATAGGCTATATATTAACCTGAAGAATGAAAAGGCTTTTTCGTGGTAGTCGGATTTGCAAAGTAAGTCGGAGAAAAAACGGTCGAACGAAAACGTTTTTTACGAACGCTGACTTAACGATGAGAGATATATGATTATGTTCTAAAGAAAAGTTGTAGAGCTTAATAATACCTACAAAAAAGTCAGCGACAGCATATGTCTAACTTTTATATTTAAGTCACAAAAAGTAGTTTTTCATATTAAAAAAGTAATTTAAATCGGTAGGTCATGTTTATTGGTCATATTATGAACAATTACGAATTCTTATCAAAATTAGTAAATTTATCGTCCAAAATGTTTAAAACAAAAGACTTTTACCTTTTACTGCATATAATTTGGATAAATGGTTAAAGAGATAATACAACATTCGTAGGTATGGACGAAGCCGAGCGAGCTGTTTGTCTGTTTTTCTGTTTCTACGGGCTAATCTCCGAATCTATTGAACTGATTTAAATGAAATTTTGCATGGTAGTACCTTATATCCCCGGTCAACATCTAAGATAATTTTCATTCCAGAAAATTAATGAGTTTCCGTGGGATAGTTAAAAAACTATGTATAGTAACTTATACAGTTTAGTACACAACAACTTATGCACCTAATTTAGTAAAATTTGGCATGCTGATATCTTATATTGCCGGTCAAACAACAGGTTACTTTTCATCCCGGAAAAATAAACGGTTCCCGTGGGATAGATCTGTTTGTGCTTCTCTAGAGGCGAACCCGAGCGAGGCGAGGGTAAGCCGCTAGTGTTATTTAATTTCTTTTGCCTTCAAAATAATAAGATACGTGAGTACGCGAATCCGCCGACAACATTGTGACGCATGATTCTTATAAAATATCAATTTTACAGGATCTAAAACTCCTTCTAGACAATGCTGACGAAGGCGTCATTTATTGGAGTTTTGGTTCTATGTCACGTATTGAAACTATTCCCAATGAGAAGCTGGCGCAGATATTCAGCGCGATTTCCGAGTTGTCTCAAACTGTCCTCGTACGGATGAACCGACGACTGCTTGCACGCAACCTTACCGTACCTGACAACGTTTACACCATGGATTGGATACCTCAATATAAGACTCTATGTAAGTGATTATTTCATTTATAAGCAACTTTACGCTATTTCGACATTACGCCTTGTCAACATTAACAAGATGATCACAGTTCACTCTTAACGAAGAATCGTTTACATAGTTCGTTATCTTTTTTTGCCCTAGAACGGTATTTAAACGCTTGTGTTTGAACTTTTTTAGTTTTAAAATAAGATAGTAAAATGCTCATTCGACTATCGTGAGAATTGAACCTGCTAGTTCTATTTTACTCCAAACAAAACAAGACATCTCTGCGTTAAAAGTCCCTATAGGTACAAACATTTTTTTAAATAGTTAAACGAGCAGATGATCTGCCTGATCGTAAGTGGATATTGTCGCCCATATAGGTACATCTGCAACGCGTTGAAAGCGTTACCAGCTTATAAGAGAACTGAAATCTAACTCTAGAGAAAACTCTGCTCAAAATCCCAATACTCTTGTATACGTTACGAGGAGTTTTTTGAAACTTTGGTTTGGCTGAAGATATGCTTTCTCCTTTGCGAAATGCGCTTGCGTGCCGTTCTGTTCACAAGGTTGATAGAGAAATTCCGTTCGGCAGCTTTGGCGAGATCAAAAAAGCACGTAATCCAAAACGATAGGTTAGAAATCTCCCCCACAATGCCGTGGTACGATCTTTCCTAGTCATGGTCCTGCATCTTGCAGGATTTTGCTATTTACATGCCATTATTACATTTAGTTAATAAATATATAAACTGGTTTTTATATTTTACAGGTCATCCCAATGTAAAGTTATTTGTGTCACATGGTGGGTTATTGGGAACGCAAGAGACGGTAGCATGTGGAGTCCCTACACTAGTGGTGCCACTGTATGCTGATCAGGCTTTAAACGGACGTGCTATGAGCGACCGCGGCGTCGCGCGAGTTATATCTTTAAGACATTCTACTTCTGAAACTTGGAAAGAAGCTTTTCACGACTTATTGACAAATCACAGGTATATAAATTTTATTTCAATACCTTGATATTTTATAGAAGTTTTCCATAAAAGTTTAAGTTAATAATTGCATTTTTACACATATTGTGTGGAAACGCACAAAAACTGACCTGAAACTTTCTCTAGTAAATAAGTATCACTTAATTTTTGATAACCTTAGTCTTACGAGAAGGGGGAATGCTTGTTGTTTAAGATAAATAATTGACGATTATGTAGTTATCTTTAAAAAACACCGAGTTAATTGTATAGTGATAACTTGTTTGACACTTAATAAAAAATCGAAGTAAGGTTATTGAAATATGTAAATTATAAATTTACAGGTACAAAGAACGCGCCCTTAAGTTGAGAGATATTTTCCTTGATCGACCCATGCCACCATTGGAAACTGCGGTGTATTGGATAGAATATGTCTTAAGGCATAAGGGAGCTAGCCACATGCGATCACCAGCTCTCGAATTAAATTATACACAGTACCTACTACTAGATGTGGGAGCACTTAGTATTGTTATAACCTCATTGACAATTTATATACTTCATAAGTTATTCAGACACTTAAGCACTCGATGCATTCGGTGGTGGCCTAAAGAAATTCTCTTAGAAAAGAGGCTATTCAGAAGAAATATTAGTCTTTTTCATTGTTTCCTATGGATTTACAAAGTGAAAACAAACTAAACTAATTTAGGTTTATTGGAATTTATAATTTACTTGTTTGTATTAGTCTTATACTGTAAATAATATGTAAGATATTTATTATTTCCCCTGTGACATACCAGATAATATTGACTTTATGTGAGTTCATTGAATGCATAATATGTGTGTAAATAAAAAAATAATAAATGTTACCTAAATGTTAGCAAAATGTATTACACAGATAATGTATAATGTGTATGTATGTATTGTGTACATTATAGTCATTACATATTGTATAATGGGAGAATGAAACTCATGTTTCAATTAGATGATTGAATAACTATAATAATTTACCTCCTTTCTTATTAAAATAAAAAAAAATAATTAAAGCAAAGTGTAAATTGTTGATAATTGTAGTGCAATAACAATGTCTGTTACATGCTTTCTAATACACTTAGGACCAATCCACACTATAGTGGCGATCACGGTTCGCTCTCGGTCCGATATTGGTCTGGTAAAGTATTGTTATACAAGAAACAATAAGTGCATTCACACTATCAGTAAAGGAGCATCCACTATTTACGTGCGACAATTTTGGCAATTATTCTATGAATTTTTTAATTGTTCATAAATGCTCCTATCAGTGGATAATTAAAACCGCAATGAATATTATTATATATGTGTGATTTAGCCATATGTTAATGGAGCAACATTTTTACTTAAATTAACCCAGTTTTCTCGCAATTTTACATTGTCTCTTACGGAAAAAAAATACGCGATATTTGCCGAGACCCCCCCGTGAAAGTGAGTGAGGTTTTGCTCGACCCCCTCCCAACCTTAAACGCTTCACGTAATTAATGGATGTACCCTAAGAGTCACATTCTCGTCGAATCACACTCCAGGAACTTTTCTTGTACAAAAGAAACTTTACCAGACCCATATTGGACCGAGAATGGACTGTGATTAGCACTATAGTGTGGATCAACACTTAACATAACAAATTTGGATCCTGCATATTAAATTATTTATATAAGTTATACAAATATTAATTTTAATTAAATCAAAGCTAAAATTGTGTAGTAAAAATATATATACATAGGATATATATTTAAATTTGAGGTTAAAAATATAATACTTGTAAATATTAATTTGCTCAATATATCTAACTAAGACCTGAATATCACCAGACAAAGATTAATTTTATGTATCTCACCAATACAGGACAGGCTCTCCAAAGTCCAAGTCAAATCTGAAGTGTGAGAATGCTTGAAGCTTATTGTTTTTGTCTTTGGCAATAAGATACCAAGCCGAATCATCTGTCATCTCTTCAACTTTGCGCTCCCTATTCCATCCCCATGCACAAGTTTCATATCTGTTTTTAAATATTTGTATTATTATTTTTGAAATGTTTTAAATCTATTTAAATTGGAATGCCTTTTTAATTTTAATGAATATTATTATGTATTTAAGAAATTCCCAGTATACTTTAAAATTATTTGCTAAGTCAAATTGAAATAAATTGTGACTATGAAATGTAAGTACATTAAAAAAAACAATTACTGACTATTAATTATTATTAAAGCATACAATGTTAGTATGGGATAACTCATCTGCTTAAGTATGTACAGGCTATTAAAAGTATCAAAGAAATATAATAGTGCAAATATGGTGTGAATTTTAAGAAGAATCTTTAATCTTCTTTATGTAGTAGTAGAATAACAATTCATATAGTATGTGTGTCTGTTAAATAAAATGTACTTACAATCTCCTCATATTTCTCTCGGTCAAGTCTATAGCCCACTGTAGAACATTTTTATCCAAGTCTGTGACTCTTTGTATGTACATATCTATTTCTATATCTTTGTTCCTGTAAACGAGTAGCTCTTTACACATTGGAGCCAAATCTTTCAGTTTGTTTGCAGAAGTAACAAATGACATACCATCAGCAATACGACGTTGTTCTAGTTTTCGCGCTTGGCGTTTTTCTTTGCTTTTATTTGCCGAAGCCACTGTCTTTTTCTAAAAATAATGACGCACTTTAATTTTAATTATGAATTTTCAGATATATATTCGTCTATTCTTACATGAAAGGAATAGTTCAAACAAAGCATTTTTATACGACACTTACTCCCATTTTGATATATTTCTTGATTGATTTATTAAGAAAAATTTAGTTGTCTTAAATAAATGTATTTAAAAAATACAATAAAAATATAAATAAACAATCGGCGGGAATCATTCACACCGAACGATGCTACTATTAAACACAAGGTCGGTTTTCATGTACAAATTAAATCGTCGGAAACATTTGTATCCATAATTTACAATATTCTTATTGGTTTAATAACGTCTTAACTAGAACTCCATCCAATAGTGGACGCTTTACGCAAAAATTGTAAAAGAGAAAACTTCAAAGAACATTAAACAAGCTGTTGACGTATGTTAAGTCGTTCGCAAATAAAATTTCAAAAAATCTATCACTAAAATATTAGAAAAGAAGGGACAAAATAAACAAAAAGAAATTGAAGTAATTCATAAAATGATCATTTTAAGATCAATTGTTTCGTAAAACCTAAAACAAGAAACGTACCTAGGATCCTGAACGAAGAAGCCGCGAAATTTAAATTATAAAATTTTAAACCATTAACGCAAAATAATAATTGTATAATAATAAGCTTTTTTCGTTTAATTTCCTTTATAATATTTACACTTGGTTCAAAATCATAAATATGATTAATTCGGATTAAATATTTCTGTAAACTGATTATGAGAGTTGCGCAGTAGTAATTTTCGGCGCATTGCCAATTTTCATGTCTGTCAGATTGTTCTTGAAAAGAGACTTTAATTATTATTGGCAAAAAGACAAAAAAATTCTTATCCTTTTCGCTGTAATAATAAAATAGTTAAAAATATGAAATACGTAAAACTATCTCAAACAGCTGATTTAATGCCTACTCTAGGCTTAGGAACATGGCAGGTTAGTATAATTTAATATTTAAATATTCTGCTTAAAGGCTTTACAGGTGAATTATAAGGACAGATGAAAGATATTTTTAAATTTCGCATATTTTAGGCTTCTTCAGAAGTTATTGAATCTATTGTATATAAAGCTTTAGACTTAGGTTATCGACATATCGATACAGCTTTTAATTATAACAATGAGGAGGCTATTGGTAATGCAATTAAAAAGTGGATAGATGACGGAAAAGGTACGAGGAAGGATTTATTTATTACTACTAAGGTAAGTAATGTTTTTTAACTATAGTAAAGTAGATATAAGTACGAAAATGAGCAATGAATTTTATAGTTTGTCTCTAGCGGCCTGTATCATATAAAGATGAAATATGTATGGCCATACAAATATTTTTTCTGAAATCGAACCAATGACCTCTGGCTAAAAAGATAAGACAAATAAAGTCAACATCAACGTGTTAAAATAATCAGAAAGAAACTAAACATAAAAACCATTACAGGTTTTAGTCTTGTGTTTGTGTCAATCCATTTATGGATGATTACCTATTATTTTCAAATTTAATGCACGAGAAGTTTAGAAATTTTGTATATAGGTACTAAGTATGTATGTAGAGTTAAGGGAGCTAATAACAGACTGAATGCATTACTTAAGAGGTGCATAATTTAAAAGTTACAAAAATATAAATTGAACAATCTTAGATGTCCAATTCTCATATAAAATTCCTCCACGGTCCATAGGATAACGAACATTAACGTAACATTACATATTTCTGAAACATGAATCTATACAGATAAATAAAATTGAAGTGTCTGTTTGTAACGTCAAAATAACACTAAAAATAACGTTTTACTAAATGCATAGAAATTATATACGGTATTTGTAAGAAAAACACATTTTTTTATGTTTTTATCTGTCTGTCTGTTTGTTCCGGATAATCTCCGAAACGGCTGGACTGATTTTGACAGGACTTTCACTGGAAGATAACTGATGTTATAGGGAGTAACATAGGCTACCTTTATTTTAGAAAAAAAATAGGGTTCCGCTCAAAAAAATTAAAACGTATGTAGACGAACCCGAGCGAAGCTAGGGTGAGTCGCTAGTATGATAATATAATTTATATATTATTTAAGAATCTTACAAACGTTAACACGTCACGTGTTAATATCATATTACCTTCATTTAAAGCTCCCTCATGTTGGAAACCGAGCTTCTGATGTGAAGAAGTTTTTAGATCTTCAGCTGAAACGGTTGCAAATGGATTACGTGGATTTATATTTAATTCACGTGCCTTTTGGGTTTCAATGTGACGAGGCGACGCTGACGCCAGTAGTGAAGAGCTCGGGCGAATACGATTTGGACATGGATACCGATCATATTAACACTTGGAAGGTCATTATAATATCAAATTAATCATTACTTGTAATCATATTGACAGAATTTTATTAATTATTATTGTTGATAGAGGCTAAAGAAAACTTTACGCTTCTTAATTCTAAATTAATACCTTTTTTAAAACTAGGTTTATAGTAGAGGTAGAAATATTTATTTATTATCTTTTCTATTATATTTTTATCTTTTCGGATTATTTCGCGGATTTATTTTTATTTTTGGTTCCCGACGTTTCGACTGTTTTACAGCAATCATGGTCACAGGAGAGACTATATCTCTCTCCCTTAAATTGTATTAGTCTATTAATAATTCAGGTAATGGAAGAATGTCAGAAGGCCGGTCAGGTCCGTAACTTGGGGTTGTCAAATTTCAACGAGGAGCAGATAGCAAAGATCATCAAGCACGCGAGCAACATACCGCAGGTGTTACAAGTAGAGTTGCACGCGTACTTCCAGCAGGTGGAGTTGAGGAAGTTCTGCTCGGAATATGACATAGTGGTGACTGCGTACGCGCCGCTGGGAAGCCCCGGCGCGAAGGAACATTTTGTTAATAAGTATAATTATAGGTAAGTTTGCTAATTTGATAGCTAGAATAAAAAATTGATGGTAAGGATTTTGCCCATCATGAATTTCGTCAGGCTGTTTTTTATACTACGAATATTTAGAGTTAAAGCTTTTCGGTAGACTATTACCTATTATTATAAGATTATTCTTGGACAGGACTCAACTGGACTCAATAGGAAGTACCCTGTTGAGAAACTCTAATAGGATCTCATCATAAGCGACAAAAGCCACATAGAAATTAGAAACCAATAAATATTTATTGGTTTTTATGTGGCTTTTGTGGTTCTTGACATTTTTGTTGTCGACATTTTGGTCGCGTTAATAAGATACATTATTTCTGATATTAATATTAGGACAAAGGCATGTTCAGTCGCTCTACTAAATCTCTACTATATTGAATACTTTCTGTGTGGAGGACTTCTGTGACATATTTCAATGAAGCTTCTCAAAATCTCAATTCTCGATAATATTTTGAATTAAAAAATTGAATTATTTTAATTCGTCTAAACTATTCAAGAAGATAAAAAGATTTTATGTCTAGTTAGCTTGAAGTAATGGAATAATATAGTTATTTGTCTTTTTCCAGTCCTGATGTGTTTCCGGACTTGTTAGGGCATCCGGAGGTTAACGAAATAGCTAAAACCCAGAACAAGTCTCCTGCTCAGGTTCTATTGCGCTACTTAGTTCAGCAGAAAATTGTAGTTATTCCCAAAAGCACTAGCGAGAATAGACTTAAGGTAATTTCTCATTCAGACATTATTTGATATATGTACTTGAATTCATATTTCGTAGGAGGTACATTGATTTTTCATTTAAGTAAATTTTATTTTTCAAATAAGGACGAAATTGTATACTTAGCCATCTTTAGCAATTAATTATAAAAACTTTTAATATTTATAGCTTTTTGTTTAAATGTACCTATTCATATTAAGAATTTTTTTTCAGGAAAATGCTGACTTGTATGATTTCGAATTAACAACGGAAGATATAAATCGACTGAAAAAACTGGATAAAGGAGAAGACGGTCGCATTTTCAACTTTCTATTTTGGAAAGGAGTCGAAAACCACCCGGAGTATCCCTTTAAGCATTTAGTTTCGGCGAATTAATTTTTCAAATTCTAGTCAATTTTATTATAGACCCACCCTTTTTAACTAGGAAGATATTATTTTTTGCAAATAAGTCTTTGTCACTGCCAAAGTAGCACATAATTTGAGTACCCTGCAATATGGTGGAAATTGTTTTCTAGTCACTATCTCTTAAGTTACAATACTTGGGTTGAAAATTTTATTATTTATTAAAATAATTGAATAATAGCACTTGCGAGGCAGTTTTAGGCAACGTTACAATATAAATTATTATAAAGGAAGTGCCACGTAGAGTAGGAATGGAAAGCAACATATAAGTTGCGAGTGACCAATAATTTTGTAGGTAATGATAGAAATAACGTCATGTTCTCAGTATAACTGAAATGACGATAAATATTTATGAAGGTTTCGCTATGTGATATCCGTATAACGTGAGAAGGACTAACAAAGTATTAGATTTGAACTTTAAAAGGTATGTGAAATCAGAGGGCATGCTAGTTCCATGGACGAATTAGAGACTGGACCTGACATAACATACAAATGTATGAAAACTAGTTCAACCAAGTGACGCCTAACGCACACAAAGATTTTATTACATTATTATTAACACTTATACACAATACAATATTTCTAGTGCTTGAACGTAATCGATAAAATACATATATCGATGAACCAATGAATGACATTTTAGACATTGGTTAGCATAGTCATCATATTTTATATCTTTTAATTTAAAATATCTGTATTTATTATAATAAATTAAAATAAATGAATTAAAGAGGCAATAATAATGTGTCAAATAATAATTATTTTTTAATTTGATTTATATAAATACGATGGCATTGATGGCAACATTCTGTTGGCCTATAATAATGTTAATAAACAAATGAATATCGGGTGTATATTCCAGTAATATATAATAAATATTATTTTGTAAGGATTAAAAAAATATTAAGGTAATTTAATTAAATAAAGTGATTTTGTTGATTCTGTTATTGAACTATTTTAATTAGCAATTGATTGTCTCGGGTAGTTATAAAAATGTGATACTATCCTAATATTGCTCAGTTATTAATAAACATTTGTGAAATTAGGAAAAAGAAAAAGTGATTGCAAATTGTGAAAAAGTGAGTGTTGGATCGTAAAAGTAAAATAATTAGTGCAAGTGGTAAAGTGTTTTATTACAAATCGCCAACTCAGAAGTTTAGTGCTAAAACATTATTGTTTGATTTTGTGTAATTTATGTGTTGAAATAAAATGATCTTTATTATTATTACAATGGAATAATATTCCAAAGTAAATATAAATGTGGTATAAAATAAAGTAAAAAATTAAGTACACATACTAATTATAATTTTTGCATTTATATTTTTATTTGATTTAGAAAATATTTTTATAAATTTATTGTCATCAGATTGTAGGATACTGTGATTAAAGTATTTTATGTTATTGTACTGTACAAATAACACAATTCGTTGAGTTATTTCGTCAAATATCGATATATTTTTCGACATTGTCAAGCACTAGTCGATGTCAAATGGACTCACTCGACAGTTTTGTCATTTGTTCTAAATGGTATAATCCAGCCCCTATATGATGGTTGTCAGATGTCAACAATACATAGAAATATCGACTATATTTAACATAGTTGGATAATATGACATTTTATTTTACATTTAATTAAATTTTGTGATAAATAACAATAAATGTAATAAAATAATGTATTTACAAGTGAAAAAAAATAGTGCTGCTTCCGCCGTTATAGTTTTTACACCATTTAACAGAACATTTAGTCATTTTTGGGAGATGTTTTGTTGACAAGTAAGTGCTTGAGACTGACACAAAAAACAAACGACCTAGGCTAAAATTCCCTGGTTACTGACATGACCGTTAAAGGTACGTCCGCTTATGTCTGGTCCAGTGGTTAATTCGTTCATGGCTAGTTCGTATAGGCAGATAAAAACTGTTGAAATCAATTCATTGGTAACGTTGACTTTTGTTATGCTACCTATTACTATGAATCTCAATTTTAATCCTCCACGACCGCGGACACGCGGCGTGTCAGTTAACAATAGATTTCTTAGAATTTTGCCTGGAGGTGTTAAATGTTACTGCATGGCTTTATATTAAAAATATATTGTTGATTTAAAAAGATACAAAGGTAATTTTTCGTATATAATTCGCTATATTATACTGTTGTAAACGCTAAGTCAATCATTCCTATAGACTCAAAAAGCGATTGTGATAGTCTTAATATTGTTTTTTCATAAATATAGCTGAATGAGATTATTAAAATAAAAAAATATATATCAGTTGTTTCATTTTACTTCTTCGAACAGTTTAAAATTCAAAATTATTCATCTTGTGATTTAAGGAAAATAAAAATTAATCCCTCCACGACCGCGGACACGCCGGCGTGTCAGTTAACAATAGATTTCTTAGAATTTAAATTATTTTTTAGAAATTTACCTGGAGGTGGTAATAAATTCAATTTCTACATCTATTTATTCTGTAATGTTTGTTTACATATTTAAATACTTTTTGTTTATACGTCATGGATATCTGTAATTGTGTCAAATAAAACCACATCGATTAAGCAAACAAGTTCTAATAAAAAATTAACATAGATCCAAGCTTATTGAATGTCAATAATCTTCCTTATGTTTAGTAAAAAACGACCATCTTTATTACCATCTATGACAGTCTATACAACATTTTTCTTTGCAAGCGATGTTGAAGTTCGCCCCTTCTTATCATAGTGTGTATGACTTTAATAATAGCCCTTTCAGGATATTTTTGTCTCAGAAAGTCTTGTATGATGGTTTGTTCGGACACTTGAGAGCCGACTGCGAACCTGCGCTTTAGCTGCTTTTCAATGCGAGACAGCATCTCGTGATCTTCCTCCGTAGTGAAACCTTCTGCCCCTGAAGTTTCATTAAACCACTTCAATGTACCGTATTTATTTCTTATATAATAAAGGAACAGTAATTTCATGCTATTGAAGTTATACTTCTTTTGGCACGTTTGGAAAAAAATATGAAAGTAAAATTTTTAAGACACGCGCGCACACCGACAGCCATAAAGCGACATGATGAAGTTAGCTGCAAACAGGGAATTGTGACATACGGCATACATAAGCACACACACACGTTTTTTTTTAAGATTCTAATTTTTTTTATTATCGTACTTTTTGGATGGCTTAATTCTGTCCATAGATGAATAATATGTAGATACGATATAATTATTTTATGTTATTAATTTTACAATGATAGTTACCAGCTAAGCTCCCGGTCATGGCGGCGTCGAGAGTGGACACTTGGAACAATCTGAGTGCCTCCGTCACGTGCGTCTCCGTCGCGAACGGCTGTAGCTGCATCTTGGCCAACGATTCCGATATACGGATGACGGCTTCAAGTTGCCTGAAAATTAAATAGTTATTACTGTAGTGGGAATTAACACTGAAAGTTTATCTGAACTTGATTTTTTGTAAGCTGAAAATAATACAGTTAAACTAGCTGACCCGGCGAACTTCGTACCGCCATATTTTATTTCTCTTATCGCAACTGAGGAAATAAAACCCTTCCGGTAAAATCTAATTAGCTAAATTGAAAATAAAACTGGAGAACTCAATTGAAAAATTCATATTGTTGTACGGTAGATAACATATAAGGTAGATAACATTGATTTTGACCAATTGTTTCCATTTATTTTATTTTTTTTAATTTAACAAAATTGACAATTATCTCAACACTATTTTGTGCACAATATTCTTGGCTAACCTGTCTTTTGCTAATACAAACAAATTTGATGGTTTTCCCACACGTGAACAGGCCACATACAGTTGTCCATGAGAGCTGACTGAGATTTTCCTGAGACTGTCATTTTCTGGGAGATAGCATTAATTCACTCGTCTAAAAAGGAACTGAACTGCGGTGACACTCGGCGCCAGTATTTATACCTGAACCCTGAATTTGCCGAACATTCTAGTTCGCATGCTTCGAGACATGGCGATTCGATAGAATTTGATAGCCATATTTTGAAACTTTGATTAAAATTTGGCGCCAAGACTAATAATTCTCTAACAAAAATAGTACAAATTTTTTTTTGTTATTAATAGTAATAATATTGTAACATAATACGCAGTATAATTATAAAAATATCAGTCACAAACCATTAAAATAATACGGTTATATCGTGAACATAAATAAATATTACGTGAAATAAAGTAATAGAATTTATATTCTAAGAAGCAGAACACAGCGTCATCTATTGGGTGTATTTGCAACCTAGATGTCAAACAATATTAAAGAATTTTATCGATGATCAACGTACACCACCATCTATGAGAACTTCATAAAACTAAACAGTAAATAAACACAGTCTTGGTTAAGAAACAATTATTTGATATATTTTATTCGTTTACATTCACGATATAAGCGAATAATTGAGATGATAACTATCCTATCCCGTAAGTAAGACCAAAATACGGGTACATGTGAAATTTGATTGAAATCGGTTCAGTGTTTTGGAGTTTATTGGCAACATACATTGTGACACAAGATTTATATATATATATATATATACGAAGATTAATTTCCATACTTTATTAATAAAGAGATAAACATCTATAAACAGTAATTTTAGCGAATTATATCGTTAACAATATAGTTAACTGCACAGCAGATTATAGTGGATTCTCAAATTGCGATGGGACGACAATTCAACTCAATTCGACAGTTACCGGTGAGAATTCAGGCCCGACGGCTTTACGAGCTTTCCGAGGCACGGGAGAGAAACATGGCCAACTTCGCAACTCTGGGCTTTTACTGGGACTTTCTTAACAGAAAAACTCAATAACTAAACTTGAACCCAGGATTTTCAATGTGCAGCCGTACATGTTAGCCACTATACCACCGAGGTAGTTAAAACACAAAAATATGTTATTTTGATATATCATAATACTAATAACTAATAACTTTTTGTGGTTGGATCTATTCTGCATAAATACGTCCATAAGTAGATGTAAACTGTGTAATCTTTTATTGGAGTTCCTTAACAAAATAAAATATACCTGACAGTGATAGGTATAGCGAGTCGTTTATCCGCAGTACGTTCTTGTCGGTCGGCGCCGGAGCGCATGAGAACGTAGCGCGCGGCGAGGCGGTCGGCGGCAGCGGCGGCCAGGCGCGGCCCGCAACGCGCCTTGCAGTACGCGCTGTAGCGCCGCAGCAGCGCCAGAGGCAGCTCGCCCACCGCCGCCGTGCGCGACTCCGTATCGCCGCCCATGTGCACAGAGATTATGTGCTTGGCTAGTGTCTGTTAATGGAGAGATGTTATTTATATATTAAATAGGTACTCAATTTACAAATTATTTTATTTAGTACTAGCGGCTCACCCTCGCTTCCCTTGGGTTCGTCGCTAGGTACGTTTTATATAGATATAAATAGTTTAATTTTTTTTTGTTAATAATATTGACATTAATATTTATACGATACTAAATTACGTCACTAAATTATTTTGCCTCCCAGGAACCTCTCCACTGACACTTAAACTTTATTGTATGGTATTAAAGTTCAAATTGACTTTTAAGTATTATTACGAATCTTTTGTATGGGAGTATAGAAAAGTGTTGTTTTTAGACTTTTTCAGGCAATTTTTAAATTTTTCTCTCCATAAGAACCATCCTCTTACTTCAAGGAATATTCTAAAAAAAGAATTTGCGAAATCGGTTCAGCTGCTCTCGAGATTTGCGCTTACCAACACATTCAGCGATTCATTTTTATATTATAGATTAAATTATTTAAAATTTTTGAAGTTATACTTTTTTTGGGACATTTGGAAAAAAATATGAGAGTAAAATGTTTACGATGCGCGCGCACACCGACAGCCAAAAAGCGACATGATGAAGTTAGCTGATAACTGTTTGTTGCCATGGTAACCGTTTTTATTATCTGACAAATGATTTATAATATTATATTCTTTCCTTAAATTATATTCTATACTAGCATTGCCTGCGGCTCCGCCCGCGTTCAGATGACTAAAAACCAAATTCTTATGTTTTACATATTAGTATACTCTTACATTACAGTTTTTGTATTTTTTATCAGAAATTAGATATATTCCCAGGGTAAAAAGTATCCTATATGTTGACCCGGAAAATCAGCTATCACCATACCAAATTTCATCAAAATCCCTCTAGTAGTTTTTCTGTGATGCGGTAACAGACAGACAAAAATTCTAAAAACTATAGATTCGGCCTCTGTATCGATAGTAATGTCTATTTCAATAAGATTTTCAAAAAAATATGTAATGTACAGATTCGGCTTAGTTAAAATTTTGTTATATGTATAGATAGCTAAATTAATAAATGAATAATTATATTTTATATTCTAGATATGATTGTAATATGCCTTTATATCTTATTTAATTATTTTTATTAATTTATCATTCCTATCATTTGGTAAGCATGAGAATAGGTCGTAAAGTATTTTTCACCCTCCTACACCCATCCTCCATTTTTTAATCGCGATTTTAGTATTTTTGTATGAATAATATTCAATTAATTTCATATTAAATAAATACATCCCTGTACTCGGCCCTACGAACCCGAGCGAAGCAGAGGTTGGGTTGCTACGAGTAAATAACATAAGACGATAGAGTTTTTTTTTGTAGATTGAACACTGGCGAAGCCGCGGGTTCTGCTAGTATAATATAGTTGTTTTGACTACACAGAATCAGATGAATTTTGGTCTATAAATTTAGAATTTCTAAAAAACTTGCATTTACTACAGCATTATCTGTTACATCCTAACATAATTATTAATAGGTAAACAACTGGTTTTCTTTGTTGTAATAAGAATATTTTTTTTAATACTTACAATGTCTCTATTTTGATCATGCTCATCCTTCACTATAAAAATCATATCGAATCTAGAGAGAATGGTCGGCATGAAGTCGATGTTGTCTTCTGCCTTGGTGTCGTCCCATCTCCCGAACACAGAGTTGGCTGCAGCGAGCACGGAACACCGTGAGTTCAATGTGGTTGTTATTCCAGCCTTTTATGTTAGAGAAAAATATTCAAAATGTTTAGCGAAATTTTTTTTATGGAAATTATAGCATAAATCAGTTGATTTTTTTGCTAGGTATATAACGAAATTATTTAGATATTTTAAAAATGATTATTTACATTAGTACAGTTAAAAGCGTTCTTTTAACATTAAAAATTTAATTTAAAGATAGATATTAGTAAGCTACCTACACATAACTTATAGGACACTAATATTCCATAGTAAAATTTTATATACTAAAGTAAAAATAAGTTATGTCAGTGTCTCTTGATGTGTCCCCCCAATGTGCGTTCACCTTGTCGTGGTGGGGGGGGCTGAGTAGTGCCCGGCAATCAAACCGGGCGCGAAGCCAAGAAACGCACAGGGAGGTGATCTACTTCGGTGGGTGGTGGGAGGTGGCCCTCTTTGGTGGGCGGTGTACCATGCGGGTTGCTCCAGGTACTTCTCTGATAGCAGAGTGGACCTTGGAGTAACCCCATGGTTGTGGTGGTCTGCTTCGGCAGACCTGCCGTCGGGGCGTCGTAGTTGAGTGCGTAAGCGATCCTGCGACGCCCCATTAAGACGGGGGAAGGTTTTGTTGGGTTTTAGTGGGTAGTACTGGCTTTATTACGCCGGTGAGTCCCACACCTCGTGCGTAAATGCATTTCCCAACGTTAAAAAAAAAAGTGTCTCTTGATGTGTGAAAAAAGACAAATTAACAATTGCATTCATAAAAATACTTATTCTACCTTACCTTGGCAATGGATATGGTTTGCTGCTCCATGGCCTCGTGTATGGCGACGCGGTCGTCCTCCCGCATCTTGTCGAACTCGTCGATGCAGACCACGCCGCCGTCCGCCAGAACCATCGCACCGCCTTCCATTACGAAATTGCGCTGTAATATTTAAATGTATATTTTTTTATTTTATTATATATTTATTTAATAATAATACTTATTAAAAAAATAAAATGTTTAGAATTAAAATCAACAAAATTGTAAGGTACTTTAGTGCGACTTTTGAAATCATTTTGTAAAACCTTTGAGACGTCTACAACCTTAGTCTCTCCCATCACCATGATTGTTTGTAAAGCATTCAAAACGTCAGGAATCAAAAATCAAAATAAAACTGAGAAAAAATCTGTAAAAAATAATTACTTACACTGCCTGGGTCTCTAATAACAGATGCAGTAAGGCCAGCTGCACTGGAGCCCTTGCCAGATGTATACACACCCACTGGTGCTACTTTTTCTACGAATTTAAGCAACTGAGACTTGGCAGTCCCTGGGTCTCCTAAAAGCAGTATATTGATATCTCCTCTCCTTGTAAGTCCATCTGGCAGACGTTTTCGGGATCCTAAAGCATAGAATTATTTTTTTTATTATTGGAGTATTTATTTATAAAGTAGGTTTTGGGATTAACTTTTTAAAGACTTCCACATGGTGATCCACTGTAATTTTTTGCTTAGCGTTATAAACTTTCACAAAACCATTTTAATATTTTTTGTATTTGTTTTTTCAGGAAGGCATAAAATATTATTTAATAATATATTATAATGCAGTATGGTTGCAGATACGAAGATCCTTGATTCGAGTCCCGGTTGGGCCAAGTTTAATTACTGAGTTTTTGAGTGTAGCCTGCAGATGGTATGTGGTACAGTTGGTGGGTTCAGTGGTATTACACCCTCGTGCCTCAAAGCACATAAAGTTGTCGGTACACCTTAAGTTTCACAGGCCGTGTCGAAGTATAGTCACATCGGAATTTGAGAGGAAAAGGAATAGAATGTGCAATTATGTCTGCAGGTACACTTATGCACTATAATATCTCCTGCACATCTGGGTAGTCTAGTGAGATTGGTCGCCGTGACCGAAATAGATCAGGCGGACATTATTATTTTTTAAGAATACTATTTACCTCCAAATAACAAACAAGCAATAGCTTTTTTCATATCAACAGCACCAAAAACACTAGGTGCAATAGATCTAGAAATTCTATCATAAATATCAGGTGACGCAGCCAGTCTTCTAAATTGTTCTTCCTCTTCAGCTGTGAAGGGAGTGAGTCCGCCAGTAACTCCTTCGTCTGCTGAGAGTCCCACGGCCCGAAGGTATGATGCACGAACTCCTACAGAGCCCCGCTCGCGATCTCCTCTCTACAAATATAATTAAATTTTAATTTATAATTTCCAATAATATCATTTACTAGCAACACACTTCGTCTCTACTTACATTTAGTATAGATTTCTAAGAGATGAGACACTTTCCCGCAGTAAAAAGTATCCTATCTGTTGACCCGGATAACCAGCTATCATCATACCAAATTTCATCAAAATCCTCCCAGTGGTTTTTCCGTGATGCGGTCACTCACACATTCTGCCTTTGTATTCATTTAGTATCGATATATGTATAACTTATAAATATGACATCAAACTGCTATTATAAATCCCAAAGTGTGTATATGTGTATGGTTGTTACTTTCTTCACACAGAAATATTGGGACAGATTTATAGGTTATTGTAAGGGTCTCATTTGACCAAAGCGAGGTTAAGTTGGCATTTGATTGTATTTAAATAAATTTTATTACACACTAGCGGCTCACCCTCGCTTCGCTCGGGTTCGTCGTTAAGTACGTTTTATATAGATAGAAATAGTTATTAGCCAGCGCTAGCGATATAATTTTTTTGTTAATAATATTGACAAATATTGACATTAATATTTATATGATACTAACGTCACTCGATTGTTTTGCCTTCCCGGAACCTCTCCACTAAGACTTAAACGTATGGTATTAAAGTTCAAATTGACTTTTAAGTATTATTACGAATCTTTTGTATGGGAGAATAGAAAAGTGTTGTTTGTAGACTTTTTCAGGCAATTTTTTAAATTTTTTTCTCCGTAAGAACCATCCTCGTACTACAAGGAATATTCTAAAAAAAGAATTAGCGAAATCGGTTCAGCTGCTCTCGAGATTTGCGCTTAGCAATACATTCAGCGATTCATTTTTATATTATAAGATAATACTTTTATATTAGTACGTTTCTGTGGAACATTAACGTCATTAAAATTAGTCACTTAAAACAAATGGATTATTTTACTAAATTATTTGTTTATTGAGGGATAACCAACAAAAGATACATGGATATGGTATGATATTCATGCGCTAATTAAATAAATTTTCTTTTAATTATAGGCAACACAACAACATGCAATATCACATCAGTAACATTAGTGAATTTTGAAATAAATTAATTACAAAGTGCAAGTTTAATTTTTTTTAAATAATAAGTTAATAGATAAAATTGAAATTAAACTATAATATCATCAAAAATGCCATAGTGTTTTTTTTTCATATAAATAACACTATGACATTCTTGACTGTGTTATAAGTAATTTCTCTCTAAGTTTCTTAAAAGTATGAACACAACAGCAAAAACACTTATGGCAAGAACTTACTTGAAGTTCATCTTTAGATTTCTTAAAAGTGAAAACATTTCCTGTCATGACAGTGCAAAATCTATACATATAATAAAGTTGTAACTAAGCCAAATGTGTACATTAAATATTTTTTGGAAAATCTTATTGAAATAAACATTGATGATGATGATGTTCTCCTGGCCGATTCCGGCTACGGCGGCCAATCTCATTGAGACTAGCCAACTGCGCAGGAGATATTATAGTGCACAAGTGTACGCGCAGACACAAGTGCATTCTCTATTCCTGTCACTCTCACACTCGACATGACCAGGAAGAGTTGAGGCGCAGGACAGACGGCTTTACGTGCTCTCCGAGGCACGGGGGTGAAATACCACCAACTTCCCAACTCCGGGATGTTACTGAGACTTGCTATACAGAAAGATTAAATAACTAAACTTGGCCCGAGCCAGGACTTGAACCCAGGACCTCCGAGTGTGCAGCCGTACATGCTAGCCACTACACCACCGAGGCAGTTAAATAGACATTATTATCGATACAAAGGCCGAATCTATACTTTTCAGAATTTTTGTCTGTCTGTCTGTCTGTCTGTTACCACATCACAGAAAAACCACTGGAGGGACTTTGATGAAATTTGGTATGGTGATAGCTCGTTATCTGGGTCAACATATAGGACTCTTTACCGCGATAAAATATCTCATATCTGAGAAAAAAATTAAAACCTGCAATGTAAGAGTATACTAATCTGTAAAACCTAAGAATTAGGTTTATGGTCATCTGAAGGCAGGCGGAGCCACAGGCAATGCTAGTATTAAATAAAAATAAAAGTGGCATTGTCATTGTGTTTTATTTTACTATTACTTACCCCAACTTTAACAATCTTCTTAATAGAGTATATACCCAGTACAGTTACTCTGGCACCTGGAGCTACTCTCTCACATAACATTCGTTCACAGTACACAGTGAGGTGTCGTGGCATTTCTCCCTGAGGTATGTTTTCTGGTGCTTCTTGTAGTTTGAGAACCTTATTTAAACAAAATAACATAAATATACATAATTATTGATTATTATGCAAAAAAAAAATTAATGACTTTTTATTACTGTCCCAATGGTGGAACCCTTGAGAATATAATTATTTTTTTTGTAACACATACCTGATAGTCTATACATTTGCATTTGTCTGGAATAATAAAGTAGGGATCCAAAGGGCATTTCGGCCTACCAGCTTGTTCCCTGAAAATAATTTTCTTTAAAATTGAATAAACCTTACAACAATGTACAGTTAATAATTAATAAAACACACAAAACTTATTATTAACACATAAAATTTATACTTACGTATTGCACTTTCTTGGCATCACATAACCTTCTAAACCAGGCTTTACAGGCAAGTTTGGAATCACATTGCGGCAAGACCTGCATTGAATTGATATTTTTGTTGCCTTAGCTTTGATACCTGATGCTGATATCACAATGCCTGGAATCTTCACAAGTCTTGATACTGTCTCTGACTAAATAAAACAGTAAATAATTTTTGAAATTAATGATAATAGCTACATAGCTGATGTATTTTTCTTAAAGAATAGGATAAAGAGTTTACCTTAAGTTCTCGCAAATTAGAAGCATGAGCATCAGACAACAATAGTACTTGTATGTCCTCAACTTTCTCTTCGCCTTCTGGTCTCGGAGCAGTTAGCTCATCAGCTAACTGAAATTAAGTATTCAATGAAACATATACAAGTTATAAACTTATGTTTTTAAAAAGATATATAAGAAAATAAACATAACATCATCATACATCCTTAGCTGCCTCTTCTAGTATAGGTAAATGTTCAGTTGGTTTTTTATAAAGCTTCTCAGCTAATACTTCATCAAAGCTTGAAAGATCTTCAATATGTATTTCAACCCAGTACTGGCGCAAATTGTAGTTACGTTTCAGAGCATCCCTTAAAATATATAAAGTTAAGCAATTTTTTACAAGATATATCTACTTTTACAATTGGTTTTGGTTTCTAAAGAATACAAGTCTGTGTTACCTATATTTATAGTTAAAATTTCCGGTATGAAATTGTCGAATAAATTCTTTAAACTTCTTTTTAACTGCTTGTAGGTTAATTTGATCTTGTGATTCATTTTCTTCTACACCAAAATTATCCGAGAAAAACACGCCGGGATCATCAAATCCCTCCATATTTTGGGAGCTTTAAATTTAATAATACGAATTGAATAAAATAATTAACAACGGGAACGACAATTTAAGAATACAGTTTGCAACAATTTTTTATGATTAATGATTATTGATAATTATAACTTTGGCTGTTTGGCGCGAAAATAGACATAAGACAACTGACAAGTTGACTCTAGACAAGTGACAATCATTTTTTTGCCCTCGTAAAATTTTTTTAGTCTGTTTCATATTCATACATTTTAGTTATTCATCTATGTTCATAAATTATATAAAAATATTTTATGGAATAAAAGTAATAGGAAAAAATAATTCAATAATTAAATGTAGCTATGCCAGTGTATAATTATAGTTTATTATTAAGCATTTAGTCAGAAAATGGCAGTAGAAACTCAAAACCAAATGGCTGATTTTTGAATAATCAAGAAAATTACAAAAATATTTACCTTTTAATTATTTTATATAGTTTTTGATTCTTTACATTTGTAGCATGATCTACAGCAATGTTTACTATCTGTTATTCAAAATAAATTTTAGTTTTACTTAAAGTCTAGAAAACAACATCCAGAGTCGCGTTTATTTTATACTAACTAGCAGAACCCGCGACTTTGATTGCGCTAAAACTACAAAAAAACTCTAAAGAAGTAAGGTTCATACAAACTTTCATCCGCTATTTTAACCCCTTATGGCATGAATTTTGAAAAATGCTAAAACACATCTCTATTTAATTATATTGAAGAGTACTAATACCAAGTTTCACATAATTCTGATTATAAATAATTTTTGGGTTGTATTATAACGTGTTTTCCCGTGTAAAAGTCCTGTGTAAATCCCGTGTAAATCTCCCGCAGTAAAAGTAGCCTATGTTACTTTCCAGCCCTCCAACTATCTCCACCTAAAAAATCACGTCAATCCGTCACTCTGTTTCGACGTGAAAGAAAAACAAACAAACAAACACACTTTCACATTTATAATATTAGTATGGATTAGCATTTAAGGCGCTAGTATGAAGGCGGCATAATAACAACTGAAAACGTATTTATACGAGTATTATGTACCGTAAAACGAGGTTAATTGGTATAAAAAACTACAATTATTTGCAGTAGGTAATTAAAAAATATAGTGATATGCTATAAATATCTGTTTCTATAGATATGGAATTGATATAATATAATTTAAGATAAAGAACCGGTGAAGTTTTTTTTTCATGAACTATTTAAAAAAATATACGAGCTACCAAGTACCCATTGACGTGGGGCTAATTAAAATCAAAGATATTGTTGTTTGGAAAAAGGTAATCTGTACTACTGTAAACTGTACTGTTGTTTAAACAATCATTAGCGATAGTTGGTATAAGAAGTATGTGAAAGTAAGTGTGTAAAGCAAAAAAATATAAAAATACCAATTAATACACAATAATAACATTTAGAAATAACTTCTTATCTATAATTAAACTCTTATTATAAAATTTAAAGACTCAAGAATTAGGAAATAGACTTCTACAGGGTTATTTGGTAATCCAGGGCAGAGGCTGACTGCTACCGGACGCGTCCCCGGGTGGCGGATAGGGGAACACCACTCGCACCTGTTTGGACCCGACAGGAGCTTGTGGTACCGGAGCAATCCGGCGCGGACCAACAGCCAGGAGGGAGGGTTGAGGGAGCGGCGTTAGGAGGGTGCCGTCTCCTTCTTGGAGGTAGCGCGGTGTCTCCGGCCGTTTCGCGGTAGGAGGCGCTGCGCGGGCCACACTGCCGGGGCTAGCCCGTCGGTGCGGCGGCTGGAGCGGGGCCAGTTCGGTGGTCCTGAGTCTGGCGAGGGATGTCGGCAGCCATTTTGGTCCGGAGGTGGGCCGACGGTAGGGGGGCCGCGGGGGAAGAGGAGTGTCGGTATGGCGATGCGTCGCTCGTCCCTATCTCCCGTGGCCTAGCGGGGCCACCACCGTTGATGGTGGACGCGGTGGGGCTGCAGGGGAAGGGGAGTGTCGGCGTTGTCGCATCCTCTTCTCCTGCAGCCGTTTGTGGTTGGGCTCATTTTCGGGCGTCTTTTGGGGAGTTGCCCAATTTGGGTGGGGAATTATTTTAGCAGGTTGCCCACTTCGGTGGGCAGTGTTTGTGTGGTGTGGGGCTGCTCCGGGTACTTTTCTGATCAGCAGAGTGGACTTAGGAGCGGCCTCACTTCTTGGGTTGCAAGTCTTCTCATAATGGGGTTGTCCCGCTTGGGGCGGCCTCATGGTTGGTGGCTTCGGCCAACCGTCGGGGCGTCGTGGTTGTATGCGAGAGCGATCCCGTGGCATCCCACATGGCGGCAGGGGGGGGGGGAGTTGGGTTTTAGTGGGTATGCCGGTCTCATTAGCCGGAGAGTCTCCACATAACCACCCCGGGGGAAGTCGGGTGGTATCCGTAATAGGATTTCCCAACTATAAAAAAAAGGTTATTTGGTAATAACTGCTATTTGAGATATTTGTTAATAGGCTATTTAAGATTTACCAGTAAGCAGCCCTTTTCTATTCCAAATAGACTATTTCGACATTTATCGAAGTAAAATAAACATTTAAATACATAAAGCAAACAATGAATAAACATTTTTAATCAGAAGAAAACAAACAAAATACCATAAACTTATTGAAACCATTACAACTACATTATAATCTTCATTTGAGTGTAACGTTTTGATCCTTCTATTCAAGAGTTCACATAAATTCGTTTTTTATCCGCGCGACGCAAAGGCGGGTAATGTGTTTATTAGTCTAGTATGTAGGTATGTTTGTCCCATGGACGAATTAGAGACTGGACCTGACATAAAATACAAATGTATGAAAACTAGTTCAACCAAGTGACGCATAACGCACACAAAGATTTTATTACATTATTATAAACACTGATACAAAATACAATATTTCTAGTGTTTGAACGTAATCGATAAAATACATATATCGATGAACCAATGAATGACATTTTAGACATTGGTTAGCATAGTCATCATATTTTACATCTTTTAATTTAAAATATCTGTATTTATTATAATAAATTAAAATAAATGAATTAAAGAGGCAATAATAATGTGTCAAATAATAATTATTTTTTAATTTGATTTATATAAATACGATGGCATTGATGGCAACATTCTGTTGACCTATAATAATGTTAATAAACAAATGAATATCGGGTGTATATTCCATTAATATATAATAAATATTATTTTGTAAATATTAAAAAAATATTAAGCTAATTTAATTAAATAAAGTGATTTTGTTAATTCTGTTATTGAACTATTTTAATTGGCAATTGATTGTCTCGGGTAGTTATAAAAATGTGACACTGTCCTAATATTGCTCAGTTATTAATAAACATTTGTGAAATTAGGAAAAAGAAAAAGTGATTGCAAATTGTAAAAAAGTGAGTGTTGGATCGTGAAAGTAAAATAATTAGTGCAAGTGGTAAAGTGTTTTATTACAAATCGCCAACCCAGAAGTTTAGTGCTAAAACATTATTGTTTGATTTTGTGTAATTTATGTGTTGAAATAAAATGATCTTTATTATTATTACAATGGAAAAATATACCAAAGTATATAAATGTGGTATAAAATAAAATAAAAAATTAAGTACACATACTAATTATAATTTTTGCATTTATATTTTTATTTGATTTAGAAAATATTTTCATAAATTTATTGTCATCAGATTGTAGGATACTGTAATAAAAGTATTTTATGTTATTGTACTGTACAAATAACACAATTCGTTCAGTAATTTCGTCAAATATCGATATATTTTTCGACATTGTCAAGCACTAGTCGATGTCAAATGGACTCACTCGACAGTTTTGTCATTTGTTCTGAATGGTATAATCCAGCCCGTTTATGATGTTTGTCAGATGTCAACAATACATAGAAATATCGACTATATTTAACATAGTTGGATAATATGACATTTTATTTTACATTTAATTAAATTTTGTGATAAATAACAATCAATGTAATAAAATAATGTATTTACAAGTGAAAAGAAATAGTGCTGCTTCCGCCGTTATAGTTTTTACACCATTTAACAGAACATTTAGTCATTTTTGGGAGATGTTTTGTTGACAAGTAAGTGCTTGAGACTGACACAAGAAACAAACGACCTAGGCTAAAATTCCCTGGTTACTGACATGATCGTTAAAGGTACGTCCGCTTATATGTCTGGTCCAGTGGTTAATTCGTTCATGGTTTGTCCCTATGTAGCGTTCTATAGACCAAACATTTTGATGATTCAAACGTTGTTAGATTCGTCTTGTTATCGCAAGTGTCATAGCCTTATATAATACTTAAAAATTAAAATGGCGGATTTCAGACGCCAGTTTTAACAATTAATAATTAACAATTTATTTATTTATTATAACACACAATAAAAACTATAAATTAGATAACAATATACATTTACATTTGAAATAAAAATTAACATATAATTAATTGATTAATTTAAAATTTATTTATTTATTTATTTATTTCAAATCAAATCAAAATTTCAAATTTTGTGGTTGAGATCCCCGTTTGTGTGTCTTTAAAGAAAATCTACCAAACCAATCGAGTGGGGTATCAAATTAAAGGTTTTTAAGAGGCGGTCTCTAAAATATATACAACTTATATATTTAAAAGTATTTTAGGATAAAAAATTTCTAAATATAACTTCAAATGTCTAATTGACAAAAACTAAAAATCTCTAAAATAAAATAATATAAAGTACAAATATAAAAAAACCCGAGTGCATAAAAGTTAACTAAAAAGATAAAAACAAGTTGGCGATCGGAGGACATACATAATATGTACCTACATATTACAGGAAAGGGGCATATCATCTAAGTCCTCACAGTGACATTAACGCACCTGCGGTTCTGCATTTTTGTTACATAAAGCCTAAGTGCATGAACCATAGGTGTTATGGGCGACAGGTAAACCTCATAAAAAATATATATATCTCGCGGCAAGGATTAAACGTGTATGTCTTCAACTGCAATACTATATAACATAATATTATTTTCCTTCGATAATTTTAATTTCATATTTTTAGTTAGCTTTTATGCAGTCGAGTTTTTATTTTTATAATATTTCCTTTAACGATTGATAAATGAACTCCTCTGATCTCCTCCTCTTCTGAGTAATCATAGCTGCGTTCACAGATTTAAACAACATTAGGGATGCACACTTATTTTTATTTTTTCCTATAGCCTCACGGTTCATAATCAAATCACCCCATTCTACCGGTAATTCCAAATTTGGTACAAGTTGCTATGCAACGATATAATAGAATTGTCAGAAAACCATAAAATATGGAAGTATAAATATTATTTTTATTTTCTAAGATAATTGTAGTTAATAACTAAAGAAATAATTAAATATTTCAATTGAAATTTTATTAATAATGAAGAAGTTTTAGTTTATTTTTAATTTATTATAACAGTTCGAAGAAAGTTCATTGTCGGTTGGGTCGAGAGATGGGTGATGTGAGTTTTTAATCGATTTATTTTTAATTCTACAAAAAATAATATATTTTTAGAATTACCTCAACTTGATTTTAGTAAAACAAACATTATTTATTTTTGCCTCGTATTCAATCTTCAGAATATAATAACTTGGGCGATTAATTATAAAAAAAATATTGTGATAAACATAGGTACGTACATACCTATATATAAGATAAACAAACTTTTGTTTTGTAGAAGGAAGATGTTGATACTCGCTTAGAGTTTATGAGCGAATATATTTTAAAGTCTCTCAAGCAAAAAATTGAAAAATGGACAAAATTTATTACAGGAGATGAAAGGGTAAATTGTCATATATATCTACTTTATTAGTACCTACGCTTCTAGTAAACTAGGTTTTACTAACGGCGTCGCCAGTGCGTTTATTTCTAGATGCCTCGAGTTCAGAGTCGAACCAAGTAAAGGTCGCAGCCCTGCACCTGATGCACTTACCGCGAGTGTCGAGGATACATATTTTTCATTCATTATTTCAGATGGCTATTCATTCTTTCAGCATGAATGATGGCTAGTATATGGCAAATCGGCCGCCATTGGCTAAATCGGTTAGGAGCATATTATTATCATTTACAAACTGAATTAACTGCAAAACAAACTGCATTTGTTATAAATTATATTAACTACATTAACAAAAATGGGAACATAAATCAACAAATTCAAATCTAGTTCAAGAAGTTTCTTAGTTAATCCTTTACACTTTTGAAGATGATTTTGCAATTTTGTTTACACTAACTTTAAATGAAAAAGCACTTTATAATACACAGATTACTAATATCTTTCAGCATATTTTATTCAAATTTTTCGATATGCCCAAGTTCGATATTATTGTATTTCGTATTAACACAGCGGGCTTGTTGACATGCGCCACAAACTTTCCGCCAATTAGTAGAGGGAAAATGATTTATTTCTTGCGGAATATTGACGATAAAATAACACAAACTAATTTTCGTAAGGTAATTTTGAACACTTACTATATTAATTGGCATTACGGCCATCTTAGCAGACTAACAATAAGATGATCATGTCCTATACCCTATTTAAAAACTCGAATAGGATCCCATTAAAAGCGATTAAAGCCACGTAGAAACCAATACATATTGGAGTTTTTCAACAGGGTACAGCGATACCTACAACTTGCGGCTTAAACTTTTTATTTACGTAAATAATTAATAGAAGGTACATAAATAGTTCAATTAGTATTAGATAATTGAAAAAATATAATTATATTGTAGGCCCTAACAATTGGTGAGATTTCGGGAAATGTACTCATGGATATAAGTATAATGGCCGATGAAGTCATAGGCCCTTTGCTTTGTAATCCTGAAAATCAAAAAGGTTGGCCAAAAATAGTGAAGAATGATATGAGAAGGCATGTAAACGAATTGAGAAATTTAATGCATCAGGTAACGTATGACTTTAATTCGTCGGTCGTTAATTCTTAATTGATAATCCACGATTGTACATTTTTTCCCAATAATACAAACAAATTTTTGTTATTTTGTTCATTATTACTAGCACTTGAATTTAAAAGTAATTTTCCACTGCTGTAGATTAAGATTATTAATAAATATTACAACTACCGTAGCTTAAAGGGGAAATGGCCAGTCAAATAATGCTTGCAATGCCAGAGGGAGTAGAAAATATTTTTCACGCTGAAACAAGGTTGAAGGAAAGGTATGTTTCCCGTTATATTATGGAGTTGAATGTTCGCTCATGATTAATGTTGTTGGATATTTAAAGATTAAATTGTTTCTATTTCAGCGATTCCGAAGATGTTGACTTATATTTGAAAACAAATATCGAAGGAGCTATAATAAAATGGGCACAACAAGTTCATGATCTTCTACAGGAAGATTCGTACCTAGGTGGGAATTTTTTTTCTTAACCCTAATATATCCGATGCTAATTTTACACTATAGTACTAATGCTTGAAAGTAGTCTTCTTTTTTGATAAATTGAAACCTTTTCATATTTTTAGCGTTTAAAAGGACCAAGTTTCCTTTACCTATTGCGGACATAGAGTTCTACGCGCACAGATTGCGCAACTTAGAAGGCATATACTCCCAGTTGCGGGATCCGCGGGTGAAGCGCATGGCGCACTACCTGGAGTCCACGCGTAGCGTCTACCTCGCTTGCTTCAAGTCCATGCTCACTAATGTCGTGGCAGGTGAGTTTAAGAACAATTTATATAAAACAAATATGAGTAATCTATATACGATGTGCTTGCAATTTCCGTTACTTACCTAATCTACTTATCGTATGTATACGATGGGATGATGTGACGTGATCCTACTTTTAAATTCCAACTTTAAAAAAGGAGGTTCTCGATTCAGAGTTCTATTTGTCTATGTTAATGATACCATGACTAATTTTGAATCGCAAATGGATCATTATTTTATTGATTACATATATTTAGGTCAATCTATGTTTTTTTAAGTTGCTACGAAGTAATGTCTTTTGCTGATATGAAAATATATCATTTAGCTACATCGCTACTTTTGTTTTTAGTGAGAGTTGGTCTGAGTTTAAACAACTTTAATAACTTCTAATGCACCACTGCTAATGCAGAATCTTTTTTTATCATCATTTAATATACTGGATCAAGCTTATTTAATTTTCAGCAATTGTAGAGTGCAGGGATATTTACGTGTATCAAAAACCATTAATACAACATTTTGAGACATTTGAAGGCACGGATTTCTCTGATGCTAAAGCTCTCATAAGGCCAATGCTTCATTGCATTGGGCTACTTTGGGGAAATTCACGATACTATTGTAATGTGGAGAAATTGATACGTAAGTCCATGAGTAATGAGTACTCAATTTAGTTAAATGATTTTTTGTGTATATTATTCGATATCTTCGGCAATTGAAAACCGATTTTTATAATTTTTAAACCCCGACGCAAAAGAGGGGTGTTATATGTAACGATATGGTAACCTTGGCTTGATGCTGCAGTGTCCTCTGGAATCTGTAAGATGTCAACTTTTTACTAAAATATTACAGAGATATGCTATGCATGTTTAGGATCATTGAAATGGCTTCAATGAATAAGCTATTGTTTCGTGGGATTTTTAAATTTTATTTCTTGTTTGTTTAATTAATACTTACTCTAATGATTATTATTCTTTTATAATTTTTTAAGAAAAAAATCCCCCAGTATAGATTTAATTTTAAAATAAGTTTGACGTCGTTTTTCTTTTTACTTTGCCTTGACTAACCAAGGCAAACTATAAAATATCTTTATGTTTACAAAATTTTTAGTATGTGTTCCTTTTATTCTTCATTTTTGTGCCATAACGATATGTTTTAGCATTGTTACGTGAAGTATGCAACCTAGTTATCCAACAATGCACCAACTCTATTGATCCCACCTCGATATTTCAAGGGGACGCAGACGAGCAATTATTGAAATTGAGGAAGGCTGTGGGCATTCTCAATCATTTTATGTAAGCTTGCAAGAAAAATTACATACGAGTAAATTCATATATTATAATGAATACAGTAAAAACAAGATATTATACTTTGGCTTAAAAAAGACTGAAAAGAGAAATATTTTAGGGCTAATACAATAATTTACTATGTGCAGTTTACGGGATAGAACCCGTGACCTACAACCATTAAGCTTAGGTATATTGAAATAGTTCTTTACTATATTAAGACTGACATTTAAAGATATTTACAAAACAATGTTAGTCGATTCTTAAAATATACAAGTGCTCTTCTGCTGCTTCACTTGTTTACCAGTAAGTTAATTTTATTTTTTACCAGAGAAACATACGAGATGAATCGTGATAAAGTCCATACATTTTTCCCCGCTGGCGTAATGCCTGTGCGCTGGTCCTTCGACTTTGATCGAGTTTTCATGCGCTTTAACACGTATATGAAAAGACTTAAAATGATTGATAATATTCTCGAAGCTACGGTGGAAATATTGAAGTTGGAGAAGGTGGAATTTTCTGGACTAAGGGGCAAGATTTTGAGTACGGAGTGTATTAAGGTATTGTAGTTGATTTAAATTTTGCTTAAGAGCAAATTTAATTGTTTTAAAAATAATTGTTACTATTATTTCTATATATTTTTTATTTTTGATAAAGTGTTTAATTTATTCCTATACGTGAATATTAGTAGGTATCATTCTATTCATTTAGTTACTTAGTTTTATATGTAATTATGTGTAGGTAAGTGTAAAGATGCTATGAATATATGGAATTACATTCCAGGTATTAGATGAGTATACGGTAATATATCAAAATCTCGGCAACATAACATACGACCCGGCGGATCCGGAGGATCCGAGGTTCTTGGCCGAATACGACAAGCACATGGGGGTGTTGGAGGACGTTGATAGACGACTCGCGTCTTTATTTTCACAGGGCCTCGATGAATGCAACGATTTAGAACATTTTTATAAGGTTAGTTAAAGAGGTAGAAGCATATGAAAATAATTTGATACATAAAGAATTATAATAACAATACAAACGTAAGTAGTTTTGTTCGTACATAATATGAACGTTGTTAGATTTTTCTTTGTTGTAAAGCTATTATAGTTTATAATAATATTATATAGTAGGTATTCATCGTTACGAGTGACCATCAGTTAGAATATTAGGGTAGATTACAAAACTTTCTTTCAATCATAATTTTTACATATAGATAAGGCGTTTAAGAAAGGTACATAATTGATTTACTATTATTTTCAGTTTTTCCAAATAATTGGTGATTTATACCGTCGTCCGATAATACAGAATGAGTTAAAGCCAAAAGTAGCGAAATTGCTCGACTTTATGCATTCAAACCTGGATTCCGTCAAAGAGATATATGACGAAGAAATGGCGGTAAGTATAGGCGGTAGGTTTTCAAACGGTTAATGAAATAAAAGTTGGAATGTTTAAACTTCAAGATATATCTAATAATTTTATAAAGATTTTACTTAATATGCTAAATAATTTCTTAAGAAAAGATGAATTTTCTTGCAGAAATTGAACCCAAAAGGAGTAGAAAGGCCAATGGTAGACCCATATTTGCCTCCAATAAGCGGTATAATTTGGTGGATTCATAAATTGAGACGAAGGATTCAAGCTCCGATGGAAGATTTCATTTTGTTTGAGGACCCGTAAGTTATTATTGACATAAACATTTTTAATTACCATTAACGAGCTAATTGAAATCAATGTATATTTGAAGAAGTCTATAAAGCATTGGAATGTATGAAACAATGACAATATTTATTTCTGTTAGGCGGCTAATTATGTATCACTTCGACCATTTCTGATCTATTGTGATCGCCGCTATTTTGTACTAGAGTGAACCACTAAACCCTGCTGATGTTAAGAACTGCAGGATTTTCTTAGGGTTACACTCTTTTATTTCATCTAGGCTTGGAAATTGTTTACCTAGATGAATACTAAGTTTGTGCATGAGCGGTCCACATTCCCACAGAAGATGCAGTGGCGTTTCGTCTGCCTCCCTGCAAATTCTGCAGGTTCGCGTTTCGCTCAGCCCCAGGTTGAACATGTGCTTATTTAAGCAGCAGTGTCCAGTAAAGGCCCTTACCAGTATTCGTAAGGTTTTTCTGTTTAGCCCTAGCATAAGATTGTTAAACCTTTTGTCGTAGGCTCTAATTAATGCCTTGGAGTGATTCATTCCATTTGATTCAGTCCAGGTCTTGTTCGCAGTCTTGAGACATGCTATCATTAGGGTTCTTTGAGCTAGGCTCTTAGGTATCCCACAGAAGGGCTCAGGGCCCTGCTGTATGCCAAGAGCTCCCCCTCTAGCGAGCTTATCGGCACACTCGTTGCCAATTACACCTGCATGACCCGGTACCCATCTTAACACTACTTTGTTACTTCTTGCTAAGAGGTTTAGTCGGTCCATGCACTGCTCCACTAACTTTGATGAGACTATGTTTGAGTCCAGCGCTAGTAGTGCAGCTTGACTATCTGAATTTATATAGATAGTTTGATTTGTGTAGTGCTTAGACAAATTAGCTTCTACACATTCTAGAATGGCATAGACTTCTGCTTGGAAAATAGAGGCAAATTGTCCGAGGTGTATGCTTTTGCTAAACCTCGGTCGCTCTCCATATATCCCACAGCCAACCTTTGCTTCTATTTTTGAGCCATCTGTAAACCAGATAAGAGATCCGTTTTTATGGATTACCTGGCTTTTAGTCCAGTCTTCCCTTGACGGAAATTCAATTGTAAAATAAACAATGACAATATGTGTTATTTTAAATATTTATTATAATGTTCTGCATTTCTTTTTCATTATTGCTAACATCTGAGTCAATTGATAAAGTCCATGTGCGTAAAACATACATAGTATAACGCATCGTTGTTGTACAACCCATTAGGCCATGAACGTAATACTTAAGATTTTAATATACCGATTTGGGGTTTACAGCATAACAGAGTGCGAGAATGCAATTTATCTGAAGCAGAAACATCACGAGATGCTCGGCTACTTGAACCAGCTGGAGGACCGGCAGTTCAAGCAGTGGTGCGCGACGGTTCCCAACATTTGTAAAATGCATTTGGCCAAGAATCTCATTTACCGCGATCCACCATTTGTTAGGAATAATTTTAGCCCTGAAGTAGGTTTGCTTAAATACGTTGTGTAATTATCTAAATAATGTTAATTAATTTGAATCTAACTATTCTAGCGCTAATTTGTTATAAATTTTTATTGTTTTCAGTTAGTAATGTTACTACGTGAAATCAGGTATTTGAAATATTTGGAGAAGCAAGGTATACCGCAAGATGGATTAGAATTGTATGCAAGGAATGAAAAATTACAGGTCGATATGAAATACTTATGATATATAACAATTATTTTCTAGTACCTGCGTTTTAAAGACTCACGAAATAATATAAATGTTATGTTTCCTATCTGTAGTATGACATGAATCGTCTCAACCGAGCTATTGCCTGGTACAACGCCATACGGGAAGGCAGCCACGAAACAGAGGTCGCCTTAATAGAAAAGGAAATATCAGCCATAGACTACCTGCTAGGAAGGGGGGTCGAGGAGCTGACTTGGAACGATGATTGTGCGTATATTTTTATTCGTGTTTAATTTTTGTTCTAAGTAAATAGTAAAGTGTAAGTTATTGATAGTAGTTTCACTATGAAAAGGCTTTCTAGGAATGCCTTTAACAATTTTTATGGTTGCTTTTTTTTGCATTATTTTCGCCTACATTTAAATGAATTATATTTAGTTACCGAGTGGATGGCAGAAGTATATACAGCAATAAATACGTTGCAAGAGCGAGTGTTAACAGCTCAGAATAACGTGAGGCGAGGTTTGTCTAATATCGCGGCTTGGGGTGACAAGCCTTTGCACAATCGTAAGGACAATGCTGAAAAGCTAGAGTTGCTTGCGGTTAATGAAAGACATCCTAGATTAATTACACGGTAAGTTTTAGAACATAGCAACAAAAGAATTAATGTAAGGATATAAAATATTTTAGAATCAGACTTTTACAGATTACTAGCAATTTTATAATACAATTATTTGTGCATATTCCAGTCGCAATAATATCTTACAAAGTCATGCCGAGTTCCAGCAAATATTGAAAGATAACTATAAATTATTTTTCAATATAATAGACGAAGAAGAGGTACGAAAAACGTGTAATATGAATATTTTTATTATTTCATTACAGTATTTTTTTTTAAATAAGATATATTTCAGTCCAATCTAGAGGAAAAAGAATTGGAAGAAGTTGATGAGACAACAATGGATGAAGAAGAACGACTCGCTCTGGCTAAGAAGATACAACAAATGATGGAAGAAAGGGAAGCAAAGCGACTAGCCAGAGAAGAGAGGGACAGGGAAAAGGAAGAAATAGCTCAAGCTAAGTTTGACAGGAGAGAAGCGCGACGTTTGAAGAAAGAGGCTAGGGAAGCTGAGAAGCTCGAAAGACAGGAGCGTCGTGACGCAGGTCGGTTTAAATTGTATTCGTCGAAATAACATTTGTTGTGTTACATTGTGTTAAAATGTGCTAGTAAATACTTTATTTAGTAACATTCTCAATTGAATTTTCCCCGTCAAATAAGGAGAGGAAGTAGAATCGCCTGCGGAAGAAGAAGAAGAGTTGGATCCTGAAGAGTTAGCTGATATCGAGGAGGAACGCCGTGAGATGGAAGAAGAAGCATTCCGAGCTGCTCGGTGGCCGGCCTATGTGCAGTATGTGGACTCATTGGTATGTATTAGCTTTGAGTTTTAAAAAATATGTACCTTTCTTAATACCATGCAGTTGAAATGATTTTGTATCATTGTAATCTAAAATGTTCAAACACTAAAATATAGTTTAGGTTAAAATTTCAATCCATACTAATATTATAAATGTGAAAGTGTGTTTGTTTGTTTGTTTGTTTGTTTGTTTGTTTGTTTGTTTGTTTGTTTGATTGTTTGCTCTTCTTTCACGTGAAAACGGAATAATGGATTGGAATGATTTTTATGTGAAGATAGTTGTGGAAGGCTGGAGAGTGACATAGGCTACTTTTTACCGCGGGAGATCATCTACTTCCCACGGGAAAACACGTTATAATACAACCGAAAAAAATATTTATGATTAGAATTACTTGAAACTTGGTATTAATACTCTTCAACACAATTAAATAAATACGTGTTTTAGCATTTTTCTAAATTCATCTCATAGAAGGGTAAAATAGGGAATGAAAGTTTGTATCGGGCCTATCTTTTTAGAGTTTTTTTGTACTTTTAGCGCGAGCGAAGCCGCGGGTTCTGCTAGTAAATAATAATTATTATACTGATTTTAATATTAAAGGTTTCTACTCAAGTCATGAAAGCTATACAGGCCAGCTTGAATTTATTTGAAAAGAATACTGATTTGGAGAAAGGTCCGAGAGTAGCGTTCTTAGAAGTAGTAGCAGAGCTAAGGGATCCAGGTTTGTTAATCGTACTTTGTTTCTTATATATATTATCGGCTTAGATTCGAACATCCAATTCATGCGGGACGTATCTTAGTTTTGGCGTATGTGCACTAGGACAGTGCTTCTCTTATTTTATTATAATAATCACTTACTACAACTGCCTCGGTGGTGTAGTGGCTAGCATGTACGGCTGCACACCCGGAGGTCCTGGGTTCGAGTCCCGGGTCGGGCCAAGTTTAGTTATTGAGTCTTTCTGTATAGTAAGTCTCAGTAACAGCCCGGAGTTGGGAAGTTGGCGGTGTTTCACCCCCGTGCCTCGGAGAGCACGTAAAGCCGTCGGTCCTGCGCCTTAACTCTTACCGGTCGTGTCGAGCAGTCGTCCCACCGGAGTATGAGAGTGATAGGAATAGAGAGTGCACCTGTGTCTGCGCGTACACTTGTGCACTATAATATCTCCTGCGCAGTTGGCTAGTCTCAATGAGATTGGCCGCCGTGGCCGGAATCGGTCAGGAGAACATCATCATCATCATCACTTACTACATATTTCTTACTTATACGAGTTGCATCGCCACATTTTTTTCAAGTTCGGGCTGCTATTGACAATTTTTGTCAACAATCTCGGTTAAAATATAGATAACATCTTTGACTTGATCTGTTTGTCTTTTTTTTTGTTTGTATGTTAAGCAATATCTTTACAAATTGCCTTATTGAGCAAAACCCTATTAAATAAAATATTTGAATGTGGAAGCGGAATATCCGCTAAGGGTAAACATCATTTTTAAGGTGATGCTTGTTTGTGATGATGTTATTTTTACACAGATATTTTTTTCTCTCCATCTTTGGAATTGGACGACCGCGGTGGTTTGTATGACACGCTTAAGGAGATGATGAAGGATATGTTTCTCCAAGCCACCATATTCCCTCGCATTGATCCCATCGTTCCGATCGCCACTTATGAAGGTTATGTGAATATTTCAAATGATTTTTATGAGGATTTCTTGAAATATTGCTTAATTCGAGCTTTAAAATTAATTTTTTCCTCCTATAGATACTGCGATTTTTAGTTTGTGGCTGAAACTTTTATTATGGAGTAATATTAAGATAAATATATATATGTTGCTATATATTAAACCTTTTTACTATTCGTAGATGATATAAAGAAAGAAGATGCAATGATCGATTTGTACCATGATATCTTGAAAAGAGTTGAGAATAGTATCACAGATGTTGTTCAATATGCCTCGGTAAGTTTATAATATTTATTACATTCAAGATTTATAACATTGTAAAAATTATAAATTACTTCTAATATACCTATAAGTTTTCTCGTGTCCTAACACTAAAACTCCTCCGAAACGGCTTGACCGATTCTTATGAAATTTTGTGTGTATCTTCAGTAGGTCTGAGAATAGGACGTAAACTATTTTTCATATCCCTAGTGATAAGGATGGTCCCCAATTGGACAAAAATAATTATTTTCATTTTTTTTATTCGGTATTAAAAAATACATACAAACCTAAATTTTCACTAGGGACGAACCCGAGCAAAGCGGGGGTGAGTCGCTAGTATATTTATAATATTCAATTGTTGCTGGTCTAACAAATATTTTCGTATTCTTTTCGGAATAGAAACACCATAGCGCAATCTAGTTAGTAAATATATGAAATTTGAAGCTATTCTTAAAGAATAACAAACATGTTTTATTTCTCGTTTTAGAAATATGAGACATACGCACCACTCTGGTTGGAAGATAGGCAGGAAGTGTTGGCGGGGTTCCTGAAGTACGGGCGAGTGATCCCTCCGGAGGAGTTCGACAAGTATCGCTTTGACAACGGCTGCGACCCGCCTGAAGTTAAGCCTAAGCTTGAGCAATATCAGAAAGAGGTATGGTAATAACATAAGTTGGATAATTATGTAAAAAATAAGTTATGACTAAAAAATTTGCATTTTTTTTGTATCTAATTTCAATATTATGATGTTTATTTGATGCTTTATTTATGAAATGCAATATTTTAAACTTTTCGCCATCAAAATGTTATCTAAATTTGTTGTTTCTTGTTATAAAAGTCGTGAATGGTTTATTATATTCATAGATAGACAAGTTCAATGCTATGTACGCTGAAGTATCGGCACTGCCGCCAGAATATTTATGCAACGGTTGGTTGAAATTAGATCTAAAGAGGCTAAACCAAGCCATCATGAATATTATTTGCAAATGGAGTAATTTATATAAACAGAATCTAAAGGATCAAGTACAGACGAGGTAATAATAAAGTTAAAATTGATTCAATACTACTACACGCATATAAATTATTATTTTTTTTCATAATTTTTAGTCTAAATGATTTAGAGAAGTTCATTGCATATGCATCTAAAGAATTATCAGTGGAGTTAGAAGAGGATGACTACGAGGGTTTGTTGAAAGTAATGGGTGTTCTAAACGAGGTCAAAGCTAAAATGGACGTCGGCACTGATCAGATGTTTGAACCACTTCGAGATATCATTTACGTTCTTAAGGAATATGGCGTAGAATTCCCTGAAGAAACGTATGAACAGGTATACTTATAAAAACAAATATGAACAAATATAGAAATATGTTATGGAAAATTATTTATTTTTTTATCCTATTATTAACTCTTTGAATTCTTGTTATTGTACGTTTGTTATTTCATTTTATGCTAATTTATTTGTTTAATATATTTCTAATGCTAACTCTGGATATAAGAAATATACGCCATCTCATCAATATTCGGTATATACTTTGGTAAGACTTAGATTTTTTGGTCAAAACAATAAACTAACTTTATTAAAAAAAAAGAATATTAACTTAGATTCACGTGAATATTTGTATTTTAAATTAATTAGTATCGTGAGCATGTTTGTATTTATAATTTAGCCCACTTTTTAACATTTTTCGTCTGGGCACAAGATCTCCTTTCAGTGCGAGTTGTTAAGGCATAGTCCACCACGCTGGTCATGTGCGGGTTGGCGGACTTTATAAATGTAGGTATATATTTCGAAAACATGCTGGGTTCTTTCGAGATACGCAGGTTACCTCACGATGTTTTCAATGACCATGGCTGTGTTAGCTGTAAAGTATTTGAAACGCTGAGAACATTAAAGTAAAACCGGGGAAAAATAGTTTTATTTAAAAAAAATCATGTCACATAATAATAATGTTTTCTAGCTGGATGTTTTACCCGAGAAATGGCGTAACCTGGTAAAGCACGCTACGGTGATTAAGAACGAGGTGGCTCCGATGCAGGCGGCGCAGGCCGCGCTCATCGCCAAGCGCGTCGCCCTCATCAACCTGCGCATCGCCATGTACCGCGATCAGTTCAAGATGAAAGAGGTGAGCTTGTGATTAGGACATTATATCTTGTGTTTGACTTGCCTCAGTGTTCTTTCTAGTGTCTCGCTTGTACGGCTGCATATAAGGAGGTCTTGGGCTCGAATCCCGGGTCAGGCCAAGTTGGTCCTGCGTCTCATTTCTCACTGGTCATGTCTAATTGTTGTCCCCGAACTTGGAATTGTCCTGGAGTATGAGTGTTACAGGAAAAGATAGTGCACTTGTCTACGTGCATACTTGTGCACTTTATTATCTCCTGCGCAGTTGACTAGTCTTAATGAAATTCGCCGCCGGGGCCAAAACCAGTCAGGAGGACATAATATTCTGTGCATTGGTGGTGTATAAGTTTGTAAATGAAATTTATTTGTCATGTTTTGTTTGACACAGATTTTCCTCGAAAAATGCAAAGAACCATACAGACAAATTGACAAAGTTCATAAGGAGTTAGAACAATTCGAAGAAATTGTTAAAAATTTGAAGAAATCTTGTGGATTATTTGATATTCAACCACCGGATGAGAAAAATTTGAAGCAATGTAGACGTGAATTAAAACTAGCTAAGGTCGAATAAATTTCTTATTTTATAAAATTTTGTCTATATATGATACCTAAACTAATAAATACTGTATTATTTTATAGCAACTTTGGGATTACTATAATTTAGTAATGGGTACTATAGAGTTTTGGAAGAAGTCACCCTGGAAGAAAATAGATGCCGACGGTATGGATCAAGAGTGTAAACGTTTTACAAAGGACTTGAGACAATTAGACAAAGAAATGAGAGTATGGTGAGCAATGGGTCCGAAGTCCTGGTTATTTTAGTTTATGGTTAGACGTTGGTCTAATATTTATTTCACTGTATTTTAGGGAACCATATCTCTCAATAGAAGGAACTATAAAGAACCTAATGACTTCCCTACGCGCTGTCACTGATCTACAAAATCCATCTATTAAAGACAGACATTGGGTCGAATTGATGATGGCGACGAAGGTAAAGTGTTTTTTAATATTATATTTATTATTTAGTATTTCAACTTGATTATTATAAGCTCTAATTAGTTGTATTTATTTTATATTAGAAAGCTGCACACTCATTCATCTTGTCCATCGAATCTAAGCATATTCAATCTTCACCATTCTCATTTAAACATAAAGTAAAAAGTTGTTTTTCGCTGACCGAGATTTTAGACGACTTCAAAACTTTAGATGATTTAGCTCACTCATCTAATGATTCATTAAAAAATAGTAGCAAACAATTAACTGAGACGACTGTTAGAGCTGAGTATAAAAAATATCTCCAACTACAAGATTTTAGAAGACCAAAGTTGCAAGAATGTGCTTGTACAGTAAATAAGTATCAGAAACTAAATAGATCTTATACAGTAGAAGAAATACGAGAAAATGGAGTGCAATTGATTCCAACAAGGGGAAAATCTCAGTGTATAATGCAGAATAGCAATCTTATTTTGTCCGAATATATTTTGTAAATATTTCTCTTAGTAGCATAAATATGTAGTTTAATTGTAAATAATTAAGAGTCGGTACGTATAACAGAAAGAAAAAACAATAATTTCACGTAAGTACCTACTAATTTAGTGTTTGTTTTTTACTATTATTTGTAGTTAAAAGATCCCATTCTAAAATCATTTTTTACTTCACCAGGTGAAGTTCCACATCGATGATGATACTACACTAGCAGATTTATTAGAGTTAAATCTACACAAATACGAGGAAGAAGTTAAAACGATCGTAGATAAGTCTATCAAAGAAGCTGCTATGGAAAAAACACTCAAGTAAATAATTTTTTTTAATTATATGTTAACGATGTGTTTAATTCCATAAAATTATATTTAGGTATGTAGATTAGATGTAGATTCTACCTTTTACGTTGTGTTTAATTTGAATTCCTTGCGGAGGAAATACCTAGTTGAAAGAGAGACATTTTAATCTATACTGGAAATTAACTATTTAAGAAGAGCCAAAGTTGGAATTAATAATTTTCTTTGAGTTAATTTTCTCAAACAATTGCTTTACATACGAGTACATGGATTGACTGGAAGAGATCTCTTTTCGAACTAAGTCTGCCTTTATACACGTCGTTTTTCGTATAATTTTTCAGAGTGCATTTGCGTAAATAACAAAATCTGTTATATGCTTATAATTTATTCAGGGAACTGGAAGCTACTTGGGCGGTCATGGAATTCGAATATTTGGTTCACGATAGAACAGGAACCAAATTACCTAAAGCTAGCGAAGAACTTGTTGAGACGCTTGAAGACAATCAGGTAATAGAGGCAATAGGCATTAACACTTTTATGTTTACGAATTTAGAATGTCTTTTTATTTCTGTAGTTCAAATGTTGTATTTCTCTATCAGAATCAAGTGCAAAATATGATGTCATCAAAGTTTATTGGCTTCTACGAAGAAGAAGTCACTGCATGGCAAAAGAAACTTGGCACCGCTGACGCAGTAATAGCCCTTTGGTTTGAAGTTCAACGTAAATGGCAATATCTTGAGAGTATTTTTGTTGGTTCTGATGATATACGAGCTCAATTACCAGAGGATTCAAAGAGATTTGATAATATTGACAAGACATTTAAGGTTAGACCATCAATCATAAATAAACTTATGTAACACGAAAACATTAAACTAGAAAAGACCAATAAATGTGATTCTGATATATTTTACAAATTTTTTTGCAGGAATTGCTTAAAGATATAGGTGCTACACCAAATGTTGTTCAAGCTACTAATAAGCCTGGACTGCTAGATAAATTAGAGGAGCTTATGGCAGCATTAAACCTTTGTGAGAAAGCTCTCAATGATTATTTGGAAACGAAACGCTTGGCGTATCCACGATTTTACTTCGTTTCTTCAGCAGATTTATTGGGTATTTTTTTAATAATATTTGTACTGGATATGGTTATTATATTTAATTTAGTCCGCAAACACTATACATGGTGCTTGTTATTATTAATTAGATGCTATAATTTACTGTGATTTTTTAGATATTTTATCTAATGGTAACAATCCTCCTGCGGTATGTCGTCATCTATCAAAACTATATGATAATTTGGCGAAATTGGTATTTACAAAGCCTGGCAGTAAACAGGCGTTTGAAATGATCTCTAAGGAAAATGAAGAACATGTTCCGTTCAAAGCGCCGTGTTGCGATTGCTCAGGAAAGGTAAAAACAAAAGCATTTGGCAGGCATTATTAGGAATAATATGTATATTATGAATCTAAATTACTTTTTAGGTAGAGATGTGGTTAAATCGTGTAACAGATTGCATGCGTTACACTTTACGAGATATTTTTGAGCACAGTGTAAAATCTTACGAAGATAAACCTCGTGATGAATGGGTATTCGACTGGCCCGCTCAACCTGCTTTAGTAGGCACTCAGATTTGGTGGACTACGGAAACTAATCAGGCTTTTGAAAAACTTGAAGAAGGTATTGTATTCTTTTAAGAAATTGAATTTTAGTACAGCAACAAAAATCTAAAATTGCTTAACGAAAATTATTTTACAATGACAATTTTATGGATATTTTTATTTTTAAGGGTATGAGAATGCGCTAAAAGATTATCAAAAGAAACAGATCGCCCAACTTAATGCCCTTATTATGCTCCTATTGGGCGACTTGACTGTCGGTGACAGGCAGAAGATAATGACTATTTGTACGATTGATGTTCATTCAAGAGACGTGGTAGCAAAGCTCATTGTAGCTAAAGTAGAGACATCAACTGCTTTTCAGTGGCAGAGTCAATTGAGGTAATTTTTAGATTAGTATGTGTTACTTACCTTTTTTAAGTAATGAAAACTATTTTATTTTGGTGGTGAGATTTGAATCGCACTTGCTAACTGCTAAACATTGTATTTCAGACATCGTTGGGACGTGAAATTGAATAATTGTTTTGCTAACATTTGTGACGCCCAATTTCTGTATGACTATGAATATTTGGGAAATACACCTCGTCTTGTAATTACGCCATTAACAGATAGATGTTATATTACTTTGACACAGGTATATCATATCATTTTGAATTATGTGAACGTTGCTCAAAATGAGAAAGCAAATATGATTTACATTCGTTCTCTTTATTATAATGTCCATCTAAAGCATTATAAAATTACTTCTTCAATAACCAGGCTAGGTAGAATTTAAATAGATCCAAGGTAAAACTAAGGACATCAGAAAATATCGTCAATGTGCTTATTTTTTTAATCATAGAGTCTCCATTTGATAATGGGCGGAGCGCCTGCCGGCCCGGCGGGGACTGGTAAGACAGAGACCACTAAAGACTTGGGCAGGGCCCTGGGTATCATGGTATATGTGTTTAACTGTTCTGAACAAATGGATTACAAGTCATGCGGAAATATTTACAAAGGTATATTAGATCGTTTTAGTTTTTATAAGAATTGTAGCAATGTAGTTTGTTAAATTTGTTATACTATAGTTACATAAGTCAGAAAAATTCCGTTTGATAAGTTTTCTTCATCGGTTTGCGCGATGGAGGCTGAACTTATAGAATCACCGTGAAATACTATAATTCCCATCAGGTCTTGCTCAAACTGGTGCTTGGGGTTGCTTTGACGAATTCAACAGAATCTCAGTTGAAGTACTGTCCGTCGTATCGGTTCAAGTAAAAAGTGTTCTCGATGCTATAAAAGCCAAGAAAAAGAAGTTTGACTTTATGGGTGAAGTCATCACGCTTATTCCTACCATTGGAATGTTCATTACTATGAATCCAGGATATGCTGGTCGAACGGAGTTACCTGAAAATTTAAAGGCATTATTTAGGTGCGTTCTATAAAACAAAATTATCTAGGTACATATAAATGTAATGTAAGAGAAATATAAATGTAACTTAAATGTTGTTTGAACATTTTAATTAAGTAATATATTATCATAATCAAATGTAATTTTAGAATTTATTTATCTTACAATTTATAATTTTAATTTATTATGATTGCATATTAAAAGTGAATGAATAAGCATTCTTATACTTAGGCCTTGTGCAATGGTAGTGCCAGATTTCGAGCTGATCTGCGAGATCATGCTTGTAGCAGAGGGTTTCCAGGACGCTCGTCTGTTGGCGCGTAAATTCATTACATTGTACACGCTGTGTCGAGAACTATTGTCCAAACAAGATCATTATGATTGGGGATTGAGAGCTATTAAGTCTGTACTTGTTGTTGCTGGATCTTTGAAGGTAATTTTATTGATTGATTCATCTCTGTCCTCCTTACATACCACATTTGCGCGCTTAAGCCACTTTTGGTATTTGTAGCTCAAGGACCACTAGTCTGAATTACATGCGATTCTCTCTTTTAAGTATAGCAATGCGATTTCTGGTTCTGGCTAGGTTTTAATATACATTTAGTTACTATAATATTTATATATATATATAATTGAGATTATGTTTTTAGAGAGGAGATCGACTGAGACCAGAAGATCAAGTGCTGATGAGAGCTCTCAGAGATTTCAATATACCTAAAATAGTGACAGATGATATGCCAGTATTTATGGGGCTGATCGGTGATTTGTTCCCCGCACTCGACGTACCGAGAAAACGTGATCTAGATTTTGAAAAAAATCTTGTTGACGGTGCCATATCTATGAAACTTCAACCTGAACCTGGATTTATTTTGAAGGCACGTTTTGTTAAGAAAATATTTCGCAAAGCATCATTAATTATGTATTTATTCTAATTAATTAATTAATTTTTAGATGGTACAACTGGTGGAATTATTTGCAGTACGACATTCAGTATTTATTAACGGATTCGCAGGCACAGGAAAATCTATGGTATGGCAATGCCTTCACAGAACATATCAAATGTTGAAAATGAAGCCGTATTACAACGACTTGGACCCGAAAGCAGTAACCAATGATGAACTGTTTGGTATTATAAATCCGGCAACGAGAGAATGGAAGGATGGGCTTTTTTCTACAATTATGAGAGATATGGCGAATATGCCAGGCGATGGTCCGAAATGGATCGTGCTCGACGGAGATATTGATCCAATGTGGATTGAGAGCTTAAATACTTTGATGGATGATAATAAGGTACATATATAAATCTGAAAATAAATTAAAACTTACTGTAATTAAGTACGTTCACTTAATCGATAGAAACAGTAAATTTATAAAATTTTATAACAACAGATAACAAAGGCTTGCCTTTTATTGTTTATAATAATGATAATTTTTCGCGATTTCACATAGGTGTTGACGCTAGCGAGTAACGAGCGCATCGCTTTAACAAAATCCATGAGATTGTTATTTGAAATAGCAACTTTACGAACAGCAACACCAGCTACTGTATCTCGTGCTGGTATTTTGTACATTAATCCACAAGACTTAGGATGGAATCCGTAAGTACCAATAAAATTATGAACTTACAAAAAATAAATTGTAGTAATGACGTCATATATAATTAATAAATTCGAACATATTCGTGTGAATATTTTCTCTCTTTTTTCTTAAAAATATTTATCGCTCATTTATTTTAAACTATGTACACATTTTTATGAATATAGGTATCTTGTAGGTTTGTAGCATCATGGATAGAAACTACTCGTGATGATGAATCAGAGAAAGCAATGTTGACGGTTATGTTCGATAAATACATTCCATCTTTGTTGGAGTCTTGTAAGAAATACAAGCGTATCACTCCGTTGAGTGAGCTACAACAAATCCAGTTAACTTGCTATTTATTGGAATGTTTTCTCAATAAAAGTTTGTTGCCCAGTGATTGTCCTAAAGAATGGTAAGACTTAAATTAGCCTTACGTATTTTCAGTATTTTTATACAATTTGTTATATATGAACGTATTTTAAACAACTTTGAAAAAAACTTAAGCTTAATGAGAAAAAAACATTTTTAAATATGTAATAACCTCCTTGGAAACTGCGTCAATGAAAAATTCTTGTGTTTGAAAATAATAAATCGTGATTATAAGACCAGAGAAAATTTACACCAAAAATAATATATTAAGCCCTTTTAACTTCCTGGGTCCTGCAATGCGAGAAGGATTAGACCATAGTCCACTACCCTGGAAAAGTGAGGGCTTGCGGACCTAATATCATTCGGAAACTTATTAGATTCTCTCACACATGCATATTTTCCTTATGATGTTTTTCTTCACCGTAAGACAAGTGGTCATCATGTCGAAAATCTCACATCAAAAAATATAATTTTAATTAATAACTAAATGATTGTTATTGTTTACGTAGGTATGAAACATATTTTGTGTTTTGCGTGGTCTGGGGCTTTGGTTCTGGTCTCTTCCAAGACCAACTCGTAGATTGGAGAAATGAATTCAGTAAATGGTTTTGTAACGAATTCAAGCAAATCAAATTCCCATCGACGGGAAACGTGTTTGGTTTCTTCATAGATCCAGAGACTAAGAAGTTTTTGCCGTGGGCAGAAAAAGTTGAATCTTTTGAATTAGACCCTGATATACCATTACAGGTAAATTTTTGGGTTATATTCACGTTTTTGGTTCTATTTTTAGCCTTTTTGTATATATATAAAAATATTATAATATATACATAGTGTATAATATAGAAAAGATATAAAATAAATCTCCAAGCGTAGCTATTACACTTTTGTTTCTTTAAAATAAGCTGGAAATGCACCGCAGCAGATAATATTACTGCTACCAAAGCAGCGGTTTGAGTGTAGAAATAGCAATTACTTAATTCGCAGATGCTCGATAAACCTAGTTTCAGACTAAATTATAATTACAATTGTTCAGGTGCTAATTTTTCAAAAAAACTTTGTTCGTTATAGTCATGCCTGGTGTCAACATCAGAAACCACTCGTATACGCTTTTTCATGGATTTACTGATTGCGAAACAAAAGCCGGTAATGTTGGTGGGCAGTGCCGGCAGCGGCAAGACCGTCAGTGTCGCCGCTAAACTAAACTCATTATCTGACAACTTCGCTATTACCAATGTACCACTCAACTTTTATACTACATCAGGTCAGTAATGCTTATATTTAAATTAAATTAAAATATTAAGTATATAAAATAAATATTCCTCATTTAACTCGTTTTGAGTATTAAGTATAATTATAATTTCAGTTGTTTGGAAATACTTTTCGTAAGAAACCATGTACATATATTTAAGTGATATATTACAGAAATGATTCAAAAAGTACTTGAAAAGCCATTAGAAAAGAAATCAGGTCGTAACTTTGGGCCACCGGGCAGTAAGCTTATGATTTACTTTGTGGATGATCTAAACATGCCGGAGGTGGACTTGTACGGCACGGTACAGCCTCATACATTGATTAGACAGTTTATGGATTATAGACATTGGTTTGTACCTAATAAATATTCTTATACTATGTTACAAAGGTACGAGTTAGAAGTCACATTTTGTATACATTTTTAATAACACGTGTATTTAAGTTAATTTAGATGTGAAACTCTAATACTGAGAATTTACTTACTACATTTTCAGGTATGACAGACAGAAACTAAGTCTCAAAGACATTTCACATTGTATGTTTGTATCTTGCATGAATCCGACAGCTGGTTCCTTCACAATTGATCCTCGTTTACAAAGACATTTCTGTACCTTCGCAGTCAGGTATCTAAAAGTTTTAAAATCTTAACATATTAACGATAAGGTTATCACTTAAACGTATAGCTAACGTTTATACATACGAGTAGGTACTTATTTAAATATAAAGTTATATTATTTTTTGCCAGTTTCCCCGGTTTAGATGCGTGTTTCCACATCTACAAACAAATCCTTACTCAACATTTGATGAACCCTTTAAATAAATTTAATATCACCGTTCAGCGATACGCGGATAATCTTGTGAATGCGGCACTTGCACTTCACAATAAACTTGCATCGACTTTCTTACCTACTGCTATCAAATTTCATTACATATTTAACTTGCGAGATTTGTCCAATATATTTCAGGTCAGTAAAAATTTTATTTGTCTATGTAACAAACAACAACACAGTGTTAACAATAAACAAACAAAAAAGCATTTCAATCATATACATATTTTTTCTAGGGCATATTATTTACTACGGGTGATGCTATAAAAGCTCAGTCAGAGTTGATAAGACTGTGGATGCATGAGGCCACTCGCGTTTATTCTGATAAGCTGGTAGATTCATTAGATAATGAAAACTTTAACAAGCTCATTATGGATATTATCAAGAAGAATTGTGAGGTAATCCGTAATCTTAACAGTGTTATATTGTTATAACGAATAAAAATATGTTTTAGTGTTTAATTGTAGAGTGTGCCTTACGATATTAACTAGTTCACAATTAAAAGTATATTACACTAAGTTCAGAGCCCTGTAAATTAACAGTCTTAAATAACTACTACACTCTTATACTTTTACAGGATTTTGATGAAAACGTAGTGTTTGAGAAGCCACTCATCTACTGTCACTTCGCGGAAGGTATCGGGGACCCGAAGTACTTCGCCATCCGCGACTGGCCGCACATCAAGCGCCTACTCGAAGAGTCTCTCTCCTCGTACAACGATCTTGTTGCTACCATGAACCTTGTGCTTTTCGAAGACGCCATGTACCATATTTGCAGGTAACATAAAAGTGTTAAATGTTTAGGAATTATTTTTATTAACTGTATGACATAATATGTACCTTTGACATAACTTTTTTGTTATTATCAGAATTAATAGAATTTTGGAAGCTCCTCGTGGCAATGCACTATTGGTAGGCGTCGGCGGTTCTGGAAAGCAGTCTCTATCGCGACTCTCCGCTTTTATCTCCTCACTTGAAGTGTTCCAGATTCAGCTTCGGAAAGGATATAGCATCAATGATCTCAAAGTCGATTTAGGTAAAATTTGTGAAAAAATTATGCTTTGAATAATTCTATAAATATATCTTTTATGCATATTTCGTTATTTCTTTTCACAACGTTTTTATGAAAAGTAAATCAATTCAAAAAGAATCATTATCTTTAGTTTTATGATTTTGAATAAATGTTTTTTGCAAAACCTAATAAAAATATTAACTTTTATTAGCTGGACTCAACATAAAAGCGGGTCTAAAAAACATAGGCAACATGTTCTTGATGACGGACGCGCAGGTCGCGGAGGAACGCTTCCTAGTGCTTATAAATGACTTGCTGGCGTCTGGTGAGATACCCGAGCTGTTTGCTGACGATGAGATAGATAATATCATAAATGGTGTCAGAGGAGAAGTAAGTCAATTTAAAAGAGTTCAATTATATAACAATAATATTATTATAATACGATAGTTAATGAGCGAGTTTGATCACACAAACTTAAAAAGAGATAGTTTATTTCCTCAATTTAATACTTTCTTAGATTTACGCTAATATTTCACATTTTAAATAAAACTATCTCTTCGGATTATTTCGCGGATTTATTTTGATTGTGGGTAGGCTGTCTGTAACTACTATACCTTCAAGACATGTAACACCTCAGTCTCTCCCGTGACCATGGATGCTGTAAAGCATTCGAAACGTCGGGAACCAAAAATCAAAATAAATCCGCGAAATAACCCGAAAAGATAGTTTTATTTAAAATACTAAATTTAACTTTTTATTGACGTAATGTTTCCATTATTATTTATTTACATATCGATTATATTAATTATTATTATTTAATTACATATCGATCACACTGTCGGAAAATAGTAGTTGTTGAATAGAACAATAATTTAAATGAAAATTACTGAATAAATAGGTACCTACGCGTTTAAATTGTAATCGAATTTATTATATTGTAACATGTAGATACATTACTTTTTTCCTTATTTTAAATAATTTGATGTATAGAGCTTAGAATTAATTAATCCTCATTATCTTTATTCAGACAAAAGCTTCAGGTGTTCAAGATACGCGCGAAAACTGTTGGCGGTTCTTTATCAACAGAGTTCGAAGTATGTTAAAAGTACGTGAATTTGATTACTTACAAGCTAATACTAGGTAATTTCATTTTTTTCGCTTATTATTATTAAATTGTTTTTATCCCATTTAAGAGATATGTATGTATATAATATGTATAATTAATACATATTACACACCTCTTTTTTAAGTCTATAGATATATACTTGCACATATCCTACATATTATTCTTGACCCTACAAAATGTACTACTTACTTTAGGTGGTGCTCTGTTTCTCCCCCGTGGGCGATACGCTTCGAGTCCGAGCTCGGAAATTCCCCTCCATCGTCAACTGTACGTCCATTAATTGGTTCCACGAGTGGCCACAGGAGGCGCTGCGATCTGTGTCTAAAAGGTTCATTTCTGAAGTGGAGTCTTTGCCGGTAATACTGATGTATCTTTCTTATTATGTATTTGTTTCTAATAGACCTGATAGATACTACTGTTACTAGGTACTAACTTAATATTTACAGTTATAAAATAAGCAAAACTTAATGTTATTTAATGCTTTCTTAGATTCACACGAATATTTGACATTTTAAATAAAACTTTTGATTTTTAGTTCTCGACGTTTCGAATGTTTTACAGCAATCATGGTTTCTCGTGACCAAAGAATAATAAGAAAAATAGTTTTATTTAATGTTACTTATTTGTCTTTATGATATCTTATCTAATCAAATTGTAATACGAGTACATACCTAATTCAAAATAAGGTTTTTCTTATTGGTTGTTTTTATTTTTTTATTTTAGTGCGTACTTATTAGGTATGTATTAAGTATCTAATAATAATTTTTTTTAATAATATAACACTTACTATTTCAGCCTCACCTAGTTGATTCCGTCTCGAATTTTATGTCGCACGTTCATCAAAGTGTAAACAAAATGTCGGCAGTATATTACCAAAATGAACGTCGTTATAATTACACTACACCGAAAACTTTTCTTGAACAAATTTCACTATATGGAAAACTGCTCAACGAAAAGACTAAAAATCTAAAAATGATGATTTTTAGATTGGAAAATGGTTTAGAGAAATTGGCGTCCTGTGCTGCTGATGTTGCCGTTTTGAAGGTACTATACTTATACAATTGAGTTTCATATATATATTTCTAAGAAATAATTATTATAGTGCTAATAATTAACAGATAACTGCAATATATTTGTATTACTAAAGGTAACTCTAGCAGAACAAGAACAAATACTGAAAGTAAAAAATAAAGCGGCTGAAGAGCTTATTGAAGTAGTTGGAGCAGAAAGTGAAAAGGTGTCAAAGGAAAAGGCGTTTGGTAAAACATTATTCTTAGTAATGTTCTTAGTACAATATCAATAAAAATAGTCAATTGTTATTTATTACTTTTTTATTTATATACAGCTGCCGAAGAAGAGAAAAAGGTTAAAGTTATAGAAGAAGATGTAACAATAAAGGCAAAGATATGCGCAGACGATCTTGCAAAAGCTGAGCCGGCATTGATTGCGGCTCAAGAAGCTTTGAATACACTGAATAAAAATAATTTAACAGAATTAAAATCTTTCGGCTCTCCGCCCGATGCCGTCGTCAATGTAACTGCTGCTGTCCTCGTATTGTTCTCTAAAAAAGGAAAACTACCGAAAGATAGGTCATGGAAGGCTTGCAAGGTTAGTATATAAACGAATAAAAGCAATGTATGATAAACATTATTTCCTGTGTCTCATTTGGGTTGCAGTTTTTAAAATTATAAACATATTTCTTTACATTTTAAATTTATTTAAAATGTCAAATATTCGCTTAAATCTAAGAAAGTATTATATTTCTTTACATTAAAATAAACTTTCAGCTCATGATGGCCAAAGTAGATCAGTTCCTGTACGATCTAGTATATTACGACAAAGAAAATATACATCCTGATGTAATTAAGGTACAATCGACGTTATTAGTTTAGTTACAAAACTTAATTTTGATTAACCTTTACAACGATATCCTTATATGCTTGGACCACTATTTAATAGCTACTTCACATAATTACATGTAACGTAAGTCCACTATAGGCATCTGTATCATCAATACGTACCATAATGACCTACTTTCTTAGGTCTAGATGTACTCTGGTGTCTTAGGTTATTGTACAAATTTAAAATATTTAGAACATAATATTTATATGTTTACGCACTATAAAGGCCGTACAACCATACATCAAGAACCCGGAATTCAACGCAGAGTTCATAATGTCGAAGTCTGCGGCGGCGGCCGGCCTCTGCGCGTGGGTCATCAACATCGTGAAGTTCTACGACGTGTACGTGGTGGTGGAGCCCAAGCGCCGCGCCCTCAATGCCGCCAACGCCGAGCTGCAGGCTGCCAGGGACAAGCTGGCGTTCCTCACTGACCAGATCAAGGTGTTTGCTTGTTTCTTATTCTGTTGTATCTTTTCTTATTGATGATTGTGTGTTATTTGTTCTTATCTTGATGTGCTTGTTATTGTTATAATTATATTCTTACTGGTCTTTAAATGGTTGTTGGACGTTTTTCTTTTTTTTTAAATGGTCTTATTAAATTTTACACAGAGTAGTTTTTTATTTATATTTCAACCTTATATTTTTTTCTTGAACAGGAACTTGAAGAAAAATTGGAAGAATTATTAAAAGCTTTCCAAGAAGCTGTTAATGAAAAGATGAAGTGTCAAGCTGAGGCCGATGCTACCAACTATACCATTGATCTCGCTAATAGATTGGTAAATGGGTTGGCGTCTGAAAAAGTGCGGTTAGTATTTAACGTGCTACAAGTCTGCTGGAGCGAAACTCTAACTTAATTTTTCTGAGTGCTCACACTTTTTTCATTTTATCATCAAATTCGTTTTCGAGGGTCATTTTTTTGAATTGAAATAAAACGAAATGGATTACGATTCTAATTATATAGATTTATTTGGTTTAAGATGGTCGGCAACAGTAGTGAACCTGAAGGAGTCGGGGGTGATGTTACCGGGCGACGTGCTCGTAGTGACCGCGTTCATATCGTACGTGGGCTGCTTCACGCGCCGCTACCGCTTGTTGCTCATCTATGAGGACTGGCTCCCTACGCTCGAAAAAACTGATGTACGTACACCTTTGAACATTGCAAAGTCTATCAAATTTCGACTTTCATTCGCAAAAATCAATTTCCTTAAGTCGTTTCATATGAATCTTGCCTACACTTAAATTACGATATTTTTTCAATACTAGCTAATTGATGAATTGCTTTATGGCAAAAAATGAACATTGCATTTATGATTATTCGAGTCGAGCTACAAAGCAGAAGATGAACGGTTTCAATTTATAATTTTCAAAATAAATTAATTTTTGTAGCCTAAAATCGAGACAACAGAAGGTCTTGAGCCGCTATCGATGTTAACGGATGATGCTCAAGTGGCCACATGGAATAACGAAGGTCTACCCACAGACACGATGAGCACTGAGAACGCAACTATACTCACTAACTCTGCAAGATGGCCGCTCCTGATTGACCCTCAATTGTAAGTCCGTTATTTATGCAGTTTGCCTATGCAATGTTCCAATATTATAAATATATCATTTAAATATATGACAATGTAAGTATGGCGTATTGTAATCAAAACATTAAATACATTTAAAATATTGGTGATTTAAAAATTACATTGTGATCAAATTCTTTTAGAGTTAACGATACTGACAACTTATTTGCACGAAGTAAATACAGATCTTCTATCTCGCAATTGTTAGTAGGCCTGTTTTTGATCAAAGTTTAATGCGTGTGGGTGAATAATGCATGTTCATTATAGTTAAGTATGCGGAGGTATAATCAAACGTCCAGAGTTACATATATTTATTATATTCACTTTAAGTTAGCTACAAATATCCCTAGTACAATATATAATCTATATACGAGTATACTAATATAAGCGAGAAACGAAGCGGTATAATTGACAAGCGAATCGGTAGGCGGTTACGGGTCAACTGCGGTTCGTGGCGCGATAAAAATGCAATATAATCAAAATGTGCGCGTCAGCACTGCCACTACGAAAGTTAAAGTATACATTTATCGTGAACTAGCATTGCCCACGGCTCCGCCCGCGTTCAGGTGACCAAGAACCAAATTCTTAGGTTTTACATATTAGTATACTCTTAGGTAGGTACATTGCAGTTTTTGTATTTTTTCTCAGAAATGAGACATTTTCCTGCGGTAAAAAGTATCCTATATTTTTACCCGGATAACCAGCTATCACCATACCAAATCTCTTCAAAATCCTTTTAGTGGTATTTCTGTGATGCGGTAACAGACAGACAGATAAAAATTCTAAAAACTTTAGATTCGGCCTCTGTATCGATAATAATGTCTATTTCAATAAAAATTTCCAAAAGATATTCAATATACAGATTCGGCTTAGTCACAATTTTATTATATATGATGATAATGATATTATCCTAGCCGATTCCGGCCACGGCGGCCAATCTCATTGAGACTGAGATATTATAGTGCACAAGTGTACGCGCAGACACAAGTGCACTCTCTATTCCTGTTACTCTCATACTCCGGTGGGACGACCACTCGACACGACCGGTGAGAGTTAAGGCGCAGGACCGACGGCTTTACGTGCTCTCCGAGGCACGAGGGTGAAACACCGCCAACTTCCCAACTCTGGGCTGTTACTGAGGCTTTCTATACAGAAAGACACAATAACCCAGGACCTCCGAGTGTGTAGCCGTACATGCTAGCCACTACACCACCGAGGCAGTTATTTTTTTTAATTTTATATATATATATATATATATATATATATATATATATATATATATATATTTATTGTATGTCTGTAACATGATAATACAAACAGGCAAGGTATAAAATGGATCAAGTCCCGCTACGGCGAGGCGCTAGTGGTGATCCGTCTGACGCAGCGCAACTACCTGGACCGCATCGAGCGCGCCGTCAGCAACGGCGACGTCGTGCTGCTCGAGAACATCGGCGAGAGCGTGGACGCCGTGCTCGAGCCGCTGCTGGGCAGGGTGCTCATACGTAAGGGCAGGGTGCTCAAAGTGCGTATGCTGTGTGTTTGCTTTTTTTTGATATTTAGACAGTCATAGCTTTAGGACTTTATTATCACTTATTATTAATTGTGCTGTATTATGTATGTTTAAAAAAAAATTATACATATTCCAGATTGGGGACCGAGAAATAGACTATCACGCCAATTTCCGACTTATAATTCAAACTAAGCTGGCAAACCCGCATTATCAACCTGAAATGCAAGCGCAATGCACTTTAATAAATTTTACTGTGACCAGAGATGGGTAAGTGAACTTTTTATTGTTTTTTTAATTACAGTAAAACCTCACGACTGAAATCCAAAAATAAATATTATTTCTTTCTTTCAAAGTTAACAACTTATGACGCAATAAAATCACACTGTTGCAGTGCTATATTAGAAAACTTTCATAAATAACAATTAATATCTTATAGTCTCGAAGAACAACTACTAGGAGAAGTCGTAAAAGCTGAGAGACCTGATCTAGAAGCATTGCGAGCAGGACTAACGAAACAACAAAATGATTTCAAAATCACCCTTAAAAGTCTCGAAGATGATTTATTAAAGCGTTTATCTTCCGCTGGACCAGACATCCTCAGTGATTCAGCTTTAGTAATCAATTTAGAGACGACGAAGAAAACTGCAGCAGACATCGAAGTGAAAGTAGAAGAGGGAAAGGTTACAGCAGTAAAGATTGACGAGGCGCGTGAGAGATATAGGTTAGTACAGTAGTAGGACATTCAAAATGTTGTCATTATTTTAAATAATTTCTATTCATTATTTATACATTTAATTATTACGACCAATAGAAATGAAATAAAAGACGTAATAGAAGATTTCTGTTTAAAAGTATGAAATCTTATTTCAGTGATGGACTACTTATATCTTTGAGAATTGGGATAGTATTTCTAAAGTAGACGTAATAAAATATCCGTTTTTGTAAGTTTGATTATAAAATAAAATATTTTAACAGGCGAGCGGCAACACGAGCATCACTATTGTATTTCATATTAAACGACTTATACAAAATAAATCCGATGTATCAGTTCTCACTAAAGGCTTACAGCGTAGTGTTTAAAGACGCTCTCCTTAAAGCTGAACCTTCCGAGGAACTGGATATGAGAGTGGCGAATTTGTTAGACAGTATTACTTTTGCCGTATTTTTATACACCAGCAGGGGACTGTTTGAGAAGGATAAATTAGTTTTCTTGTTCCTCATCACTTTGCAGGTTAGCCTTATCGTTTATTTTTATTCCAATAATTTTAGCCAGAATAATTAATAAAGTAACTATCATTGTTATATTTATCGTAGGTTTTGCAAACAGATGGAAAAATAGATCCAAGAGAATTAGATTTTCTATTAAAGTATGCCGTAGCTCCCGCCAATTCTCCATATTCTTGGTTATCTAATAACTCGTGGGGAGGGATCGTGGCACTCTCTAAGATGGATGCTTTTGATAATTTAGATAAGGACATTGAAGGCGCTACTAAGAGGTATTCAAGACTTATAACGTAACATGAGAATAATAATTTTATTTGTCCTTCCTAATAGTTTCATTGGATGTTTAGTCCCTAAAATAAAAGGAAAATAATGAGATGTGGACAAGTAAACAATGATATCTTATATTTAAAGATTGATAACATCATTTTTTAGTTCATATCGAATCGGAAAAAAAATTAAATATGATAGTAGCTACTGTTAAATATTTAGTTTATATTTTTCATGATGATTGATTGTTATTGTTTGATTTTTTGCAAGATGGCAAAAATATACAGACGGCGAAGCACCCGAGCGAGACAAATTGCCCGGCGAGTGGAAAAACAAGTCGTCACTGCAGCGCCTGTGCATACTGCGCGCGCTCAGACCCGACAGAATGTCCTATGCTTCAGGGTATGCATGATATAAAAAATAGTACCGTATTATAAAAACGTCAAGTTCCATGGTATCTTTTTAGCAGTAGTTTGTCTATAAATATGTTAGTATGATGATATAATAATTAGATCTGAAAAATAACAGGGAAATCATCAAGCTACATTAAAATCAAAATACAGCTTTTAGTATGTAGAGAAAATTAAAATCTTTCGATTTTGCTTCTTTTACGTAAATATTTTTTCCATAATTTACTTATTTACGTTTACGTCATGATATTTTTCAAAAATATTTCGATGTACATTTTTGAGTTCGTATTTTGTGACGTTAAGTATTTTTTTTCTAACTTCCAAGCTATATCCTAGTCTTTGTGACTATTCAACCCATTAATTATCTTCATGTAATAAATAAGCTCGATCTGATGCGCCTTTGCTGCTAAAATAAAAAGGGACCAACAAAAAACACACTTTGAGGTCTATAATATTAATAATAATTTCGTATTTTTTTAATTTAGTGCCTTTTGTGAGGAGAACCTTGGGACTAAATACGTAGAAGCCAGGACTCCCCCACTTGAAAAGTCTTTCCAAGAAAGCACGTCAACTACGCCCATGTTCTTTATACTATCTCCCGGAGTAGATCCTTTAAAGGTAGATAACTTGTACATGATTTATTAACTGTTAAAGCAATAATTCATTCTTGCAATACTTATAATACAATATAATTAAATTATTAGCATAATTTTAAAAGGTATTAAAAAAAATGTCTACTTATAATATTTATGCTGCAACTGCACCATGTTATTTATTAACATCAAAATATACGGAATAAACGTAATGAATAATATAAAAGTTCTCTTATACTAATATTATATACTCGTATATAGGATATAGAAAAGCTTGGCCGTAAACTTGGTTTTTCTACGGACAAGAAAAATTTCCACATTGTGTCTCTCGGCCAAGGCCAAGAGGTAGTTGCTGAACATGCCATGGGCGTTGCCGCAGAACATGGCCACTGGGTCATTTTACAGAATGTACACTTAGTGGCCAAGTGGCTCCCTACGTTGGAGAAAAAGATGGAAGAAACCTTTGAGAATCCAATTGAAGATTATAGGTTTGAAAACTTAGAGAAAGAATATTTCAATTATTTTTACTGGCTTATATGTTACATGGTATTAAAAAAATCAAGTTGTCACAACTTCGGTTTTTATAACGTAATGCTTTCACAAACATAGAAATGTGTTGCTCATTTATCTTCATCGATCCCCCTTACATGCATTTTTTTTAAATAAGTCATGATAAATTATATACTTAGTTTTTTTTCATATTTCTAGATTATACTTAAGTGCAGAGCCGGCAGCGGATCCTGCGTACCACATCATTCCTCAGGGTATACTGGAATCGGCTATTAAGATAACCAACGAACCCCCGAGTGGTATGTGGGCCAATTTGCACAAGGTAATTTTCATTACAATATTGCATATATTAAATCAAATTTTGAGAGCAGAAATATTATAATTTGTAAATATATGTATAGTACCTATCCAGTAATGACAAACTAATTTCATTTATATTTTAGGCATTAGATAATTTCAGTCAAGAGACCCTTGAGATGTGCAGCAAGGAGGCTGAATTTAAGGCCATATTGTTTGCATTATGCTACTTCCACGCTGTGGTGGCTGAACGACGCAAGTTTGGTCCACAGGGATGGAACAGGTTTGATCAATATGTTCTGCCAATAGATATGTAACGTAGCATATTTGAAGTGTACTTCATTATATGTCACTATTTTAAAGTTTAAATTAGTAAAATTATTTATTGTTTTAAGATGGATATGATTGAATTATAGCCAGTCAGGCAGAGGCAACGTATAAGACAATAATTTTAATAATTCAAATCGCATGTGAATATCATCTACGATGTCAATTTTCCCTCAATAATCTTATTGATATAACTTTTTAATTTTAGAGTATATCCATTCAATTTTGGTGATCTCACAATATGTGTGTATGTTTTGTACAACTACTTGGAGGCAAACCCTCGAGTGCCGTGGGAGGACTTGCGGTATCTCTTTGGCGAGATAATGTATGGAGGACATATCACTGACGATTGGGACAGGAGGCTTTGCAGAACATTCTTATTGGAGTACATGCAGCCTGAATTGGTACATTTAACAATCCTAAAACTAGCAGTTCTGCGAATAGTAGACCTCGCGAACACAAACTTTTTTGCAACAATTCATACACCACTAAAGTTATGTGAGCAATTTACTGCATTTTAAGGAGCTATTCTGCTCATCACTCCGAAGATCCTAGTCAGATCTTCACCAAATTTTATTAAGACCAATTTAAAATTACTACCTTTCAAATAAAAAAAGAACCATCGAAATCGGATCTCGTAAGGCGAAGATATCCAGTAGCCCCCTTTTTGCACCTTTTTTTGGAGGAAGTACTCCTCCACTCAAAAATCTCCGACGACAAAAAAACTGTAAAGTTCCATAACCTATATACCAAGTTCCATCCAGATCGGTCGTAAAATACGCCCTGTAGAGGAGTACAAATAAACGGACAGAGGAAAGCAAATTTTGCCAGACTTGTAACAAAAGTAATCATCGTCAATTATTTTATTTATGAAGAATGTACATATATTGCACATTAGCGATTTAGAAAAAATCTTTAACATACGTAACGTAATTGAGTAATAATAAATTTAATAGGTTGATGGTGAACTACAATTTGCCCCCGGATTCATATCGCCGCCTAACTCGGACTATGTCGGCTACCACCAGTACATTGACGATTTCCTGCCAGACGAAACACCATATCTTTATGGATTACATCCCAACGCTGAAATCGGTTATTTGACTACCGTTTCAGAAAGACTATTTAAGGTACCTACATTTATCGTATTTTAGATACTATAATACTAATCAACTGATAGTCACATTTTTTTTATTTTTAATGGTTGATTTATATTAAAAATATCTTCATAATTTTACCTACACAATTTAATAATTTACAGGTAGTGTTCGAAATGCAGCCTCGAGATACCGGGGCTCAAGCGGGCGGTGGCGCCAGCAAGGAGGAAATGGTAAATGATATTAAATTCAATTCACTTAATTTAATATACGTACATGATATGAATAATACTAGATATTTCGTGAATTGACCAATTACTAAATCTTAGATTTCTATAGGTGAGATACATATTGGATGATATAATGGATAGAGTACCGGAACCCTTCAATTTAGTTGAGCTTATGGGGAAAGTCGAGGAGCTGACGCCGTACACCATCGTCGCACTGCAGGAGTGTGAGAGGATGAACAGGCTCATGGGAGAGATTCGACGCTCTTTAAAGGAGTTAGAATTGGGTCTCAAGGCAAGTTATTTTTTTTATTATTTAGGTTATAATAAAATGTTTTGTCGTATTTATATAACTATTTCATTAGAACTTTTAGCTGAATTGTTACGTTTTAGTATTTCATGATAAAATCATCAACTGTCAAGAAGCCATTATAGCTCTGTATGAATATGCATTGATTTTTCAAATATATTTTAGATAAAAATTATTGTTTTAATCTATACTATAATAAAACTGTAGAGGTCGTCGAATGTCTGTACACAGAAAAAAATGCTAAAAACCCGAGTCTAAGGGGGATGTAAGAAGAGAAATAGAACAAAACCAGATTTTTTTAAAATTTTTGTTTCTTTGTAAAAAATAGGCTACTTTTTACCCCGGAAAAATGCGCGGTTCCCATGGGGTAGATTTGTTTCTGTTTGTAATAAATAAAATATTTTTTGTGTCATACATATTTTATGACTGCACATATTATAGTAAGTAATGTGGTGGGACAGGGCGAGTTGACAATCAGCAGCGACATGGAGAGTCTGATGGAGTCGCTGTTCATGGACCACGTGCCGGAATCGTGGACGAAGCTCGCCTACCCCTCGCTGCTCGGTCTCGCCGCCTGGTTCTCCGACCTCTGCCTGCGCCTCACCGAACTCGAGAACTGGTCCGGCGACTTCAATGTTAGTTTGTTACTCTCATATATTTATTTGTCTGTTTTTATTATTAATCTTCTTGATGGCATCGGATTGAGAAGAAAGGCTTGTCTAGGTATCTTCGGTGATATTGTATGCAAGCATTGCTTGAGAGTAGTTTGATGTTTATTGTATATTTATGTAATACACGGCTATTATATAATATTTAAGAGAAAAAAGAATGGAACTGATTCAACCTAGTTAAATGAAGCGATCACTTGTAAGGCAAAGTGTAAGCGTGATGGAACAGGCAGATGTTAAAAACCATTACTTCGAATTACATTTAATTTTTTGATATATCCGCAGCTGCCCCCAGCGGTGTGGCTGGCGGGCTTCTTCAACCCGCAGTCGTTCCTCACCGCCATCATGCAGCAGACGGCGCGCAAGAACGAGTGGCCGCTCGACAAGATGTGCCTCAACTGTGACGTCACCAAGAAGAGCCGCGGAGATTTTAAGTTAGATTTTGTTGTTTGTTTGTTGATGTAGACGGTGATATTATCAAGATTTTTTTTATATATTATGTATACGTTTGATGTCGATAGTGTGTTATTCTACATATGTATTGTAAATTAATCCGGATATTATTAATTAATATTTTGTTCCTATATAAATGAATTTTCGTGACAAAGAATCCAATATTATAATTATGCTTCACTGCCTCGTTGGTCTAGCATGTATGGGTCTACCTCGTCGGTCTTGCATGTATGGGTCAGGCTAATATAGTTATTGGTTTTTTCTGTCAGAAAACCCAGTTACAGCCTGGAGTTGAGAATATAGTAAATAAACTCGTAGCAAGTATAAAACATATATTCTTCGACTGCAATTCGAACGCTATATCTGTTATGTTATTTCAAGCCTTTCAAGTTGGTACCTACACTTTTAACGCTGTCGATATTTTGCTTTTGTGATTAAATTTTCATTGCTTACGTTTCTTGTGTTCTTTATCCAACAATGGTAATTTTTCGGCCTTAATGACTGTGATAATGATGACGTTTCCTATTATACTACAGCGCGCCACCGCGTGAGGGCGCCAACATCCACGGGCTGTACATGGAGGGCGCGCGCTGGGACACGGCCACCGGCGGCATCGTCGAGTCGCACATGATGGAGCTCTTCCCCGTCATGCCCGTCATATACATCAAGGCGGTGACGCAGGACAAGCAGGACACGCGCAACGTGTACGAGTGCCCCGTATACAAGATACGGTGCGTTACACAAACTTTGTTTCGGACGACCAGAACCAGGGTATGTCTAGTACCCGGAGGTCGACCTGGGACAATCTCCCAGACGTTCTTGGCGTACACGGCAGTATGTCCGTTCGCTGGTAATGTACGCCACCACGCACCCCTGAATGCGTAGCTTGGGTCCCGATCCACTAGGGTTTCTTCGTTGACAGGAGACTATACTTAGAGGCGATGAAATAAAACACAATTTTTCCTTTTTTCTCTCTTGGTTTCGGTTCTTCCTTTTCCTTTTAGTTGTTGCCTCTTCGGTGGCTGTCTTGCGACTGACTCGAATCGAGAAATGGCTCGCCTTTTATTTGGCCCGTTAATACCTTACAGAGAGCCGCGTACTTTGAGCTCATTTTTCGAATAAAATTTCCCTAAACCGAAACCTTGAGAGTCCTTTTATTTTATGTTTTCAGTAAAACACCTTACACATATTTATTTATTTACATGCCTTACACACTATTATACAATATTAAAACATAATATTCAATATATAATAATTAATTAAAAAAGTCTTAAAACAAAAATATCTAAATTTCTAGGTTGCTACATTTTTACTATACATTTTCCCTTATAACTTTTGAACGGATAGTCCTATCGACCTAATTCTTGTTTTATTATAAGTTTTATAATAAAATCTATTATTTAAAACATAAACTATTATGCTATTGCAAGAAACAAAAAATCTCATTTTCAAGTTACGTAATTATATGCTAACATTTTACTTACGTACCTATTCCTTTCAAATTAATGTTAAATAGTCTTATATGATTCAAATAAGCAAAAAATACTCTAAACTAACCTTATTACACTAATTAGAACTTATTTTAACATAATAAATCTAATAAGAATGAGATTTCATATTTACAACAATTATTCATAATACGCTAAAATGACATTGTCCCTATATTAATACACACGTTACTCGAAGATAAGTTTTCCGTCGCCGACATTCTCCCCCTCGTGCTTTGCACCAACTCCTGGACTCGGCGACGCTCCCGGCACCAACAGCACCACTCTCGAACTGGGCCTCCGTAGAACACCTCCTCTGGTCTCGACGTCGACGACTCTGGTCCGCCCGTCTGGTCCAGGATACACATGCAGGATTCTTCCGCGTGGCCAGATGCATCTTGGTAGGCTGTGATCGACGATCAGAACGATGTCTCCGACTTGCAAATCTGTGGCGCTGACTCTTCCTTTGGTCTTCCTTGGTAGTAGAGTGGGCAAATACTCTCTCAGCCAACGTTGCCAGAAGTGATCGGCAAGTCGCTGCGTAGCCTTCCAGGTGTGTCTGCCCACAAGCTCGTTGTCCTCGAAGCTGCCGATTCTTGCTGCGCCACATGATCGCCCGATGAGAAAGTGGTTCGGTGTAAGTGCTTCTTCTTCAGGGTTCTCGGAGAGGTGGGTGAGGGGCCGAGAGTTGACTATGTGCTCGGCCTCTAACAGGAGGGTATGAAGTACCTCCTCTCGTGGTTGCCTTTCGTTGAGCGTGGCGTCCAGTGCGGTTTTAATGGATCGCACCAGACGCTCCCATGCACCTCCCATGTTTGGTGCACCAGGAGGTATGAACTTCCACTGCACACCGATCTTCTCCGCTTCCGAGATAAGGTCTTCTTGCTTCATGGTGTCTAGTGCTTCTTTGAGTTCTTTGTTGGCGCCAACGAAGTTAGTGCCATTGTCGGTGTAGATTATCTTTGGCATTCCCCTTCTCGCGGCGAATCGTCGTAGTGCCATGATCATGCTGTCAGTGGAGAGTGAAGGAGTGAGCTCAATGTGTACAGCTCGTGTTGTTAAGCATGTGAATAAAGCACCCCATCTCTTCTCATGGCGTCTTGCTACGGTGATCGTCATAGGGCCGAAGTAATCTATTCCCGTGCACGTAAATGGAGGGTTTCCGTGCATCAGCCTCTCAGCAGGTAAGTTGCCCACTGGTAGTTCTTGAGGTCTTGCCTTTCTTGTTTTGCACCACTGGCATTGATGTTGAATGGTCTTGATCGCTGACCTCAGTCCTAGCACCCAGAAGCGTTGTCTTACTTCGTTCATTACGGTCGCGTGATTCCCGTGATTGAAGCGGCAGTGAAATTCTTCTATGATGAGAAGTGTTGTCTTGTCCTTGCTGTCGAGTACGATGGGTCGTTTGTAGTCTCTGGTAACCCCTCGTATCGCGTCGATTCTTCCTTTCAGTCGCAGGAGACCTTCTTCTAGCACTACGTCGAGCCTTTTCAACTTGCTGCTGCCCTCTAATTGTTTTCCTTGCTGTAGGCACCTGATATCCTCTTTGAAGCATTTCTCTTGACTTCTTCTTAACAACAGCGTTTCAGCTTGCTCTAGTAGACTTGTTTCCAATGGTATGTATTTCCTTTCTGACGTTTTTGAAGACAGATGTCGCTTCTCAACAATTTTCTTATTCCTTTTTGTAGTTTTCCAGGTAGGATCTTCTTTGCTGGCGTGGACCTTTTCCTTTCTTCTGCAGAGTTGTATGAACTGCAGTACTCTTGCTGTAGCTCGCCAAAGTCTTTTCCACGACGAGAACTTTTCGGGATCTGGTGATGGATAGGAGCTGCCTGCAGTCGCTACGATGTCCGCTGCCTTTTCTTCGCCAGTGGTTTCTTTCTTGAATGTTCTTGCCGCAGGCCAGTGAACTTCATCTCTTCTTAGAAACCCTGGTCCGGTGTACCATCGGTGTTGGCAGTCGAAGTGTTCTGGTACGTCACGTATTGCATCATCTGCAGGGTTCTGCGCCGTCGGTACCCATCTCCAGTCCTGTGGTTTTGTGAGATCTTCTATCTCCGCCAAGCGATGAGCCACGAATGTCTTGAAGGTTCTCGGGTCCGTCTTGATCCATGATAGCACGATACTGGAGTCTGTCCAAAACGTCTTCTTTTCTATTTTCAGATCCATTTCTTCCTCGACCGAGTGTGCCAATCTGCTTCCTAGGAGGGCCGCTTGCAGCTCGAGTCTCGGGATTGACACCGGCTTCAACGGAGCGACTCTTACTTTTGCTGCTACTAAGCTGACGTCATAAGTCCCATTTTGATTTTCAGTTCTCCAATATACCGTAGCTGCATACGCCATTTCGCTTGCATCCGTGAACGTGTGCAGCTCCCCCTCGGTGCGACGTGGTGCCAGACATCTCGGGATCTGAAGGTCTTGGAGCAGCTTCATCTTCTCCAGGTAAGTCTTCCATGACTCGTACTCCTTTTCTTCTATCTCTTCATCCCAACCGACGCCACTTCGCCATATGTTCTGGAGCAGCCTTTTGCCTTGGATGAGAATTGGTGATGCTAGCCCTAGTGGATCGAAGGTCGACATCACGGCGCTGGTGACTTCTCTCTTCGTAGGTACCTTGAGTCCTTGTGCCACTTCATCTGGCGTGTTCCGAAGGTTCGCCCTAAAGCCTATGGAGTCCCTTTCTGTAAACCAGCGTAGTCCCAGTGTCTTCTCTTCCTTCTCACCAAGGTCCACCTCTGTCTTCTCAACTGACTCAGTCTTCACGTCTTGCAGCAGGTCGGAGTGGTTTGACGCCCATCCTCGGAGTTCGAAGCCCGCCTTTTTGTGAATGAAGTCCACCTGCGCTGTAATTCTCTTGAAGTCCTCTTCTGAATGGAAGCTGTGCAGGTAGTCATCCATGTAATGGTTCAGCTCGATTGCCTTTGCTGCCTCTGGGTACTGCTTCTTGTAGTCCGCCGCGTTCCGGTTCTTCACGTAGATCGCTGTGCTAGGAGATGATGTCGCGCCGAAGATGACTGATGTCATTCTGTACTCCTTCGGTGCTACGTCACGACGATCCCCTCGCCACAGGAACTTCAAGCTGTTTCTATCTTCTGGCCGGATGCGAACTTGCAGGAACATTTCCTTTATGTCGGCTGCCACTGCAAACGGGCCTTGCCGGAACCTCAGTAATACCCCGAAGAGCGATTGCAGTAGGTCTGGTCCCGGTAGTAAAGCGTCGTTGAGGCTTCTCCGTTTAGACTTGGCTGCAGCGTCGAAGACGATCCTTATTTTCTTCTTCAATGGATGTACCACGGAGAAATGAGGGAGGTACCATGTCTTCTTTGAATCTTCTTGTCCACCAGGTGCTTCTTCTGCATACTTGCTGTCGATTAGATGCTGGATCTGCTTATTGTATTCTGCCTTCAGCTGAGGGTCTTTGTCTATCTTCTTTTCAATGTTGAACAATCGGTTCTTGGCAGACGTGTAGCTTTCAGGCATCTGTTCATCTTCATTTTTCCATAGAAGTCCAGCTTCAAATCGACCATCTTCTAGTCTTCTGCAGGTCTTCTCTAGGATGGTGAGTGCTCTTCCTTCTGAATCCTTAGTGGGTCTTCTTGGTAGTACTCCAAGTGCTTCGATTGCGAAGTGATCCTTGATGGCTTGATGCATCTCTTCTTCTGGCGTGCTGACATGTAGACACGTGTTTAAGAAGTGCACCACTTTCGCGCCTCCAGTGTCTGACCCGTGGAGCACCCATCCAAGTCCTGTTCTTGAAGCGACTGGTTGTCCTGGTTTCCCTCTTCTTACTTCTTGAGTCATGATTAGCTCCCAGTTGTCTTGACCGATGAGCAGCTGTGGTGACTCCCCCTTATAATATAGAGAGTCAGCAATCTTCTTCAAGTGTTGACACTCTTCTATCCTTTTCTTTTCTAGGAACTGCGGTGCAAGCTTCAACTCGTCGATGGTCCGGACTCTTCTCAAGGTCTTCTTGGTCTTCTGATGAATCCCCTTCACCGTAAGGTCCAGCATCTGAGAGTCTTCCTTCCTTATCAGCCTGCCTCCAACAGTCTCGATGACCAGTTCCTCCTTTCTTCCTTGAGCGCCGATTTCTTCTGCTACCTTCTGGTCTAGCAGCGACACTGTTGACCCTTCATCCATGAGGGCCAATATCTTTTTTGATCCTTTTGACCCGAAGATTTCTATCGGAATTATCTTCAGGTATGCCCTTGCGTTGTTGACCGCATTCACCGATGCCATGATGC